GTATTGTCAAGATGTTCCCAGAATGTAGACATATGTTTGTGAAGAACATGCACAGTTTGTAAATAAACAAGAGAGCATCATTATGGAAGTGTATTGTCAAGATGTTCCCAGAATGTAGACATATGTTTGTAAATAACATGCACAGTTTGTAAATAAACAAGAGAGCATCATTATGGAAGTGTATTGTCAAGATGTTCCCAGAATGTAGACATATGTTTGTAAATAACATGCACAGTTTGTAAATAAACAAAAGAGCATCATTATGGAAGTGTATTGTCAAGATGTTCCCGGAATGTAGACATATGTTTGTAAATAACATGCACAGTTTGTAAATAAACAAGAGAGCATCATTATGGAAGTGTATTGTCAAGATGTTCCCGGAATGTAGACATATGTTTGTAAATAACATGCACAGTTTGTAAATAAACAAGAGAGCATCATTATGGAAGTGTATTGTCAAGATGTTCCCAGAATGTAGACATATGTTTGTAAATAACATGCACAGTTTGTAAATAAACAAGAGAGCATCATTATGGAAGTGTATTGTCAACATGTTCCCGGAATGTAGACATATGTTTGTAAATAACATGCACAGTTTGTAAATAAACAAGAGAGCATCATTATGGAAGTGTATTGTCAAGATGTTCCCAGAATGTAGACATATGTTTGTAAATAACATGCACAGTTTGTAAATAAACAAGAGAGCATCATTATGGAAGTGTATTGTCAAGATGTTCCCAGAATGTAGACATATGTTTGTAAATAACATGCACAGTTTGTAAATAAACAAGAGAGCATCATTAGGGAAGTGTATTGTCAAGATGTTCCCAGAATGTAGACATATGTTTGTAAATAACATGCACAGTTTGTAAATAAACAAGAGAGCATCATTATGGAAGTGTATTGTCAAGATGTTCCCAGAATGTAGACATATGTTTGTAAATAACATGCACAGTTTGTAAATAAACAAGAGAGCATCATTATGGAAGTGTATTGTCAAGATGTTCCCAGAATGTAGACATATGTTTGTAAATAACATGCACAGTTTGTAAATAAACAAGAGAGCATCATTATGGAAGTGTATTGTCAAGATGTTCCCAGAATGTAGACATATGTTTGTAAATAACATGCACAGTTTGTAAATAAACAAGGGAGCATCATTATGGAAGTGTATTGTCAAGATGTTCCCAGAATGTAGACATATGTTTGTAAATAACATGCACAGTTTGTAAATAAACAAGAGAGCATCATTATGGAAGTGTATTGTCAAGATGTTCCCAGAATGTAGACATATGTTTGTAAATAACATGCACAGTTTGTAAATAAACAAGAGAGCATCATTATGGAAGTGTATTGTCAAGATGTTCCCAGAATGTAGACATATGTTTGTAAATAACATGCACAGTTTGTAAATAAACAAGAGAGCATCATTATGGAAGTGTATTGTCAAGATGTTCCCGGAATGTAGACATATGTTTGTAAATAACATGCACAGTTTGTAAATAAACAAGAGAGCATCATTATGGAAGTGTATTGTCAAGATGTTCCCGGAATGTAGACATATGTTTGTAAATAACATGCACAGTTTGTAAATAAACAAGAGAGCATCATTATGGAAGTGTATTGTCAACATGTTCCCGGAATGTAGACATATGTTTGTAAATAACATGCACAGTTTGTAAATAAACAAGAGAGCATCATTATGGAAGTGTATTGTCAAGATGTTTTCCTGAATGAGGTGAACAGGTTACACAGTGTTAACTGTATTGGGACAAAAGCCTTCTGAATACAGGGTCTATTTCATGTGTGGGTGTGCGGCTGCTTGTACTTGTACGGATTAATGATGCCAATGCTAGTTTTATAGTTCCAGTCAGAGCTCCAGATAAGCTGCGTATCTGTGTAAAATACGCATCAGAAATGCAGAAATACACAGTAAAATAAAATCCAAGCGTATCAAATACGCAACGAACATTACAGATACGCTAAAAAAATTAAACTTGTGCGTATCATCAAAATATTGTGAAGTAACACTGCGTATTCGATTAGCAAATCAGCAACTTATTTTGAAATTATAAACGGGCATTCCGTCAACCTTGCCAAACTCCACGATGACAGTTACATCATGATCATTTGCCATCACACTTTCTTGTGGAAGTATCATGGTATTTTTTAGTCCTATAAAGCTCTCGAACCCACACGACACCAGTTTGCAGGGACTAGGTGAATAATGTTTTTAAATATTTAACTTGAATACCCACATGTGTAAAAACTAGTGGGTAACAGAAATTTGAATACCCAGATAGAATTACTGATACCCAATGATTTTAAATGCATGGGTAAAATACCCACAACACCAAAAGCTTATCTGGAGCTCTGACCAGCCCACTGACATACTATGCCGCGGTTTAACATGGATACACCACTCAGACACAGCTTTAATGATGTTTCTCAGTTCTGAAGTGTCAGCGATGTCTCTCAGTTGACTGTGACTAAATGCTGTTCAACATATTTGCCAACACAACCGTCTTAAGGTTAGTGAAGAACCTACCAGGTACCCATCCAACAACTGTTTGACTGAGCGCTGTGCAAGATGCTAACAAACATAACTCCTTAAATGTTGGTTGAGACACTACCAGGTACCCATCAAACAACTGTGTGACTGAGCACTGTGCAAGATGCTAACCAACATAACTCCTTAAATGTTGGTTGAGACACTACCAGGTACCCATCAAACAACTGTGTGACTGAGTGCTGTGCAAGATGCTAACCAACATAACTCCTTAAATGTTGGTTGAGACACTACCAGGTACCCATCAAACAACTGTGTGACTGAGCGCTGTGCAAGATGCTAACCAACATAACTCCTTAAATGTTGGTTGAGACACTACCAGGTACCCATCAAACAACTGTGTGACTGAGCGCTGTGCAAGATGCTCACCATCATAACTCCTTAAATGTTGGTTGAGACACTACCAGGTACCCATCAAACAACTGTGTGACTGAGCGCTGTGCAAGATGCTAACCAACATAACTCCTTAAATGTTGGTTGAGACACTACCAGGTACCCATCAAACAACTGTGTGACTGAGCGCTGTGCAAGATGCTCACCATCATAACTCCTTAAATGTTGGTTGAGACACTACCAGGTACCCATCAAACAACTGTGTGACTGAGCGCTGTGCAAGATGCTAACCAACATAACTCCTTAAATGTTGGTTGAGACACTACCAGGTACCCATCAAACAACTGTGTGACTGAGCGCTGTGCAAGATGCTCACCATCATAACTCCTTAAATGTTGGTTGAGACACTACCAGGTACCCATGATACAACTGTGTGACTGAGTGCTGTGCAAGATGCTCACCAACATAACTCCTTAAATGTTGGTTGAGACACTACCAGGTACCCATCAAACAACTGTTTGACTGAGTGCTGTGCAAGATGCTCACCAACATAACTCCTTAAATGTTGGTTGAGACACTACCAGGTACCCATCAAACAACTGTGTGACTGAGCGCTGTGCAAGATGCTAACCAACATAACTCCTTAAATGTTGGTTGAGACACTACCAGGTACCCATCAAACAACTGTGTGACTGAGCGCTGTGCAAGATGCTCACCATCATAACTCCTTAAATGTTGGTTGAGACACTACCAGGTACCCATCAAACAACTGTGTGACTGAGTGCTGTGCAAGATGCTCACCATCATAACTCCTTAAATGTTGGTTGAGACACTACCAGGTACCCATCAAACAACTGTGTGACTGAGTGCTGTGCAAGATGCTAACCAACATAACTCCTTAAATGTTGGTTGAGACACTACCAGGTACCCATCAAACAACTGTTTGACTGAGTGCTGTGCATGATGCTCACCAACATAACTCCTTAAATGTTGGTTGAGACACTACCAGGTACCCATCAAACAACTGTGTGACTGAGCGCTGTGCAAGATGCTAACCAACATAACTCCTTAAATGTTGGTTGAGACACTACCAGGTACCCATCAAACAACTGTGTGACTGAGCGCTGTGCAAGATGCTAACCAACATAACTCCTTAAATGTTGGTTGAGACACTACCAGGTACCCATCAAACAACTGTGTGACTGAGCGCTGTGCAAGATGCTAACCAACATAACTCCTTAAATGTTGGTTGAGACACTACCAGGTACCCATCAAACAACTGTGTGACTGAGTGCTGTGCAAGATGCTCACCATCATAACTCCTTAAATGTTGGTTGAGACACTACCAGGTACCCATCAAACAACTGTGTGACTGAGTGCTGTGCAAGATGCTAACCAACATAACTCCTTAAATGTTGGTTGAGACACTACCAGGTACCCATCAAACAACTGTGTGACTGAGCGCTGTGCAAGATGCTAACCAACATAACTCCTTAAATGTTGGTTGAGACACTACCAGGTACCCATCAAACAACTGTGTGACGGAGCGCTGTGCAAGATGCTAACCAACATAACTCCTTAAATGTTGGTTGAGACACTACCAGGTACCCATCAAACAACTGTGTGACTGAGTGCTGTGCAAGATGCTAACCAACATAACTCCTTAAATGTTGGTTGAGACACTACCAGGTACCCATCAAACAACTGTGTGACTGAGTGCTGTGCAAGATGCTAACCAACATGTTTAACTGTTGTGAAGACAATACTGAGAGCTACACAACACTAATGCACCTACCAGGTACCCTGTGTGACTGAGTGCTGTGCAAGATACTTGCCAACATAACTGTTTAACTGTTGTGAAGACAATACTGATGCACTAATTGGTACAATGTGTGAAGCCCATTTCTGATGTCCCCCGCCGTGATATTGCTGGAATATTTCTAAAAGTATGTAAAACCATACTCACTCACCCACCCACCCACCCACCCACCCACCCACCCACCCACCCACTCACTCACTCACTCACTCACTCACTCACTCACTCACTCACTCACTCACTCACTCACTCACTCACTCACTCACTCACTAATGTACCTACCAGGATCTCGGCGCTGCACTCCATCTCCAGGGAGACGATGACCATCTTGGAGAGGGCGGGGTCCAGGGGAAACTCCACCATGCTGCGCCCCATGGGGGTCAGGGCGCCGGTGTTGTCCAGGGCACCCAGGATCCACAGCTGGTACATCGAGTTCAAGATGTTGTCCTCAAAAACAAAAACAACTACACTATATTTCTTGTTAACTTGTTTCTGTATTTTTCATAGTTAAGCTTCACGGGATAAAAAACAAACTAGATGTACCAGGGTCAGCAGCTCTCCTGAATCCGAGGGAGAGTATTGTTGGATACACTCGACTTGTTGAATTGTTTATGTTTCTTATTCAAAACATTTTCCCAAAGTTACCTGTGGGGGTGGGTCCATGAAGTGGAAGTTACCTGTGGGGATGGGTCCATGATCAAAGTTACCTGTGGGGGTGGGTCCATGTAGTGGAAGTTTTCTGTGGGGGTGGGTCCATGAACAGAAAGTTACCTGTGGGGGTGGGTCTATGAAGTGGAAGTTTCCTGTGGGGATGGGTCCATGTAGTGGAAGTTACCTGTGGGGGTGGGTCTATGAAGAGAAAGTTACCTGTGGGGGTGGGTCCATGAAGTGGACGTTTTCTGTGGGGTTGGGTCCATGAACAGAAAGTTACCTGTGGGGGTGGGTCTATGAAGAGAAAGTTACCTGTGGGGGTGGGTCCATGAAGTGGAAGTTACCTGTGGGGGTGGGTCCATGAAGTGGAAGTTACCTGTGGGGATGGGTCCATGTAGTGGAAGTTACCTGTGGGGATGGGTCCATGTAGTGGAAGTTACCTGTGGGGATGGGTCCATGTAGTGGAAGTTTCCTGTGGGGGTGGGTCCATGTAGTGGAAGTTACCTGTGGGGATGGATCCATGTAGTGGAAGTTACCTGTGGGGATGGGTCCATGTAGTGGAAGTTACCTGTGGGGATGGGTCCATGTAGTGGAAGTTACCTGTGATGATGGGTCCATGTAGTGGAAGTTACCTGTAGGGGGTGGGTCCATGAAGTGGAAGTTTCCTGTGGGGGTGGGTCCATTATCAAAGTTACCTGTGGGGATGGGTCCATGTAGTGGAAGTTACCTGTGGGGGTGGGTCCATGTAGTGGAAGTTACCTGTGGGGGTGGGTCCATGTAGTGGAAGTTACCTGTGGGGGTGGGTCCATGTAGTGGAAGTTACCTGTGGGGGTGGGTCCATTAAGTGGAAGTTTCCTGTGGGGGTGGATCCATTATCAAAGTTACCTGTGGGGATGGGTCCATGTAGTGGAAGTTACCTGTGGGGGTGGGTCCATGTAGTGGAAGTTACCTGTGGGGATGGGTCCATGTAGTGGAAGTTACCTGTGGGGGTGGGTCCATGAAGTGGAAGTTTCCTGTGGGGGTGGGTCCATGTAGTGGAAGTTACCTGTGGGGGTGGGTCCATGAAGTGGAAGTTTCCTGTGGGGGTGGATCCATTATCAAAGTTACCTGTGGGGATGGGTCCATGTAGTGGAAGTTACCTGTGGGGGTGGGTCCATGTAGTGGAAGTTACCTGTGGGGGTGGGTCCATGAAGTGGAAGTTTCCTGTGGGGTGGGTCCATTATCAAAGTTACCTGTGGGGATGGGTCCATGTAGTGGAAGTTACCTGTGGGGGTGGGTCCATGTAGTGGAAGTTACCTGTGGGGGTGGGTCCATGTAGTGGAAGTTACCTGTGGGGGTGGGTCCATGTAGTGGAAGTTTCCTGTGGGGGTGGATCCATTATCAAAGTTACCTGTGGGGATGGGTGCATGTAGTAGAAGTTACCTGTGGGGGTGGGTCCATGTAGTGGAAGTTACCTGTGGGGGTGGGTCCATGAAGTGGAAGTTTCCTGTGGGGTGGGTCCATTATCAAAGTTACCGGTGGGGATGGGTCCATGAAGTGAAAGTAACCTGTAGGGGTGGGTCCATGAAGTGGAAGTTACCTGTGGGGGTGGGTCCATTATCAAAGTTACCTGTGGGGGTGGGTCCAGGAAGAGTAACTTACCTGTGGGGGTGGGTCCAGGAAGTGGAAGTTTTCTGTGGGGGTGGGTCCATGAATAGAAAGTTACCTGTGGGGGTGGGTCCATGAATAGAAAGTTACCTGTGGGGTGGGTCCATGAAAAGAAAGTTACCTGTGGGGGTGGGTCCATGAAAAGAAAGTTACCTGTGGGGGTGGGTCCATTATCAAAGTTACCTGTGGGGATGGGTCCATGAAGTGAAAGTAACCTGTAGGGGTGGGTCCATGAAGTGGAAGTTACCTGTGGGGGTGGGTCCATTATCAAAGTTACCTGTGGGGGTGGGTCCAGGAAGAGTTACTTACCTGTGGGGGTGGGTCCAGGAAGTGGAAGTTTTCTGTGGGGGTGGGTCCATGAATAGAAAGTTACCTGTGGGGGTGGGTCCATGAAAAGAAAGTTACCTATGGGGTGGGTCCATGAAAAGAAAGTTACCTGTGGGGGTGGGTCCATGATCAAAGTTACCTGTTGGGGCGGGTCCATGATCAAAGTTACCTGTGGGGGTGGGTCCAGGAAGTGGAAGTTACCTGTGGGGCTGGGTCCATGAAGTGGAAGTTTCCTGTGGGGGTAGGTCCATGATCAAAGTTACCTGTGGGGGTAGGTCCAGGAAGTGGAAGTTACCTGTGGGGCTGGGTCCAGGAAGTGGAAGTTACCTGTGGGGATGGGTCCATGTAGTGGAAGTTACCTGTGGGGGTGGGTCCATGTAGTGGAAGTTACCTGTGGGGGTGGGTCCATGTAGTGGAAGTTACCTGTGGGGGTGGGTCCATGTAGTGGAAGTTTCCTGTGGGGGTGGATCCATTATCAAAGTTACCTGTGGGGATGGGTCCATGTAGTGGAAGTTACCTGTGGGGGTGGGTCCATGTAGTGGAAGTTACCTGTGGGGGTGGGTCCATGAAGTGGAAGTTTCCTGTGGGGTGGGTCCATTATCAAAGTTACCGGTGGGGATGGGTCCATGAAGTGAAAGTAACCTGTAGGGGTGGGTCCATGAAGTGGAAGTTACCTGTGGGGGTGGGTCCATTATCAAAGTTACCCGTGGGGGTGGGTCCAGGAAGAGTTACTTACCTGTGGGGGTGGGTCCAGGAAGTGGAAGTTTTCTGTGGGGGTGGGTCCATGAATAGAAAGTTACCTGTGGGGGTGGGTCCATGAATAGAAAGTTACCTGTGGGGTGGGTCCATGAAAAGAAAGTTACCTGTGGGGTTGGGTCCATGAAAAGAAAGTTACCTGTGGGGGTGGGTCCATTATCAAAGTTACCTGTGGGGATGGGTCCATGAAGTGAAAGTAACCTGTAGGGGTGGGTCCATGAAGTGGAAGTTACCTGTGGGGGTGGGTCCATTATCAAAGTTACCTGTGGGGGTGGGTCCAGGAAGAGTTACTTACCTGTGGGGGTGGGTCCAGGAAGTGGAAGTTTTCTGTGGGGGTGGGTCCATGAATAGAAAGTTACCTGTGGGGGTGGGTCCATGAAAAGAAAGTTACCTATGGGGTGGGTCCATGAAAAGAAAGTTACCTGTGGGGGTGGGTCCATGATCAAAGTTACCTGTTGGGGCGGGTCCATGATCAAAGTTACCTGTGGGGGTGGGTCCAGGAAGTGGAAGTTACCTGTGGGGCTGGGTCCATGAAGTGGAAGTTTCCTGTGGGGGTAGGTCCATGATCAAAGTTACCTGTGGGGGTAGGTCCAGGAAGTGGAAGTTACCTGTGGGGCTGGGTCCAGGAAGTGGAAGTTTCCTGTGGGGGTAGGTCCATGATCAAAGTTACCTGTGGGGGTGGGTCCATGAAGTGGAACTGTAGCAGGTCTTGAACTCCCAGTGACTTCAGCAACAGAACGACATTAGCCAGGTTGGTCCGCTGGATTTCTGGAACGGTTGTCTTCAACATTTCGTCCTTGTACTGCCGGGCTGTGTACAACCTGTAGCACTGTCTGAAAACAGAGGAGGGGGAGTTGATCTTATGATAGTTGTTTTGATAAATTACTAGTTGAATGCAGACCATCACCAATATTAGGGGTCAAGTATCAGTCAGCCTTTGCCTGGAGGTCACACCCTCCCTCACTCACTCTCACACCCTCCCTCACTCACTCTCACACCCTCCCTCACTCACTCACTCACCCTCACTCACTCACTCACTCACTCTCATACTCTCACACTCATTCACTCACTCACTCTCACTAACTCTCACACCCTCACTCACTCACTCTCACTCACTAACTCACACACTCACTCACTCTCACACCCTCACTCACTCACTCTCATACTCTCACACTCATTCACTCACTCACTCTCATACTCTCACACTCATTCACTCTCACTAACTCTCACACCCTCACTCACTCTCACTCACCCTCCCTCACTCACCCTCACTCACTCTCACACCCTCACTCACTCTCACACCCTCACTCACTCTCACACCCTCCCTCACTCACTCACCCTCCCTCACTCACTCACCCTCACACCCTCACTCACTCACTCTCACTTACTCACACACTCTCACACCCTCACTCACTTACACCCTCACTCACTCACTAACTCACTCACTCTCACACCCGCACTCACTCACACCCTCACTCACTCACTCTCACACCCTCACTTACTCACTCACTCACTCTCACTCACTCACTCCGACACCCTCACTAACTCACTCTCACTCACTCACTCACTCACTCTCACTCACTCACCCTCACACACTCACTCACTCACTCTCACACCCTCCCTCACTCACTCACTCACCCTCACACACTCACTCTCACACCCTCACTCACTCACTCACCCTCACACACTCACTCACTCACTCACTCACCCTCACACACTCACTCACTCACACCCTCACTCACTCACTCACCCTCACTCACTCACTCACTCACTCACCCTCACACACTCACTCACTCACTCACTCACCCTCACACACTCACTCTCACACCCTCACTCACTCACTCACCCTCACACACTCACTCACTCACTCACTCACTCACTCACACACCAAGTCTTACCCTGGCCCAGTTCTTCCGGCTCTACCTGATCTCTGGTTTGCGTTGGCCTGCAAGTACAAATCACACAATTACAAACCAAGTCCACAAAACAAACCCCCATGCACACTCAGTCCAATGCATCAACTTTAGATACTGCTAAATAACAAAGGCACACTTCTTGAAAAGTAAAAATTGTTTTAGTGACTTCTTTCTACCTTGTGACCTTGACCTTTGGCCTTCTCATGACATGTGGCAAAAGACATAAATAGGATCTTGTGGGAGGACATTATCAAATGTCAATGACCTTTGTACAGCAGATGCATGAAAACAAGCATGAAATACTCACATCCCCCGCCAATATGACATGTCCAGTTGTGTGCAATGAATCAAGTCTAGTCTTAATGAAGACCCAGCATGAAATACTCACATCCGCCGCCAATATGACATGTCCGGTTGTGTGCAATGAATCAAGTCTAGTCTTAATGAAGACCCAGCATGAAATACTCACATCCCCCGCCAATATGACATGTCCGGTTGTGTGCAATGAATCAAGTCTAGTCTTAATGAAGAACAAGCATGAAATACTCATATCCCCCCCCAATATGACATGTCCGGTTGTGTGCAATGAATCAAGTCTAGTCTTAATGAAGAACAAGCATGAAATACTCATATCCCCCGCCAATATGACATGTCCGGTTGTGTGCAATGAATCAAGTCTAGTCTTAATGAAGAACAAGCATGAAATACTCATATCCCCCGCCAATATGACATGTCCGGTTGTGTGCAATGAATCAAGTCTAGTCTTAATGAAGAACAAGCATGAAATACTCACATCCCCCGCCAATATGACATGTCCGGTTGTGTGCAATGAATCAAGTCTAGTCTTAATGAAGAACAAGCATGAAATACTCATATCCCCCGCCAATATGACATGTCCGGTTGTGTGCAATGAATCAAGTCTAGTCTTAATGAAGAACAAGCATGAAATACTCATATCCCCCCCCAATATGACATGTCCGGTTGTGTGCAATGAATCAAGTCTAGTCTTAATGAAGAACAAGCATGAAATACTCACATCCCCCGCCAATATGACATGTCCGGTTGTGTGCAATGCATTAGCTCCTGTGAACTATGTTCACTGGGCCTTTTTGAAAATGGCCTAATTGCAGTACTAAAACAATTTATTACTGGTGCTGTTTTGCCATCTGCAGTTTATGATAGAATATGTAACTGTATTTGTAATGAGTAAGGATGAGACATATGGACGAACAACTTCTTTATTACAATTAGGAGTAATGGTTTTAGAGCAGATTCTAACACCGTTATCAAGCAAGTGAAGTACAGTGTATGGTTGACAAGAATATATACTGGATAGGAGGCAGTGTTTATACAGTTGAGTGGGTTTAAGATCAGTTACACTGTTGTATTTGTAATGAGTTGTGTTATTACTTAAACAATAATGAGAGAAGTAAGGGAGTTCTTACTTTACTTAGAGCTCAATGAGAGCAGGGGTCACCATGAGGTGTACTGAGAAGTACAGCACCAATCATCTGAGAGATCCTGAAGTTTCTGCATGAAGTTAGTCAGTGAATGCAACAACCGTGTCCATGACACTTTTGGAGGAACATACACACAAGCAATGCAGAACTTGCCAACAAGAAAGGAAATGTATTCAATACTGCTCTGGAAACGAGGAATACCGCCATTTTCAGTCTAAGTCAAAGTCATTGCCACGGAAACTAAATTTTTTATATTTTTTTAAATCCCAAACTATCAAAAGGCACCTGTTCACCACTAGACCTATCTATGTGCCAAGTTTGGTGAAGAAATATGGTATGGTTTTCAAGATCTGCTCTAGAAACGAGGACTACCGCCATTTTCAGTCTATGTCAAAGTCGTTGTCATGGAAATGGAAAAATAAGTCTTTTAAAAATCCCAAACTATCAAAAGGCACCAGTTCACCACTAGACTTATCTATGTGCCAAGTTTGGTGAAGAAATATGATACGGTTTTCAAGATCTGCTCCGGAAACGAGGACTACTGCCATTTTCAGTCTACGTCAAAGTAGTTGCCGTGGAAAATAAAAGGCACCAGTCCACCATTAGACCTATCTATGTGCCAAGTTTGGTTAAGATATCTCTCATGGTTTTTGTGTTCTGCTCCGGAAACGAAATGTGACGGACGGACGGACGGAAGGACTTCGTGGCGGGGGATAATAACAGGTGATGCTCATGTTCCAAACGTCCTGAATAAGTCCTGTTTCACTAACTGCTAAGAAATGTCTGATGGCAATATACTGGTTTGGTCTGCCTGCCATGTGTCATCACTGGAGACATCTGACTGGCTTACGTTTGGGAAGTACCACTTCCCAGTATTTCCTTTTTCTATTTTTAATAACTCAATTCAATACAGCAATAAGACTTGACTTGGAGTCAATATACATTTCTGTCCACTGACACGTGACCGCTTCTGGAACAATGAACATGGTGGAAGACATTGCATAATGTAATAACAGAAAGTGCCACTGCCACAAGCCTTCACATCACCTCACCCGCGCTTTCCACAGGTAAACAAATAAACAGCAATATTCTGTCCCCTGTGTCACTCGGTCTCACCTGGCTGATGGGGAAGATCTGCAGAGCATCCATTCCAATCTTCGGATTAAAGACTTTCAACTTGCAGTAGCCGGCATCAATGACAAACATAATACCATCAACTGAAACAGATTGAAACAGTACATCATGTAAAGTAAATACCAGATATAGAGATATAGAAGGTATAGTCAGTTCCAGGTACAGGACGCAGCAGTCTCCTCAGTCACTCTCTGGCTTCATCTGGTCTCACACCAAGCAGTCTCCTCAGTCACTCTCTGGCTCCTTTTGGTCCTACACCAAGCAGTCTCCTCATCCACTCTCTGGCTCCTTCTGGTCTCACACCAAGCAGCCTCCTCATCCACTCTCTGGCTTCTTCTGGTTCCACACCAAGCAGCCTCCTATTCCACTCTCTGGCTCCTTTTGGTCTTACACCAAGCAGTCTCCTCATTCACTCTCTGGCTCCTTTTGGTCTTACACCAAGTAGTCTCCTCATCCACTCTCTGGCTCCTTTTGGTCTCACACCAAGTAGTCTCCTCATTCACTCTCTGGCTCCTTCTGGTCTCACACCAAGTAGTCTCCTCATCCACTCTCTGGCTCCTTTTGGTCTTACACCAAGTAGTCTCCTCATCCACTCTCTGGCTCCTTTTGGTCTCACACCAAGTAGTCTCCTCATTCACTCTCTGGCTCCTTTTGGTCTTACACCAAGCAGTCTCCTCATTCACTCTCTGGCTCCTTCTGGTTCCACACCAAGCAGCCTCCTATTCCACTCTCTGGCTCCTTTTGGTCTTACACCAAGCAGTCTCCTCATTCACTCTCTGGCTCCTTCTGGTTCCACACCAAGCAGCCTCCTATTCCACTCTCTGGCTCCTTTTGGTCTTACACCAAGCAGTCTCCTCATTCACTCTCTGGCTCCTTCTGGTCTCACACCAAGCAGTCTCCTCATCCACTCTCTGGCTCCTTCTGGTCTCACACCAAGCAGTCTGCTCATTCACTCTCTGGCTCCTTCTGGTCTCACACCAAGTAGTCTCCTCATCCACTCTCTGGCTCCTTCTGGTCTCACACCAAGCAGTCTCCTCATTCACTCTCTGGCTCCTTCTGGTCTCACACCAAGTAGTCTCCTCATCCACTCTCTGGCTCCTTCTGGTTCCACACCAAGCAGTCTCCTCATTCACTCTCTGGCTCCTTCTGGTCTCACACCAAGCAGTCTCCTCAGTCACTCTCTGGCTCCTTCTGGTCTCACACCAAGCAGTCTCCTCAGTCACTCTCTGGCTCCTTCTGGTCTCACACCAAGCAGTCTCCTCATTCACTCTCTGGCTCCTTCTGGTTCCACACCAAGCAGTCTCCTCATTCACTCTCTGGCTCCTTTTGGTCTCACACCAAGCAGTCTCCTCATTCACTCTCTGGCTCCTTCTGGTTCCACACCAAGAAGTCTCCTCATTCACTCTCTGGCTCCTTCTGGTTCCACACCAAGCAGCCTCCTCATCCACTCTCTGGCTTCATCTGGTCTCACACCAAGCAGTCTCCTCATCCACTCTCTGGCTCCTTCTGGTCTCACACCAAGCAGTCTCCTCATTCACTCTCTGGCTCCTTCTGGTTCCACACCAAGCAGTCTCCTCATTCACTCTCTGGCTCCTTTTGGTCCTACACCAAGCAGTCTCCTCATCCACTCTCTGGCTCCTTCTGGTCTCACACCAAGCAGTCTCCTCATTCACTCTCTGGCTCCTTCTGGTTCCACACCAAGCAGTCTCCTCATTCACTCTCTGGCTCCTTCTGGTCTCACACCAAGCAGTCTCCTCATTCACTCTCTGTCTCCTTCTGGGGGCACGGGTGGCCCAGTCATCTAAGGCGACGCGATTTGCTGAGCAGAGTTGCATCCCTTGGGCACACCAGAAACCTATGAAGTTTTCAGCACCATACATGTGCTCGTGGGTTTCACCGAAGTGGTAAACTTCTGAGACCTACATGTCTTTGGGCTTTCCTCCCACATTAAGCTGACACACCGTGATATAACTGAAATATTGTTTAAAGCGGCGTTAAACCAAACTCACTCACTTATTCACTCTCTGACTTCATCTGGTCTCACAACAAGCAGCCTCCTCATCCTAAAGGGGAGCAGTTCCTCACCTGTCAGAGAAGTTTCAGCAATGTTGGTTGCCACTACGCACTTGCGGACACCGTCAGGAGCTTTCTGGAAGATTTTGGCCTGCAGGTCACTTGGCAGCTGGGAGTAGATGGGGAGGATGGCCAGGGGCGGTGCCTCATCCAGCTCTCCTAGTCTCTCTGTGGGGACAACAGATACATTAGCAATAGTTTAACACTGTCTCTGTGGGGACAATAGATACATCAGCAATAGTTTAACACTGTCTGTGTGGAGACAATAGATACATCAGCAATAGTTTAAAACTGTCTCTGTGAGGACAATAGATACATCAGCAATAGTTTAACACTGTCTCTGTGGGGACAATAGATACATCAGCAATAGTTTAACACTGTCTCTGTGGGGACAATAGATACATCAGCAATAGTTTAACACTGTCTTTGTGGGGACAATAGATACATCAGCAATAGTTTAACACTGTCTCTGTGGGGACAATGGATACATCAGCAATAGTTTAACACTGTCTCTGTGAGGACAATAGATACATCAGCAATAGTTTAACACTGTCTCTGTGGGGACAATAGATACATCAGCAATAGTTTAACACTGTCTCTGTGGGGACAATAGATACATCAGTAATAGTTTAACACTGTCTCTGTGGAGACAATAGTTACATCAGCAATAGTTTAACCCTGTCTCTGTGGGGACAATGGATACATCAGCAATAGTTTAACCCTGTCTCTGTGGGGAAAATAGATACATCAGCAATAGTTTAACACCGTCTCTGTGGGGACAATAGATACATCAGCAATAGTTTAACCCTGTCTCTGTGGGGACAATAGATACATCAGCAATAGTTTAACCCTGTCTCTGTGGGGACAATAGATACATCAGCAATAGTTTAACCCTGTCTCTGTGGGGACAATAGATACATCAGCAATAGTTTAACCCTGTCTCTGTGGAGACAATAAATACATCAGCAATAGTTTAACACTGTCTCTGTGGGGACAATAGATACATCAGCAATAGTTTAACACTGTCTCTGTGGGGACAATAGATACATCAGCAATAGTTTAACACTGTCTCTGTGGGGACAATAGATACATCAGCAATAGTTTTACACTGTCTCTGTGGGGACAATGGATACATCAGCAATAGTTTACCACTGTCTCTGTGGGGACAATCATGACAATGGATACATCAGCAATAGTTTAACCCTGTCTCTGTGGAGATAATAGATACATCAGCAATAGTTTAACACTGTCTCTGTGGGGACAATGGATACATCAGCAATAGTTTAACCCTGTCTCTGTTGGGACAATAGATACATCAGCAATAGTTTAACACTGTCTCTGTGGGGACAATAGATACATCAGCAATAGTTTAACACTGTCTCTGTGGGGACAATAGATACATCAGCAATAGTTTAACACTGTCTCTGTGGGGACAATGGATACATCAGCAATAGTTTAACCCTGTCTCTGTGGGGACAACAGATACATCAGCAATAGTTTAACACTGTCTCTGTGGGGACAATAGATACATCAGCAATAGTTTAACACTGTCTCTGTGGGGACAATAGATACATCAGTAATAGTTTAACACTGTCTCTGTGGAGACAATAGTTACATCAGCAATAGTTTAACCCTGTCTCTGTGGGGACAATGGATACATCAGCAATAGTTTAACCCTGTCTCTGTGGGGAAAATAGATACATCAGCAATAGTTTAACACCGTCTCTGTGGGGACAATAGATACATCAGCAATAGTTTAACCCTGTCTCTGTGGGGACAATAGATACATCAGCAATAGTTTAACCCTGTCTCTGTGGGGACAATAGATACATCAGCAATAGTTTAACCCTGTCTCTGTGGGGACAATAGATACATCAGCAATAGTTTAACCCTGTCTCTGTGGAGACAATAAATACATCAGCAATAGTTTAACACTGTCTCTGTGGGGACAATAGATACATCAGCAATAGTTTAACACTGTCTCTGTGGGGACAATAGATACATCAGCAATAGTTTAACACTGTCTCTGTGGGGACAATAGATACATCAGCAATAGTTTTACACTGTCTCTGTGGGGACAATGGATACATCAGCAATAGTTTACCACTGTCTCTGTGGGGACAATCATGACAATGGATACATCAGCAATAGTTTAACCCTGTCTCTGTGGAGATAATAGATACATCAGCAATAGTTTAACACTGTCTCTGTGGGGACAATGGATACATCAGCAATAGTTTAACCCTGTCTCTGTTGGGACAATAGATACATCAGCAATAGTTTAACACTGTCTCTGTGGGGACAATAGATACATCAGCAATAGTTTAACACTGTCTCTGTGGGGACAATAGATACATCAGCAATAGTTTAACACTGTCTCTGTGGGGACAATGGATACATCAGCAATAGTTTAACCCTGTCTCTGTGGGGACAACAGATACATCAGCAATAGTTTAACACTGTCTCTGTGGGGACAATAGATACATCAGCAATAGTTTAACACTGTCTCTGTGGGGACAATGGATACATCAGCAATAGTTTAACCCTGTCTCTGTGGGGACAATGGATACATCAGCAATAGTTTAACACTGTCTCTGTGGGGACAATAGATACATCAGCAATAGTTTAACACTGTCTCTGTGGGGACAATGGATACATCAGCAATAGTTTAACACTGTCTCTGTGGGGACAATGGATACATCAGCAATAGTTTAACACTGTCTCTGTGGGGACAATAGATACATCAGCAATAGTTTAACACTGTCTCTGTGGGGACAATAGATACATCAGCAATAGTTTAACCCTGTCTCTGTGGGGACAATGGATACATCAGCAATAGTTTAACCCTGTCTCTGTGGGGACAATGGATACATCAGCAATAGTTTAACGTGCCCCATCATTGGGAGTGACGTCATGACTAAGTTCCTGTCATCATCGTTCAGTTCAGACATCTTTTTGCTTGATGTTCCTCCCAGTCTAGGTGCGGGTCAGACAAGTACCTGGGCATGATGTACAATCTTACAAATACACTACAGTGGCCACGAGGATAAAACTTCAAAGTACAGAAATATTACGTGCAAGGTTGAAATTTACAGTTGGTCACATCGTTTTATTTAGCAGTTTGGGGTTTTGCAATTGATAGTGGGACCCATCATCGGGGAAGTTGGACAATTTGACGAAAATAAAGAAGAATGGTCATCGTATGCAAAAAGAGTGATTCTGTTTTTTGACGCAAACAAAATTCCGAACGAACGATTACTTTCAATACTCGGTGGCAGAACATATGGAGTGCTAAAATCTTTACTTTCGCCTGCGAGACCGTTAGACCACAGATTGGATTACATAGTGACACATCTACAGAATTACTACATGCCCAGACCACTAGTCATTGCAGAAAGATACAGATTTCACAAACGGATGCAATTTGAAAGTGAAACAGTTGAGCAATATTTGATTGCATTGAAGGGACTTTGTTTGGCGTTACTTTAAATGAGAGGCTGCGGGACCAACTTGTGCTTGGTTTGAGAACTATTCCAATTCAAAGGAAATTGTTAGCAGAAAATGATCTGACTGTTGACCAGGCATTGACAATTGCAAATTCTTTGGAATTAGCGGCCAAGGACTGTGATGAACTTAGCCGAGGTAGCGACAAGAGACACAGATCTACTGAGGTGTTTTCATATAACAGCAAACCTAGGACTGAAAACACTAAGTTCTATTATCGTTGCGGTAACTCATTTCACCTTGCTAACAATTGCAGATTTAAGGATACAGTGTGTTCATTCTGTAGAAAACGAGGCCATCTGCTGGCAGTTTGTCAAATGAGGAGTTCGGGTTGTGACCCAGGATCAAGTTCAAGGTCAACCGGAAATGGCAATGTAAACAATGGCTGTAAGAAACCAAATTCTCACATAAATGCCATTGACACGACTGACAATGATGATGATGTCATTGCCAATGATCTATCAGAGTGTTTGAATCAGATGTTTGCCATGCCCGGAAGTTCTGGGGTTATGTGGGTCACAGTCAACATAAACGATACTGACCTAAGAATGGAACTGGATACTGGTTCGCGAAATTCCATCATTACTGATGAAGTGTACAAGGATCGCTTTAATGGTTGTCACTTTGAAGAGTCCACAGTACCTTTGAGAACTTACACAGGTGAGCGTGTTACAAACTTTGGCGTACTGAAAGTTGATGTTGCAAATAGGAATGACGTGAAGACGTTAGAAGTTGTAAATGGGGAAGGGCCCCCACTGCTAGGTTGAGCTTGGCTACCATATGCGGACATTGACTGGGAAAAGCTTGGCGATGACATACACATGTGTAGGGAAGATTCAAGTCAGGAAAGGTTAGAAGAGATACTTGTGAAGTACTGTGATGTTTTCTCTGAAGAAATTGGTACAATTAAAGGTATTAAAGCTCACCTGTCTAGCAAAGAGGGGGTTCCCCCAGGTTCATGAAAGCAAGGCCGGTACCTTCTGCTTTACAGGACAGGGAGAAGAGTGGGGTATTGATTAAAGTGGATCACTGTGATAGTGGTGTAACGATACGTAGATACAGTATTGTATCCCGATGCACAGCCCACGATATGATGCATCGATTTGGAAAGCATGTATCGCGATACATACGATATTTTCATAACACAGTTTTACCTACCGTATTTTCTTGAGTATAGAGCGCACTTTTTTTCCAAAAAACACAGCTGTGTAGAAGGGGTTGCGCATTATACACGAATTAATGAGTTTTGATGTTTTTCCCCCATGGAAAGACATTACCGTGAGCGCGTAACACCGGAAATACCATGTCAACAAATCCATACTGAAGTTCGCAAATTATTCATGTAATTACACTGTCTGGCTATAAAAAAAAGTGTTCTTTGTATATCTGGACTCATGTTTGTAACTTATTTCATTAATTTTATTCAAAATTCCTTTTAATATTGTTTTAATTAATTTTTGTTGGACAATTCTATGTCAACACGTAATTCTCGCGAACACGCGATCACGTGCACGGGAGCCTTGACGGTGACTGGTCAGACTGGTTCCATGTAAAAAATAATACCCGGCAATAGCGATCAGCTGCTTCGCTTAGGGTTGTTATTATTTTAAATATGTTTAGTAAAAGCTGCATCTAAATTAACAATTAATATATTGGAATATATTATTCCTGATAAAAAAATAGTTTCAGATACAACTTTTGCCGATCCTTGCATTAAAATACTGTGAAGTTATATCATTGGGTGTGTCTTGACCGAATCACCGGTAGATTCCAAGAAAACGTGTGTACATGTACAGCTGATTGCTGTGTCCGGCGTAGTTTACGAGAAAATACACAAGGTAATCTTAATCCCTGGATATAAAACAATGCCTAGCTGAACAAAAAATACAATTTAAACGGTAAATCAACATGTCTGGTGATTTTCTATCTCAAATTTCGAATTTGTACTGACGAAGTTTCTCATCACCCGTTCGTTTGCCGGACTTCGCTGAAGGGGTACGGTGTAATTTCTTTCTGCGCATAATATTCAAATATCTTTTTTTCAAAAATATTGAACCCGCTAGAGGGGCGTGCGCATTATACATTGGTGCGCACTATACTCAAGAAAATACATGAAATACATGGGCGGATACAGCTTTTTTGAAAAGGGGGGGTGCACAATTAAGATCTATTTATTGTCTTTGGTGGTAATTTATACAGAAATAAAGATTTTTTTGGAAATAAAAAAGGGGGGGGGGGGGGGGGGGGGAGGGTGCGCCCATGAAATACGTTTAACAGTTTCAAAGCCAGTTGTTGTTTCAGTAAAACATACTGTATTGCTGACAATTTGCTATAACAGTAAATAAACACCTTATATCTTCTTCAACTGTACTTGTCACATCTTTTAGATAGCAGAAAGACATCAACTTGGCTTAGCTTGTACCAGTAAACACTGTATCGTGATATGTATCGTATCGCGATACGATACGTATCGCGACCCGTACGTATCGTTACACCTCTACACTGTGAGTGTTGAATGGTAACAAGTACCCACTGCACAAAATAGAAGATTTGTTTGCTACTCTGGCTGGTGGAAGAAAATTTTCCAAAATAGACTTAGCACATGCGTATCAACAGATGGAAGTGGATAGAGACTGTCGAAAGTATTTGACAATTAACACATCAAAGGGACTTTACAGGTATACCCGTCTTGCTTTTGGCATTGCCTCCGCCCCAGCCTCATTTCAGGCCACAGTGGACGAGGTATTGCAAGGCTTGGACAAAGTAGTGTGTCATCAAGATGACATTTTGGTAACTGGATCAAGTGATGATGAACATTTCAGAAATCTAGAGGCAGAGTTGAAGGGAGAATCGTCAGACGACGTGGAGATGTTTTACAACCGGCAGTTTGAGCGACTACCAGTTACTACTACTAATGTTAGAACGAAACAAGACGTGATCCTCTACTGTCTCAAGTGTACACAGCGGTGATGAATGGATGGACAAGAGAGTATGAGGAAGATTTCATGATGAAAGCATATCACAGTCGAAGGTTTGAACTCACTGTACATATGGGCTGTGTGATGTGGGGAATGAGAGTAGTAATTCCCTCTAAACTGAGACAGACTGTGTTGCAAGAATTACACACGGGCCATTTTAGAGTTGTGAAGATGAAATCTGGAGCAAGAAGTTACATTTGGTGGCCTGTGATAGATGGTGAAATAGAGGAAATTGCCAAGCCATGTTCAACATGCAAGAACACTCACAACAATCCACAGTTAGCCCCTGTACACCCATGGGCTTGGCCGTCGCGTCCATGGACCTGCATTCATCTTGACTTCCCAGGGCCATTTATGGGTCACATCTTTCTGTTAATTGTTGATGCATTTTCAAAATGGCCAGAAATTGTAGTAATGAATTCTACAACATCGAGTGCTACAGTGAAGGAAGTACGAAAGCTGTGTGCACAGTTCGGTTTGCCACATCAAGTGGTTACAGATAAAGGACCGCAGTTTGGGTCAGAAGAGTTCGAAGCATATTTGAAATGCAATGGTGTCAAACATATTTTGTCAGCTCCATATCATCCGGCTACGATGGACAAGCTGAGAGGGCAGTCCAGTCATTCAAACAGGCCATGAAGGCAGCTAAGGAAGACGGTGGATCTGTGTTGACAAAGGTTGATCAGTTTTTGCTTGCTTACAGGTCGACTCCTCATTGCACTACCCGTGAAACTCCAGCAAAGTTGTTTCTGGGTCGAGAATTAAGGACAAAGTTAGACTTGCTGAAACCAGACATTCAGTCTGCTATGTCATCTAAGTTGGCAGGTCAAATGAGTGATCCAGCTGAGACTAGACAACTGCAAGTAAACCAGGTGTGGGTGCGTGATTATCGTGCACATGACAAATGGATACCCGGGCACGTTTTGACAAAATATGGAGAGAGACATTAAGAAGTTGATGTTGGCGACAGGAGTTGTCGACGCCATATTGATCAACATCGAGGTAGAATTGCTACAGACATTGTTGAAGGTGACAAAATTTCGACCAAGAGTGGTATGGTGTCGGTACCGACTCATGAGACAAAGATGCAATAATTGTACCATCTGGCACGACAGACACTAATGCATTTGGTGATGGTTCGGGTAGAACATTGAATGTTTGGAGGCAGGTGGGTCTGTCGCCCCCAGAAGTTACCATGGTTACAAAACAAGCTGTCAGGCAAACAACTAGGACAGTAACAGCTCCTGACAGACTTAATCTGTAATGCCATAGGGCATAAACCAAAAGTGTGGTTAAGTTACTTACTGTGTTAAACAAGGAATTCATTTTGTGTAACTCAGTGGGTCAGTGTTAAAAAATGTAATATTGTAATTGTTCTTTTCTTTGTACATCAGAGGGGTGTTAGATTTTCGTTTCAAGGGTGAGAAATGTTGTGTTAGGTTTGTTTACATATTGTGAGTGCCAATGTGCACATGCTTTTACGCCATACGTCACGTGCCCCAGCATCGGGAGTGAAGTCATGACTATGTACCTGTGGTCAGTTACAAATAAATCATCGTTCAGTTCAGACATCTTGTTGCTTGATGTTCCTCCCAGTCTATGTGCGGGTCAGACAAGTACCTGGGCATGATGTACAGTCTTACAAATACATTACAGTGGCCACGAGGATAAAACTTCAAAGTACAGAAATATTACGTGCAAGGTTGAAATTTACAGTTGGTCACGTCGTTTTATTCAGCAGTGTGGGGTTTTGCAATTGATAGTGGGACCCAGTACAGTCTTACAAATACACTACACTCTGTTCAGTGTTCGAATAAAAAAACGATGCATGGAACGTTTCTAGACATGTTATTCTAACACTGTGCATCTTTTGCTGTGCAAATAGATCACTTCTATGGGCAGCCATTCGGTCAAAAAATACAAAGTTTGAAAAAAGGACAAAAATATGCAATTAAGGTCAAATATTACGAATAAAGAACTAAATGTTACTACTAAAGGTCAAAATACAATATTAATAGTCAAAGGTTACGAAAAGACGTCATAAGAAAAGAAAGAACAATGTGTACGAAAGGACGTTTTCAATAAAGAACATCAGTAAGCAGGAAAGGACGTTGACAATAAAGAACGTCAGTAAGCACGAAAGGACGTTTTCAATAAAGAACGTCAGCGAGCACGAAAGGACGTTGACAATAAAGAACGCCAGATGGCGCTGCAATTTGTAAAACATTCCGAGTTTAATCGGCTTGTTCCGCCGTGTATATGATAACTGCATGCCGAGGTGCACAATGTATTACGTCATTCCTCGTGCACTCACCATCTGACGTCACACATATATATATACATGTATTTATAATGTATAATGAACACATTTGGTTGGTTCTATCTGAACACGTTTAAGGCCTAAACACATGAAACGAGCTAAAAACTAAAAACCTAAAAACAACCTAAACACATCATCTGGACATTGCCTTGAGTTTATCAACTTTTAGTAAGATATTGCGTGACGATCTTAAAGTTACAAGATGAGAAGTGCGTTTCTTTACAAACTTAGTATATATCATGTGAAGGGCTTAACATTTCATTCGATAACTATTGACACCTCCTGAAAGCAACAGTGTTACTGGTTCTCACCTGAAATAAGCTCGCACGTCACTTCGATGTCTTCCTGGCCCGGCATGAAGATAAGCATATCACCTGCAACATCACAACAGCTCTCAGTTACAACCTGTCACATCATTTGTGAACATCACAGCTCTCAGTTACAACCTGTCACATCATTTGTGAACGTCACAGCTCTCAGTTACAACCACCTGTCACATCATTCATGAACGTCACAGCTCTCAGTTACAACCTGTCACATCATTTGTGAACATCACAGCTCTCAGATACAACCTGTCACATCATTTGTGAACGTCACAGCTCTCAGTTACAACCTGTCACATCATTTGTGAACATCACAGCTCTCAGTTACAACCTGTCACATCATTTGTGAACATCACAGCTCTCAGTTACAACCTGTCACATCATTTGTGAACGTCACAGCTCTCAATTACAACCTGTCACATCATTTGTGAACGTCACAGCTCTCAGTTACAACCTGTCACATCATTTGTGAACGTCACAGCTCTCAGTTACCCTGTAGGTGTACTGTCTCACCTTGCATCCCCTGTAGGTGTACTGTCTCACCTTGCATCCCCTGTAGGTGTACTGTCTAACCTTGCATGACCTGTAGGTGCACTGTCTAACCTTGTATGACCTGTAGGTGCACTGTCTCACCTTGCATGACCTGTAGGTGCACTGTCTAACCTTGCATGACCTGTAGGTGCACTGTCTCACCTTGCATGCCCTGTAGGTGTACTGTCTAACCTTGCATGCCCTGTAGGTGTACTGTCTAACCTTGCATGCCCTGTAGGTGTACTGTCTAACCTTGTATGCCTTGTAGGTGTACTGTCTAACCTTGCATGCCCTGTAGGTGTACTGTCTCACCTTGCATCCCCTGTAGGTGTACTGTCTCACCTTGCATGCCCTGTAGGTGTACTGTCTCACCTTGCATGCCCTGTAGGTGTACTGTCTCACCTTGCTTCCCCTGTAGGTTTACTGTCTCACCTTGCATGCCCTGTAGGTGTACTGTCTAACCTTGCATGCCTTGTAGGTGTACTGTCTCACCTTGCATCCCCTGTAGGTTTACTGTCTTACCTTGCATGCCTTGTAGGTGTACTGTCTAACCTTGCATGCCTTGTAGGTGTACTGTCTAACCTTGCATGCCCTGTAGGTGTACTGTCTCACCTTGCATGCCCTGTAGGTGTACTGTCTCACCTTGCATCCCCTGTAGGTGTACTGTCTCACCTTGCATCCCCTGTAGGTGCACTTGCAGGGCCTGTTTCACCGAGGCATCCACGTAGTCCTCCACTGGGTTCTTGCTGTACATGATGTCCACGGGGAACGTCCGACCAGGTATGGTGAAGATTGGAACGTTCCCAAAGAAACTTGCAAATTTACTGGCATCCATTGTGGCTGATGTAACAATCAGCTTGAGATCATTGCGTCTGGCGACCACCTGGCAAACACCAAACAGTGGTCATCGTACACTGAAGATAACGTTTTCAAAAGCTCAAACATTATAATGCTATTTATCTATTAGCTCTGTTTATCCAGTAGTAAGTCCCCTGTCCACAGTGTGGCAGTGTATTACATTGTTTAACAATGATTGTAACTGTGTTCCATTGTTTCTGTTGAGATTCGGTAGACGCTCATTGCATTGTGTTTGGACTATGATCGGTCGTCAGGAAATGACTATATTCAGATGCTAGTGTGGTGTGTAAACTTCTGGTCCAGTATACTGTGGATGGTGATAGTATGTTGTAGAAACGTCCTGACGACCTACAGACTGGACACAGCCAAGTGGTCAGTGCTACACACCTCCCTGAGTAGGCCAAACAGCACGTCTGTGTTGAGGGATCGCTCGTGAGCTTCGTCCATGATGACCGCACTGTAGTTATCCAGGTCGGACTCCCGGAGCGACTCTCGCAGCAGGATACCGTCAGTCATGTACTTGATCATTGTTTTCTGAAACACACATGAATGTTGCAACTATCATCTCCATAAACAGTTGTGCTTACTAAACTACAGGTGTGTTAGTTCACCTCATCCTGCAGACTGTAGACTATGCTATGTTGTTTACCTCGGAAGTGCAATCTTCAAAACGGATGGCATATCCAACCTCATCCCCGAGTTTGACGTCCAGTTCCTCCGAGACTCGTTTAGCAACTGACATGGCCGCCACCCTCCTGGGCTGAGTGCAGCCAACCATCCCGAACTTGGTGTAGCCATCCTCGTGGAGATACTGGGGGAAGGAGCAGCAGTGTCAGGACATCATGTACAGTAAGGCACCATTCACTCACTCACTCACTCACTCACTCACTCACCTGTGTAAGCTGGGTGGTCTGGTCAGTGTATAAACATCACTCACTCACTCACTCACTCACTCACTCACTTGGGGGCACGGGTGGCCCAGTGGTCTAAGGCGCTGCGATTCACTGTGCAGAGTTGCGTCCCTTGGGCACGCCAGAAACCTATGCTCATGGGTTTCATCGAAGTGGTAAACGTCTGAGACCTGCATCACTTTGGGCTTTCCTCCCACATTAAGCTGACATGCCGCGATATTACTGGAATAGTGTTAAAAGCAGCGTTACACCCAACTCACTCACACTCATTCACTCACTCACTCACCTGTGTAAGCTGGGTGGTCTTCCCAGAGCCTGTCTCCCCAACGATGATAATGATGCTGTTGTCTCGGATCACATTCAGCAGCTGAAGAAGAAACAACCTGCAGCTGTACCATGGACGACAACACTACAGCCCTGCGTTGACGGACGACAACACTACAGCCATGCGTTGACTGACGAGAACACTACAGCCCTGCGTTGACAGACACAACACTACAGCCCTGAGTTGACGGACGACAACACTACAGCCCTGCGTTGACTGACGAGAACACTTCAGCCATGCGTTGACTGACGAGAACACTACAGCCCTGCGTTGACGGACACAACACTACAGCCCTGAGTTGACGGACGACAACACTACAGCCCTGCGTTGACTGACGAGAACACTTCAGCCATGCGTTGACTGACGAGAACACTACAGCCCTGCGTTGACGGACACAACACTACAGCCCTGCGTTGACAGACACAACACTACAGCCCTGAGTTGACGGACGACAACACTACAGCCATGCGTTGACTGACGAGAACACTACAGCCCTGCGTTGACAGACACAACACTACAGCCCTGAGTTGACGGACGACAACACTACAGCCCTGCGTTGACTGATGAGAACACTTCAGCCCTGCGTTGACTGACGAGAACACTACAGCCCTGCGTTGACGGACACAACACTACAGCCCTGCGTTGACTGACGAGAACACTACAGCCCTGCGTTGACGGACACAACACTACAGCCCTGCGTTGACAGACACAACACTACAGCCCTGAGTTGACGGACGACAACACTACAGCCATGCGTTGACTGACGAGAACACTACAGCCCTGCGTTGATAGACACAACACTACAGCCCTGCGTTGACAGACACAACACTACAGCCCTGAGTTGACGGACGACAACACTACAGCCATGCGTTGACTGACGAGAACACTACAGCCCTGCATTGACTGACGAGAACACTACAGCCCTGCGTTGACGGACACAACACTACAGCCCTGCGTTGAGGGACACAACACTACAGCCCTGAGTTGACGGACGACAACACTACAGCCATGCGTTGACTGACGACAACACTACAGCCATGCGTTGACTGACGAGAACACTACAGCCCTGCGTTGACGGACACAACACTACAGCCCTGCGTTGACAGACACAACACTACAGCCCTGAGTTGACGGACGACAACACTACAGCCATGCGTTGACTGACGACAACACTACAGCCCTGCGTTGACGGACACAACACTACAGCCCTGCGTTGACAGACACAACACTACAGCCCTGAGTTGACGGACGACAACACTACAGCCATGCGTTGACTGACGACAACACTACAGCCCTGCGTTGACGGACACAACACTACAGCCCTGCGTTGACAGACACTGCACAACAGCCCTGAGTTGACGGACACTGCACTACAGCCCTGAGTTGACAGACACTGCACAACAGCCATGCGTTGACGGACACTGCACAACAGCCATGCGTTGACGGACACTGCACAACAGCCCTGAGTTGACAGACACAACACTACAGCCCTGCGTTGACGGACACTGCACTACAGCCCTCATCTCACCTGACACAATCTCCAGTGGAGGTGTCCTCATCTCACCTGACACAATCTCCAGTGGAGGTGTCCTCATCTCACCTGACACAATCTCCAGTGGAGGTGTCCTCATCTCACCTGACACAGTGGAGGTGTGCTCAGGTCTATGCAGGGAGGAAGCCTAATGGGATATAAGATCTGATTTCAATGAGCCTGTGACTTACCTCGTTCCTGATGGCAAATATAGGGAGGTACTTCCTCTGCTGTTGGATGGTGCGGCGCTGAGCGAACTCACTCACAGCCTGGGTCTTCTCCTGCATCAGGTCGGCAAACTTGTGGTCCTGTTTGAAGTCTTTCTCCTCCGTCTCATCCTGGAGCAAACAATTGGAATCTGACAGTGCTCGCTGTCTCTTCACTGACTGGGCTCCCGATGCCTACTTCACACATGGAATGGAAACTACTTGATTCTGACCAATCGGAGGTATCAAATCACAGGAACCACTTCAGAAAGTACACAGCCGATTTGACGGCCACATCACAGCGAAAGCTAGTATTCATAGAACAGTACTTCTTTTTCAGTCATTGTCAATTTGCATTTTTATACAATTACATGTACAGTTATAGTTTACATAATGCAGGGTTGTGGTATGTAAAACCTCCAGTGTAGGTGTGGGCATATGTTCTGGGCAGAAACACAACAGAAGTTGACTTGAGAAAGTGTATGGATGATGGCGAGGCAGGGACAAATCTGGTAATATTCCAAGCTGACTTTACAAAGAGAACTTGAGTGTGGCTGTGCCTACCTCCTCCTCCTTCTTCTTGATGCCCATAATGTCGCCCATCCTGGTGCCGGCCAACTCCCAGTGCTTAACCTGCGCCTTCCGCCGTTCTTTCTGTTCTCGGTGCGCCCGCACTACCTGACTGCCCTTCCGTGAAACCTGCGCCATATCGGACGTGGGATCCTAAAACAACCCATAGAAAAAGTAACCATGGTAACACTCGAAACAGTCTGTAGAAATAGTAACCATGGAAATACATGAAACAGTCTGTAGATATAGGAACCATGGTCGCACTTGAAACAGGCCCTAGAAATTGTAACCATGGTAACACAAGAAACAGTCTGTAGAAATAGTAACCATGGTAACACTAGAAATAGTAACATGTAAACTTCAAGTTGCCATGTGTTGTATTACCTTGACAGGGACGACGGGTTCGGGTTGTTTTGTGAACACTATACGTCCATCCAGGAATGGGGGGACTATATTATGAACCAACAAGTGTACGCGAGCTACGTTGTCTTCCTCAAAGTCCTCGTCGTAGTTGGTCTTCGCCACGACACCACTACGCAACATGCGGTTGGTCTCCCACATCTCAATATCCTGCAAAACATCTCACGTTTAATGACTTGCTTAAAGACGTGTATCTATGCATGTGTAAAAAGCCTCTACAACAAAGTACAAAAATGTCTTGTCATATTGCTTCTAAACAAGGTGACACAGTTTGGTCCCTGAGATGAACTGACAACAAACCCAGACATCAGTGAATTCCCTGATAGCTAGAAGCAGGTGCTTGCCTTACTTATCTGATCCCTGATAGCTAGAAGCAGGTGCTGACCTTACTTATCTGATCCCTGATAGCTAGAAGCAGGTGCTGACCGTACTTATCTGATCCCTGATAGCTAGAAGCAGGTGCTGACCTTACTTATCTGATCCCTGATAGCTAGAAGCAGGTGCTGACCTTACTTATCTGATCCCTGATAGCGTGAAGCATGTGCTTGCCTTACATATCTCTTCCCTGATAGCTAGAGCTTGAAGCATGTGCTTACCTTACTTATCTGATCCCTGATAGCTAGAAGCATGTGCTTACCTTACTTATCTGATCCCTGATAGCTAGAAGCATGTGCTTGCCATACTTATATGATCCCTGATAGTCAGAAGCATGTGCTTACCTTACTTATCTGATCCCTGATAGCTAGAAGCATGTGCTTACCCTACTTATCTGACCCCTGATAGCTTGAAGCATGTGCTTACCTTACTTATCTGATCCCTGATAGCTAGAAGCATGTGCTTACCCTACTTATCTGACCCCTGATAGCTTGAAGCATGTGCTTACCTTACTTATCTGATCCCTGATAGCTAGAAGCATGTGCTTGCCATACTTATATGATCCCTGATAGTCAGAAGCATGTGCTTACCTTACTTATCTGATCCCTGATAGCTAGAAGCATGTGCTTACCCTACTTATCTGACCCCTGATAGCTTGAAGCATGTGCTTACCATACTCATATGATCCCTGATAGCTTGAAGCATGTGCTTACCTTACTAATTTGATCCCTGATCGCTAGAAGCATGTGCTTGCCATACTTATATGATCCCTGATAGCAAGAAGCATGTGCTTGCCTTACTTATCTCTTCCCTAATGGCTTGAAGCATGTGCTTACCTTACTTATCTGACCCCTGATAGCTAGAAGCAGGTGCTTACTTTACTTATCTGCTCCCTGACAGCGTGAAGCATGTTCTTACCTTACTTATCTGACCCCTGACAGCTTGAAGCATGTATTTAGCTTACTTATCTGATCCTTGATAGCTAGAAGCATGTGCTTACCTTACTTATGTGATCCCTGATAGCTAGAAGCATGTGCTTGCCTTACTTATCTCATCCCTGATAGCGTAAAGCATGTGCTTGCCTTTCTTATCTGACCCCTGATATTGTGAAGCATGTGCTTGCCTTACTTATCTGACCCCTGATCGCTTGAAGCATGTGCTTGCCTTACTTATCTCATCCCTGATAGCGTTGAAGCATGTGCTTGCCTTACTTATCTGATCCCTGATAGCTTCAAGCATGTGCTTACCTTACTTATCTCATCCCTGCTAGCTTGAAGCATGTGTTTACCTTACTTATCTCATCCCTGATAGCTTGAAGCATGTGCTTGCCTTACTTATCTCATCCCTGATAGCGTGAAGCAAATGCTTGCCTTACTTATCTCATCCCTGATAGCGTTGAAGCATGTGCTTGCCTTACTTATCTGATCCCTGATCCCTTGAAGCATGTGCTTGCCTTACTTATCTCATCCCTGATAGCATGAAGCAAGTGCTTGCCTTACTTATCTTACCCCTGATAGCTTGAAACATGTGCTTGCCTTACTTATCTGACACCTGATAGCTTGAAGCATGTGCTTGCTTTACTTATCTGATCCCTGATAGCTTGAAGCATGTGCTTGCTTTACTTATCTGACCCTTGATAGCTTGAAGCATGAGCTTGCCTTACTTATCTGACCCCTGATAGCTTGAAGCATGTGCTTGCTTTACTTATCTGACACCTGATAGCTTGAAGCACATGCTTGCCTTACTTATCTGACCCCTGATAGCTTGAAGCACATGCTTGCCTTATTGATCTGTCGCTGCCGGGCAGACATCCTCTTCTTCTTCCTCTGCTCCATTTCTTCCTCCTTCTTCTTCGTGTACTCAGCAGAGGTGCCGGAGAAGGGGTTGTGGTCGTCATCGTACCCCTCGTCCATCCCGTACCACTCCCGGTCCAGGCGGCGCTGCTCTTCCTCCCATTCCTCCTGACTCTGTTCATCGCCAAACTCCATGTCCCGCTTGCCTGATCCAACAATCACACTCTACATTAACATCGTGAACAGCCCTTGTCATCACTGAACTCTGTGTCCCGCTTGCCTGATCCAACAATCACACTCTACATTAACATCGTGAACAGCCCTTGTCCTCACTGTCCTGTGTCCTGCTTGCCTGATTCAACATTCACACTCTACATTAACATCGTGAACAGCCCTTGTCATCACTGTCCTGTGTCCCTCTTGCCTGATTCAACATTCACACTCTACATTAACATCGTGAACAGCCCTTGTCATCACTGAACTCTGTGTCCCGCTTGCCTGATCCAACAATCACACTCTACATTAACATCGTGAACAGCCCTTGTCATCACTGAACTCTGTGTCCCGCTTGCCTGATCCAACATTCACACTCTACATTAACATCGTGAACAGCCCTTGTCATCACTGAACTCTGTGTCCCGCTTGCCTGATCCAACATTCACACTCTACATTAACATCGTGAACAGCCCTTGTCATCACTGAACTCTGTGTCCCGCTTGCCTGATCCAACATTCACACTCTACATTAACATCGTGAACAGCCCTTGTCATCACTGTCCTGTGTCCCGCTTGCCTGATCCAACATTCACACTCTACATTAACATCGTGAACAGCCCTTGTCATCACTGAACTCTGTGTCCTGCTTGCCTGATTCAACATTCACACTCTACATTAACATCGTGAACAGCCCTTGTCATCACTGAACTCTGTGTCTTACTTGCCTGATCCAACATTCACACTCTACATTAACATCGTGAACAGCCCTTGTCATCACTGTCCTGTGTCTTACTTGCCTGATCCAACATTCACACTCTACATTAACATCGTGAACAGCCCTTGTCATCACTGAACTCTGTGTCCCGCTTGCCTGATCCAACATTCACACTCTACATTAACATCGTGAACAGCCCTTGTCATCACTGAACTCTGTGTCCCGCTTGCCTGATCCAACATTCACACTCTACATTAACATCGTGAACAGCCCTTGTCATCACTGAACTCTGTGTCCCGCTTGCCTGATTCAACATTCACACTCTACATTAACATCGTGAACAGCCCTTGTCATCACTGAACTCTGTGTCTTACTTGCCTGATCCAACAATCACACTCTACATTAACATCGTGAACAGCCCTTGTCATCACTGAACTCTGTGTCCCGCTTGCCTGATCCAACATTCACACTCTACATTAACATCGTGAACAGCCCTTGTCATCACTGAACTCTGTGTCCAGCTTGCCTGATTCAACATTCACACTCTACATTAACATCGTGAACAGCCCTTGTCATCACTGAACTCTGTGTCTTACTTGCCTGATTCAACATTCACACTCTACATTAACATCGTGAACAGCCCTTGTCATCACTGTCCTGTGTCCTGCTTGCCTGATTCAACATTCACACTCTACATTAACATCGTGAACAGCCCTTGTCATCACTGTCCTGTGTCTTACTTGCCTGATCCAACATTCACACTCTACATTAACATCGTGAACAGCCCTTGTCATCACTGTCCTGTGTCCCTCTTGCCTGATTCAACATTCACACTCTACATTAACATCGTGAACAGCCCTTGTCATCACTGAACTCTGTGTCCCGCTTGCCTGATCCAACAATCACACTCTACATTAACATCGTGAACAGCCCTTGTCATCACTGAACTCTGTGTCCCGCTTGCCTGATCCAACATTCACACTCTACATTAACATCGTGAACAGCCCTTGTCATCACTGAACTCTGTGTCCCGCTTGCCTGATCCAACATTCACACTCTACATTAACATCGTGAACAGCCCTTGTCATCACTGAACTCTGTGTCCCGCTTGCCTGATCCAACATTCACACTCTACATTAACATCGTGAACAGCCCTTGTCATCACTGAACTCTGTGTCTTACTTGCCTGATCCAACATTCACACTCTACATTAACATCGTGAACAGCCCTTGTCATCACTGAACTCTGTGTCTTACTTGCCTGATCCAACATTCACACTCTACATTAACATCGTGAACAGCCCTTGTCATCACTGTCCTGTGTCCTGCTTGCCTGATTCAACATTCACACTCTACATTAACATCGTGAACAGCCCTTGTCATCACTGTCCTGTGTCTTACTTGCCTGATCCAACATTCACACTCTACATTAACATCGTGAACAGCCCTTGTCATCACTGAACTCTGTGTCCCGCTTGCCTGATCCAACATTCACACTCTACATTAACATCGTGAACAGCCCTTGTCATCACTGAACTCTGTGTCCCGCTTGCCTGATCCAACATTCACACTCTACATTAACATCGTGAACAGCCCTTGTCATCACTGAACTCTGTGTCCAGCTTGCCTGATTCAACATTCACACTCTACATTAACATCGTGAACAGCCCTTGTCATCACTGTCCTGTGTCCCTCTTGCCTGATCCAACAATCACACTCTACATTAACATCGTGAACAGCCCTTGTCATCACTGAACTCTGTGTCTTACTTGCCTGATCCAACAATCACACTCTACATTAACATCGTGAACAGCCCTTGTCATCACTGAACTCTGTGTCTTACTTGCCTGATCCAACAATCACACTCTACATTAACATCGTGAACAGCCCTTGTCATCACTGAACTCTGTGTCTTACTTGCCTGATCCAACATTCACACTCTACATTAACATCGTGAACAGCCCTTGTCATCACTGAACTCTGTGTCCGGCTTGCCTGATCCAACATTCACACTCTACATTAACATCGTGAACAGCCCTTGTCATCACTGTCCTGTGTCCCTCTTGCCTGATTCAACATTCACACTCTACATTAACATCGTGAACAGCCCTTGTCATCACTGTCCTGTGTCCCTCTTGCCTGATTCAACATTCACACTCTACATTAACATCGTGAACAGCCCTTGTCATCACTGAACTCTGTGTCCGGCTTGCCTGATCCAACATTCACACTGTACCATCATCACAGAGTACTAAGGGTTGCAAATGTGAAGATGTCATTGATTGGAAAGTTTAGTATGAATATATAGACACAACAGTATCCATATATCGATATATCGATAAATAACAAAATTGTTTACTCTGAATGTGTAGAGATACAGCAATTAATGAACTAATGCTAAAAATCAACTACCGATAGACTGATCCAATAAATGTTTAAAATGGAATGTCTGCCTTCCTGTGGTAATCGGCCCCGTATACAGGGAATACATAAAATGTTAATTTAATTTACATTGTCTCAAGACCATTGCATGATATATATACATGGCAAGATTTCTAATTCTACCTGGTTCAGGGGAGGACATCAACTGATTAAATGTATAACGAGATGGGTACACCTAAAATCGTTGACAAACATATTTTGCCCTAATCATGCTATTGACATTATAAGCATTACAAATCACAACCAAGTGAAACTCATCTCCAATAGTGTTACAATTACATAATTCACACATTCTCAGTTCTCCTGGTTGCCCAACAGATCTCCCTATTTCGATGTTTAATTGGTGTGAACTACATCTGAAAGGGCCTTGGTTACTCTAAATTTAGACAGTTATACATTTCCGGTACACTTCCGAGCAGAAGGATAGTTTAACATGTTTAAAGAGGGTACAACTATTTGTTTTGGAGCCCTGAAGGAGCGCATCATGCCAGTCTTGCTCGTATATCACCTTCACACAAAATATGAATTCTGCAACACAGTATTGACACACAAAACATATCAATAGATCAATATCACAATATACGATGACATCCCTAGAGCCTGCTACATGTACCCCAGTACTACAACAAGGGCTGGCAAGTATATACCGTATTCGACGTAATAAGCGCCCCGCTCTAATAAGCGCCCACAGCAACATTTGCTAATATATTGGCTAGTGAACAATCCCAATTAGCACCCCTTCCAATTGATCAATGTTCACAAGACTTATTTATTCGCGTACAATACGCACTCGTGTGTCATATGCACCCTTAATTATGGGCAATTAAATTCTAGAAAAATATATCTGTCTTACATAAACATTTCAGGCTGTCAGCATAAACCACGAAATTTATCTTTCAACTCTGTTTTTTTCACCAAAATAATATTCTAATGAGAGCCCCCTATTTCTAATTTTGAGAGCGCCCTGGGCGCGTATTACGTGGAATACGGTAACGTGCTGTTGCTGCATTATAGACAAGAGGAGATGTGACCAGCCACTGTTCCGACATAGAGATATCACGATGTCGTTACAACAATATTGCTGAACCTTTTCTTCATTGTTTTTCTAGAACCCACAAGGGGTTATATTTACAACAACTTATAAGAAACATTGCTGAGTGTCTTCCCTTAAATTATTAACGCTGAGGGGGATCATAAATCAGAACTCCTAGCATGTTGATTATTCTCTAAGACTCTGCCAGCAACAAGCTGATATGTACAACCAGAATTGAGGGTCTGTTGAGGAGGTGCTGAGGATGTATTCTATGAGTTGAGGGTTTGTGGAGCAGGTGCTGAGGATGTATTCTATGAGTTGAGGGTTTGTGGAGCAGGTGCTGAGGATGTATTCTATGAGTTGAGGGTTTGTGGAGCAGGTGCTGAGGATGTATTCTATGAGTTGAGGGTTTGTGGAGGAGGTGCTGAGGATGTATTCTATGAGTTGAGGGTTTGTGGAGCAGGTGCTGAGGATGTATTCTATGAGTTGAGGGTTTGTGGAGCAGGTGCTGAGGATGTATTCTATGAGTTGAGGGTTTGTGGAGGAGGTGCTGAGGATGTATTCTATGAGTTGAGGGTTTGTGGAGGAGGTGCTGAGGATGTATTCTATGAGTTGAGGGTTTGTGGAGCAGGTGCTGAGGATGTATTCTATTTCACTGACAGTGAGACAAAGTAACCGGACAGGAATGAATATTGCGACAGGTACGTTACCTCCCTTGGAGTCTTTAGGAGTGAACTGTATCTTCTTCTTATCATCCATCCACTCGTTGTACTTGTAAGTGGGCGTGGCTCTGGGAGTGTCGTCCACATTCTTCCTCATCTTTCTGCAAACAAGACATTTCTATTCAGCTTTTATCCAATTATCTAACATCTGACACTTTGATGAAAGGAAATAATGCAGGGTAATTCTCTATTTACAGAGCTCCAGATAACTTTTTTTGCAATTGAGTTTCTACTCGAAGGTTTCTATTTTAATTGGGTTATTACATTTTTCATTGGGTAACCAATATTTTTTCACTCATCTATTCATCACCCTATTGTGTTTTTCCCAAAATGAGTAAACATTTTGAGATCTTAAACAAAATGAAATGTCTAATATGTATATAACGTTCCTAAATATAGGCTTGACTCGGAAATTTGCACTTAATTGTGTTTCGGAAATTAATTCCGTTATACGCATACTGAAAAATGCTTCATTGGGTTTTTATACATTTTAGTTTTTCATTTAATGCATGTGTTTCTATACGCAAGTTGATTGAAAGTAATTGGGCTTTGAATATTTTTTGGGGAGTATTTTATACAATTATGCAGCTTATCTGTAGCTCTGTATTTATGATATCAAGGAACACCATGGTGCAGCACATTTCCACCCTGAACACCTCTGTTCCTCCCTTGGCCATAATCACATGCAGTGATTAATTCACACGATACACATTTCTAAGTCTTATTGTAGCTATTGAGGCACCACAAACCTCTTGTCTGAACGTCCTGATCGATCAGGCCAACCTCCACTCCTCTCGGACCTGTCCCAATCCTGACCTCTCTCAGACCTGTCCCAGGTGCGACCCCTCTCAGACCTGTCCCAGTCGCGACCCCTCTCGGACCTGTCCCAGTCACGTCCCCTCTCGGACCTGTCCCAGTCATGACTTGACTTGAAGCTTCTCTCACTGGAATCCCTGTCCAGCTCGGACTGAGACGGTGTGGGAAGATCCCACGCTGACCGCTTCAGAGGGGTGACATCGTCATCATCCCAGTTGGACCTCGACGGTGTGTCTGCATGGAGTACAGAGCATGGAGTACAGGGCGTGGAGTACAGAGCATGGAATACAGGGCATGGAGTACAGAGCATGGAACACAGAGCATGGACACAGGGCATGAACACAGAGCATGGACACAGGGCATGAACACAGGGCATGGAACACAAAGCATGGACACAGAGCATGGAACACAGAGCATGGACACAGGGCATGAACACAGGGCATGGACACAGGGCATGGACACAGGGCATGGAACACAGCATGAACACAGAGCATGGACACAGGGCATGGAACGCAGAGCATGGATGCAGAGCATGGACACAGAGCATGGAACACAGAGCATGGACACAGGGCATGAACACAGGGCATGGACACAGGGCATGGACACAGGGCATGAACACAGGGCATGGACACAGGGCATGGACACAGGGCATGGCACACAGAGCATGAACACAGAGCATGGACACAGGACATGGACACAGGGCATGGACACAGAGCATGGACACAGACCATGGAACACACAGAGCATGGAATACAGAGCACGGACACAGAGCATGGAACACAGAGCATGGACACAGGGCATGAACACAGGGCATGGACACAGGGCATTGACAGAGAGCATGGACACAGAGCATGGACACAGGGCATGGACACAGGGCATGAATAGAGGGCATGGACACAGAGCATGGCCACAGGGCATGAACACAGAGCATGGACACAGGGCATGAACACAGAGCATGGACACAGAGCATGGACACAGAGCATGGACACAGGGCATGGACACAGGGCATTGACAGAGAGCATGGACACAGAGCATGGACACAGAGCATGGACACAGGGCATGAATAGAGGGCATGGACACAGAGCATGGTCACAGGGCATGAACACAGAGCATGGACACAGGGCATGAACACAGAGCATGGACACAGAGCATGGACACAGAGCATGAACACAGGGCATGAACACAGGGCATGGACACAGGGCATGGACACAGGGCATGGAGACAGAGCATGAACACAGAGCATGGACACAGGGCATGAACACAGAGCATGGACACAGAGCATGGACACAGAGCATGAACACAGGGCATGGACACAGGGCATTGACAGAGAGCATGGACACAGAGCATGGACACAGAGCATGGACACAGGGCATGAATAGAGGGCATGGACACAGAGCATGGCCACAGGGCATGAACACAGAGCATGGACACAGAGCATGGACACAGAGCATGGACACAGGGCATGAACACAGGGCATGAACACAGGGCATGGACACAGGGCATGGACACAGGGCATGAACACAGAGCATGGAACAGGGAGCATGGAACACAGGGCATGGACACAGGGCATGAACACAGGGCATGGACACAGAGCATGGAACAAAGGGCATGAACACAGGGCATGGACACAGGGCATGAACACAGGGCATGAACACAGGGCGTGGACACAGAGCGTGGAACAGCGCATGGACACAGAGCATGAACACAGAGCATGGACACAGGGCATGGACACAGAGCATGGACACAGTGCATGGAACACAGTGCATGGACACAGAGTATGGAACACAGAGCATGGAACACAGAGCATGGAACACAGAGCATGAACACAGAGCATGGACACAGGGCATGGACACAGAGCATGGACACAGAGCATGGACACAGAGCATGTAACAGAGAGCATGGAACACAGAACATGGACACATGGCATGGACACAGGTCATGGACACAGAGCATGGACACAGGGCATGAACACAGGGCATGGACACAGAGCATGAACACAGAGCATGAACACAGGGCATGGACAGAGGGCATGGAACACAGGGCATTGACACAGAGCATGGAACAGAGAGCATGGAACACAGGGCATGGACAGAGAGCTTGGAACAGAGCATGTAACAGAGAGCATGGAACACAGAACATGGACACAGGGCATGGACACGGCATGGACACAGAGCATGGACACAGTGTATGAACACAGAGCATGGCCACAGGGCATGAACACAGGGCATTGACAGAGAGCATGGACACAGAGCATGGACACAGGGCATGAACACAGAGCATGGACACAGGGCATGGAACACAACATGGACACAGGGCATGGACACAGAGCGTGGACACAGGGCATGGATACAGACCATGGAACACAGACCATGGACACACGGCATGAACACAGGGCATGAACACAGGGCATGGACACAGGGCATGAACACAGGGCATGGACACAGGGCATGGACACAGAGCGTGGAACAAAGCATGGAACAGAGAGCATGGAACACAGGGCATGAACACAGGGCATGGACACAGAGCATGGACACAGAGCATGGACACAGTGCATGGAACACAGAGCATGGACACAGAGCGTGGAACACAGCATGGAACAGAGAGCATGGAACACAGGGCATGAACACAGGGCATGGACACAGAGCGTGGAACAGAGCATGGAACAGAGAGCATGGAACACAGAACATGGACACAGAGCATGGACACAGAGCATGAACACAGGGCATGGACACAGAGCATGGACACAGAGCATGGACACAGTGCATGGAACACAGAGCATGGACACAGAGCATGGAATACAGAGCATGGAACACAGAGCATGAACACAAGGCATGGCCACAGGGCATGGACACAGAGCATGGACACAGAGCATGGACACAAAGCATGGAACACAGAGCATGGACACAGAGCATGGAACACAGAGCATGGAACACAGGGCATGGACACAGGGCATGAACACAGGGCATTGATAGAGAGCGTGGAACAGAGCATGGAACAGAGAGCATGGAACACAGAACATGGACACAGGGCATGGACACAGAGCATGAACACAGAGCATGGAACAGAGAGCATGGACACAGGGCATGGACACAGGGCATGGAACACAGAAAATGAACACAGGGCATAGACACAGGGCATGAACACAGGGCATGGACACAGAGCATGAACACAGGGCATGGACACAGGGCATGGAACACAGGGCATGGACCCAGAGCATTGAACAGAGAGCATGGAACATAGGGCATGGACACAGGGCATGAACACTGGGCATGGACACAGAGCATGAACACAGAGCATGGAACAGAGAGCATGGAACACAGGGCATGGAACACAGGGCATGGAACAAAGCATGGAACACAGGGCATGGACCCAGAGCATTGAACAGAGAGCATGGAACACAGGGCATGGAACACAGGGCATGGACACAGGGCATGGACACGGGGCATGGACACAGAGCATGAACACAGAGCATGGAACAGAGAGCATGGACACAGAGCATGGAACAGAGAGCATGGAACACAGGGCATGGACACAGGGCATGAACACTGGGCATGGACACAGAGCGTGGAACAGAGCATGGAACAGAGAGCATGGACACAGGGCATGGACACAGGGCATGGAACACAGAACATGAACACAGGGCATGGAACACAGCATGGAACACAGAACATGAACACAGGGCATGAACACAGGGCATGGACCCAGAGCATTGAACAGAGAGCATGGAACACAGGGCATGGACACAGGGCATGGAACAGAGCATGGAACAGAGAGCATGGACACAGGGCATAAACACTGGGCATGGACACAGAGCATGGACACAGAGCATGGACACAGTGCATGAACACAGAGCATGGACACAGGGCATGGACACAGAGCATGGAACAGAGAGCATTGAACACACAGCAGGGAACACAGAACATGGACACAGGGCATGAACACAGGGCATGGACACAGGGCATGGAACACAGAACATGAACACAGGGCATGGAACACAGCATGGAACACAGAACATGAACACAGGGCATGAACACAGGACATGGAACACAGAACATGGACACAGGGCATGGACACAGAGCGTGGAACAGAGAGCATGGACACAGGGCATGGACACAGGGCATGGACACAGGGCATGGCACACAGAGCATGAACACAGAGCATGGACACAGGACATGGACACAGGGCATGGACACAGAGCATGGACACAGACCATGGAACACACAGAGCATGGAATACAGAGCACGGACACAGAGCATGGAACACAGAGCATGGACACAGGGCATTGACACAGAGCATGGACACAGGGCATGGACACAGGGCATGAATAGAGGGCATGGACACAGAGCATGGCCACAGGGCATGAACACAGAGCATGGACACAGGGCATGAACACAGAGCATGGACACAGAGCATGGACACAGAGCATGGACACAGGGCATGGACACAGGGCATTGACAGAGAGCATGGACACAGGGCATGAATAGAGGGCATGGACACAGAGCATGGCCACAGGGCATGAACACAGAGCATGGACACAGGGCATGAACACAGAGCATGGACACAGAGCATGGACACAGAGCATGGACACAGGGCATGAACACAGAGCATGGAACACAGAGCATGAACACAGAGCATGGCCACAGGGCATGGACACAGAGCATGGACACAGAGCATGGACACAGAGCATGGAACACAGAGCATGGACACAGAGCATGGAACAGAGAGCATGGAACACAGGGCATGGACACAGGGCATGAACACAGGGCATGGACAGAGAGCGTGGAACAGAGCATGGAACAGAGAGCATTGAACACAGAACATGGACACAGGGCATGGACACAGAGCATGAACACAGAGCATGGAACAGAGAGCATGGACACAGGGCATGGACACAGGGCATGGAACACAGAACATGAACACAGGGCATAGACACAGGGCATGAACACAGGGCATGGACACAGAGCATGAACACAGGGCATGGACACAGGGCATGGAACACAGGGCATGGACCCAGAGCATTGAACAGAGAGCATGGAACACAGGGCATGGACACAGGGCATGAACACTGGGCATGGACACAGAGCATGAACACAGAGCATGGAACAGAGAGCATGGAACACAGGGCATGGAACACAGGGCATGGAACACAGCATGGAACACAGGGCATGGACCCAGAGCATTGAACAGAGAGCATGGAACACAGGGCATGGAACACAGGGCATGGACACAGGGCATGGACACGGGGCATGGACACAGAGCATGAACACAGAGCATGGAACAGAGAGCATGGACACAGAGCATGGAACAGAGAGCATGGAACACAGAGCATGGACACAGAGCATGGAACAGAGAGCATGGAACAGAGAGCATGGACACAGGGCATGGAACACAGCATGGAACACAGAACATAAACACAGGGCATGAACACAGGGCATGGACACAGAGCATGAACACAGGGCATGGACACAGGGCATGGAACACAGGGCATGGACCCAGAGCATTGAACAGAGAGCATGGAACACAGGGCATGGACACAGGGCATGAACACTGGGCATGGACACAGAGCGTGGAACAGAGCATGGAACAGAGAGCATGGACACAGGGCATGGACACAGGGCATGGAACACAGAACATGAAGACAGGGCATGGAACACAGCATGGAACACAGAACATGAACACAGGGCATGAACACAGGGCATGGACCCAGAGCATTGAACAGAGAGCATGGAACACAGGGCATGGACACAGGGCATGGAACAGAGCATGGAACAGAGAGCATGGACACAGGGCATGAACACTGGGCATGGACACAGAGCATGGACACAGAGCATGGACACAGTGCATGAACACAGAGCATGGACACAGGGCATAGACACAGAGCATGGAACAGAGAGCATTGAACACAGAGCATGGAACACAGAACATGGACACAGGGCATGAACACAGGGCATGGACACAGGGCATGGAACACAGAACATGAACACAGGGCATGGAACACAGCATGGAACACAGAACATGAACACAGGGCATGAACACAGGGCATGGACACAGGACATGGAACACAGAACATGGACACAGGGCATGGACACAGAGCGTGGAACAGAGAGCATGGACACAGGGCATGGACACAGGGCATGGACACAGGGCATGGAACACAGCATGGAACACAGAACATGGACACAGGGCATGAACACAGCATGGAACACAGAACATGGACACAGGGCATGAACACAGGGCATGGACACAGAGCATGGGCACAGGGCATGGGCACAGCATGGAACACAGAGCATGGACACAGGGCGTAGAACAGAGCATGGGCACATGGCATGGACACAGAGCATGGAACACAGAACATGGGCACAGGGCATGGACACAGAGCATGGGCACATGGCATGGACACAGGGCATGGACACAGGGCAAGGATACAGGGCATGAAAAACAGAGCATGGACATACGGCATGAACATACGGCATGGACATACGGCATGGATACACGGTGTGGAACACAGAGCATAGATATCTAGTTCAGACAGTGAATGAGTTTTTAGCACTATTCAAACAATATCATGACATGGGACATGAGAAATGTAGTGCATGTTGTGCCTATGTGGAGAACTGAAACCGGGTCTTCTGCATTACAAGAGAACATGTTAAACACTAGGTTTCCCAACTACCCTGTACTTGAGAAGCTAACTTCACAGATCTGGTGCAGCAGTCTTGTCTCGGCACCTTGAACCTGCTCTGCTGCATCTTACACTCACCTTTCACTCGTATATCTGGTGTGGCAATCTCGTCTTTGTTCCTGTAGCTGTGTTCTGGGGTCTCCTCCCAGTCCTTGTACCTCCGGCCTCTTCTCTGAGAGTCATCGTGCTTCCTGGAACTTCTTTCACTGTGGCGGTCTCTCCTATCTGATGATTTAACATGCTCTTTATTCAAGGTTTGTTAAACAATTATTTTAGAATTTGTAAATAAACCTAAAAAGAACCTACAACAAACTCTTAGGAACTTGTGAAAATTGTTTGTTATATAAGCAGTTCACTGTTCACGAAACATTGCCTGCAGTTTTGGATTCCCTCGTTATTCATCATATCATTCTTGGCCTAGAAGGTCCAGTATGCAAAAACGCAGATTAAATATATATCTCATGTGATTATTAAAGATCTGTCAGCACCGCAGTGTTGTTTGCAGACCAGCAACAAACAAAAAATGTAAGGAGACACAGTCCTTCATCATAGTGCAGACCCAACCATCATGACCATCATAGACTTGCTTCAGGTGGCAATATAATAGATTGGTCAATGGTCAATGAAAACGTGAAATTTGCGATAAAACCTCACCTCATGCTCGGCATTGTTTTATATGCAGAAATTAAGATTACTCTGTGTATTAGTCTCGTAAACTATTCATGCTAAACAGCAATCAGCCAACCTGATGAACAAATGTTATTGTCATGATTGTGCCCACCCCTGTCTCTCCGTTTGTGTCTGTGTCTCTCCTTATCTCGACTCTCCTTGTCGTTGGAGGACACATAGACTCCCCTCTCTCGTTCTTTATGATGCTGCCTCATCCTCTCCTTGGCTTCTCGACTCACCCCACCTGGGTGAGATGGAGTCTCTACCTGAGCTGACCTGTAGTGCCTGAAACCACACAATGTACACACACTGTACACACACTGTACACACACTGTACAAACACTGCACACACACTGTACACACAATGTACACACACTGCACACACACTGTACAAACACTGCACACACAATATACACATAATGCACACACGCTGCACACACACTGCACACACAATGTACAAACACTGCACACACGCTGCACACACGCTGCACACACAATGTACACACGCTGTACACACAATGTACACACACTGCACACACACTGCACACACACTGCACACACACTGTACACACACTGTACACACAATGTACACACAATGTACACACACTGCACACACACTGTTCAAACACTGCACACATGCTGCACACACAATGTACACATAATGCACACACGCTGCACACATAATGTACACACAATGTACACAGACTGCACACACAATGTACAAACACTGCACACACGCTGCACACACAATGTACACACACTGCACACACACTGCACACACACTGTACACACTGTACACACAATGTACACACACTGTACACATAATGCACACACAATGTACACATAATGCACACACGCTGCACACACACTGTACACACACTGCACACACACTGTACAAACACTGCACACACACTGTACACACACTGTACATACACTATACAAACACTGTACACACTGTACACACACTGTACACACACTGTACAAACACTGCACACACACTGTACACACAATGTACACACAATGCACACACACTGTACAAACACTGCACACACGCTGCACACACAATGTACACATAATGCACACACGCTGCACACATAATGCACACACAATGTACACACACTGCACACACACTGCACACACAATGTACAAACACTGCACACACACTGTACACACAATGTACACACTGTACACACACTGTACAAACACTGTACACACACTGTACACACACTGTACAAACACTGCACACACACTGTACACACACTGCACACACACTGTACAAACACTGCACACACTGTACACACACTGTACACACTGTACACACACTGTACAAACACTACACACTGTACACACACTGTACACACACTGTACAAACACTGCACACACACTGCACACACACTGTACACACTGTACACACACTGTACAAACACTGCACACACTGTACACACACTGTACAAACACTGCACACACAATGTACACACGCTGTACACACGCTGTACACACACTGTACAAACACTGCACACACACTGTACACACACTGTACAAACACTGCACACACAATGTACACACAATGTACACACGCTGTACACACACTGTACACACACTGTACACACTGTACAAACACTGCACACACAATGTACACACAATGCACACTCCACACACAATGTACACACGCTGTACACACACTGTACAAACACTGCACACACAATGTACACACAATGCACACACACTGTACACACTGTACACACTGTACAAACACTGCACACACAATGTACACACACTGCACACACAATGCACACACACTGCACACACACTGTACACACACTGTACAAACACTGCACACACAATGTACACACAATGTACACACTGCACACACACTGTACACACACTACAAAAACTGCACACACTGCACACACAATGTACACACAATGCACACACACTGTACACACACTGCACACACACTACACACACTGCACACACTGTACAAACACTGTACACACACTGCACACACAATGTACACACACTGCACACACACTGTACACACACTACAAAAACTGCACACATTGCACACACAATGTACACACTGCACACACACTAGAAACACTGCACACACACTGGACACACACTACACACACAATGTACAAACACTGCACACACACTGTACACACTGCACACACACTGTACACACACTGCACACAAACTGTACAAACACTGTACACACACTGTACACACACTGTACAAACACTGCACACACACTGTACAAACACTGTACACACACTGTACACACACTGTACAAACACTGCACACACAATGTACACACACTGCACACACACTGTACACACACTGCACACACACTGTACAAACACTGCACACACACTGTACACACACTGTACAAACACTGCACACACAATGTACACACTGTACACACTGTACACACAATGTACAAACACTGCACACACACTATACAAACACTGTACACACACTGTACAAACACTGTACACACACTGCACACACAATGTACAAACACTGTACACACAATGTACACACAATGTACACACACTGCACACACACTGTACAAACACTGCACACACACTGTACACACAATGCACACACACTGTACAAACACTGTACACACAATGTACACACACTGTACACACACTGCACACACACTGTACACACAATGTACACACACTGTACACACACTGCACACACACTGTACAAACACTGCACACACACTGTACACACAATGTACACACACTGTACAAACACTGCACACACACTGTACAAACACTGTACACACAATGTACACACACTGTACACACACTGCACACACACTGTACACACAATGTACAAACACTGCACAAACACTGCACACACACTGTACACACACTGCACACACAATGTACACACTGTACACACAATGTACACACACTGTACAAACACTGCACACACACTGTACACACAATGTACACACACTGCACACACACAATGTACACACACTGCACACACAATGTACAAACACTGTACAAACACTGCACACACAATGTACACACACTGCACACACACTGCACACACACTGTACACACAATGCACACACACTGCACATACAATGTACACACACTGTACACACACTGCACACACAATGTACACACGCTGCACACACAATGTACACATAATGCACACACAATGTACACACAATGCACACACAATGTAAACACACTGTACACATAATGCACAAAATGTACACACACTGTACACACACTGCACACATAATGCACAAATACTGCACACACAATGTACACACACTGCACACACAATGTACGCACACTGCACACACAATGTACACACAAATGTACACAAATGTACACACACTGCACACACAATGTACACACACTGCACACAATGTACACACACTGCACGTAATGCACACACAATGTACACACACTGCACACACAATGTACACACACTGCACACACAATGTACACACACTGCACACACAATGTACACACCCTGCACACTTAATGTACACACACTGCACACACAAATGTACACACAATGTACACACAATGCACACACAATGTAAACACACTGTACACATAATGCACACAATGTACACACACTGTACACACACTGCACACATAATGCACAAATACTGCACACACAATGTACACACACTGCACACACAATGTACGCACACTGCACACACAATGTACACACAAATGTACACAAATGTACACACAATGCACACACAATGTACACACACTGCACACAATGTACACACACTGCACATAATGCACACACAATGTACACACACTGCACACACAATGTACACACACTGCACACACAATGTACACACAATTCACACACACTGCACACACAATGTACACACCCTGCACACTTAATATACACACACTGCACACACAAATGTACACACACTGCACACACAATGTACACACACTGCACACTTAATGTACACAATGTACACACTGTACTCACACTGCACAAAGAATGTACACACACTGTACACAAAAAGTACACACACTGCACACACAATGTACACACTGCACAGACACTGCACACACAATGTACACACACTGCACACAATGTACAAACACTGCACACACAACGACACATAAAACAACATATCAACATGATTAGTCATACCCAGTCATGCAAAGTACTGTAATATGTACATCAAGTAGGCACAAATGTAGAGAATGGATGTAAAGATATATATCAGGAGGGACACACAATAACATTGTTTGCATCTCCAGCACATGAAGAGCAGTTATCATGGTTATGGGAGTCTCTTATTTGATCTTATTTCATCCATTAATCATGACCACTGTCCACAGGATCATTGATTCATTCCAGGCTCTAAAGAAATTTTCTAAACGTACAGTACATTTCACCATTTCATTGATTTACAGGACGATTCACTGATACCTACGATATCATCGATACTCGGGTACAAATGATACTTTGATCGTCAGAATGTGAGATCGCGACATGCTAAATATAGAACAGGGCCCACTTACACAAAGCGATCTTAGCGCTAAGATGATCGTAACTCCCATACTTTAACATGGGTTTACGATAGTCTTAGAGCTAAGATCGCTGTGTGCAAGTGGGCCCAGGAATTGATTGAGTTAATTCTTTTGAAGGCAGAAGTAGCATAGCACAACTTGTTAGAATGGCAGATCACAAGGACATGGTGATAGAGGACTCACCATGCTCACTATTACATTCAATAACCATCCCTTCATTTAATACTGTTTTGTTCTTATCTTTCGTTCATAACAAATTTTTGTTTTGGAGATAATAATAAATAAATAAACAAGAGTGAGTGAGTATGGTTTTACGCCGCTTTTAGCAATATTCCAGCAATATCACGGCGGGGGACACCAGAAATGGGCTTCACACATTGTACCCATGTCGGGATTCAAACCCGGGTCTTCGGCTTGACGAGCGAACGCTTTAACCACAAGGCTACCCGACCGCCCCGTGTGAAACAAGAGGATTTAGAGTTGTATTTCAGAGATTTCTTCATTCCTTACTATTTGTTCTGGTGTATCGTGATACCAGTGATATTGTCAGTCCTTATCTTGATACGCATCGTGTCACAAGATACCAGGCGATACTCAGCTCAAATCTTCATGATCTTAGTAAGGATAAGAATTTATGGAAAAAACAACTTCATTATTACAAATACAATTAAGAACTTTTTTATTACAATTAAGAGCGACGTTTCGGTGTTGGAACCTACACCGAAATGTCGCTTTTAATTGTAATAAAGAAGTTGTTTATCCATAAAATCTTATCCTTACTTAGCATGCTTAGTACTCCAACTTCTAAATGACTATCAAAGAAGCTCTAATCTTGTCAATGCTAATCATGCTCATGCCAATGGTGATTTATGATTTCCACCTGTCTACACGTTTAACTTTCATCTCAAGTAATGTGAGCATTGCGACGTAGTGTCTTTGTTTGTGACAAAACAATTGTTTTGGTTTTTTTTGGCGGGGGGGAAGTACTGCACTTTACTAGCACACACTTTCAGATTTCAATTAGCATGATTAGCTCTGTATGAAGGATTGAACTCACCTTGCCACCTCTAAGCTAGCTAGACTAATGAGTTACAGTAACCATTTTTCTCAGCAAAACTTAATAAAAATGTTCCCCAAATTACCTCGGATTAATTTGTTAAATTAGGTTAATAACTAACTGATACCCTAACTCACAACTGACCCTAGGAATCTTAAAGGGGTACCAACCATAAGGCAATTGGCAAGGGGGGTGTTCAACCCCCTATGGGCTGCTTGATCATAACAGTCATCTAAAAGAGCTGGGTGTAATCTGCCCCAACCCTAAACACTGCTTAATATCGAAGAGACACGAGAGATCATTGGAGCCTGCAGCTGGGGCCAATAAGCTCTATATGCTGTGCCCTCTAAACTGCAGTCTTGACCTTTTTGAAAATCATGTTAATAGCTAAATATTTTTTCAATTTGAATTAACACATACCTCTCCTTCCCATGTTTCTTTTCTGTGATGCTTCTAGAATAATTTTCATCATCTTCAATGTCATCATACTCATCATCTTTGTATGACATGACCTTGGATCTCTTCGGAGACATTGGGACGTCACTGTTCTGGATACGTTTAGCTGCAGCCAATTTATCCAGTCCAAGTACAGACCCTGATGGTTTCTTGAACATATGTGGGTTATTGTTTGATTGTCCCTTCTTCATGATAACAAGTCCACCTTTCTGTAATCCTGAACTGCCCTCCAAGCAATGAAGTGACGGATCTTCATCAGACTCAAAGTTTGCCATTTTCAGATTATTCTCAGGTTATTCTTAAACTGACAAACTAAATTTGGAGAGCGGGTTTGTTTTCCTCCTGGTTGGTATTCTCCTGTGTATAAATCAGTATTGTTTCAACATCTGTCAGTTACTGGTCATGCTAACTAACAGATCAGTCAAATACCTTTACTTCAGTTCAGACACACTTCTTCAGACTCTGATCCTCAATGATCATGTAGGTATATTTTCATTATGTTGGAGGTACTAAGTTACTACTAACTGTAACATTCTTCTCTGATGATAAAAACCGGTAACTGTTTACATTTACAAATTGTGACGAGAATCTAAAACATATCAACATAAAGTAAACACAATAAACCTATCTCACGTTTCGATCTCAAAACGTGCTAAAATCATAATAGGCACTCTTTTAAATGAAGTAAATAAACAAATGTAAAGTTGTTTTAGGATCAGTTTCGTAAATCGAATGAATTAAGCTTTTTTATTGACCTGGATGAAACAAATATCTTCTATTATAAAAAGGTTCTAATTGTTGATACTTCTCTAACTTTAGAGTGAGTATTGTTAGTTTTTATTGTGAGTTCGTAACTAAATAGGAAGCAGCTTCACGTTTATGGATAGCAACAATAATGGCGGACACGCTCTTACTTAGAGCACTCAAAGGGAAACCGAAACAGTTGAATTTATGCAACAAGAAGCTTGACAGGGTACCAAAGATAATTGGAAAGATAGATTGCCTTGTCCAACTTCAGTTGAAAAATAACAAATTGCAGAACTTGCCTCAGGAATTTGAAACTTTGTATCAGGTAAGACAGATCAAGAAAAAGTCGGAAGAGATCGAGATACTATTCATGAGTATTCTCTCTCTTCGTGAATGAATATTGAAGGGTACTCTAGGCTCAACGCACGTTTTACGATTACCATCTTCCACGGCTGCGTTTGATGACTCAGGGTCCTTTTCACTAAAATAAAGGTGTAGTATAGTTATTTTCAGGGCGCTTCAAACAACACCTCAATTATTGTGTAACACTTACTGATAATTGACAGGTTTATGGCAAATCAATGACTGAGGCTCTACAGTGGGTTCCAGGTAGAATACAGAAAACCAGATACCTTCCGCCATAAATGTCATTTTGGCCTACCTTAAGAATACAGTACCACAAACTTTTCAAACACGTGACAATACCCTATGACGTAATTTGCAGTATTTTGTTACCAGTCACACCGGCGAAACAATGCCCTGTGACGTCAGGGGTCATCGAGTGTGCATAAGCTCCTCCCAGTGATCTATCATCTCTACACGAAATGTCATTGAATATGCCAAGCGCTGTGGAGAGTTTTGAATATTTGTGTACTGAATATAGCCTGCGGCAGCGCATTTTATAGCAAGCGCTAGATTACGAAAACGCTTTTATTTTTTATATTTTTTTTTTTCGTTTTTCTCGTAATTCAATTGGCTAAAAGGGTTATAAATGGGAACTAATATACATATAATATTTTTTCGGTGCATTAATTTTAATTATAATGCACAAGAATGTAGTTTATTAGGGATATTATTTTGGCGCTGAACACATCAAAATATCGCTGCTAGGGTAGGTTACCCCGAACTCTATCCTTAGCCCTTGGATCCCCTTTACGATCAATCACCCCTTCACGATCATTAGGATTCAGTAAATCTACCCGTTTAGTTTCTATTATAGATTCTACAGTGGCTCCTAATATTCTTCAGACAAAAACATCGAGTAAAAAGAATGAAATGGTTTTGTGTCGAATACTTCGGCTACTGGAAACTGTCCTGGAACATTCACACAAGCCACTTTCACCGGCTACATTTTTTCAGCACTGATTCAAAAGCGAATTCACCGTTGTGTCGTCACTAGCCATGCACATGCCTCCCTCATTCCTTACAATTATCCACATCATCCTTACAGTGTTCCCAACCACACTTTTCTGTCACACAATCCACCCGACGAATTATTAAATAACACGTCATTCATGTGTACTCGCGAGTTCGACGTCTGACGTCTGACGCCGGGAGCTATTTTCAGTTCGCCCCATATCGGATCATTCCTCGCCACTCGGTATCTTGTAGATTACGGAATGGGACGAGTGTGCCATATGAATACAGTAGCACAACTTCTCGTGAGGACGGTCTCTGTCGCAGATCACATGTCTCAAAGACAAGCAACCAGTTTTTGTGAGAATCCGTCAGACGCGAACTCGCGACCTTCGGATTGTTAGCCCGACAGCTAACCGACTGAGCTATGTCCACACTATGAAACAAAGTGCAAATGTACCTAGTCATGCCTACATTGTTACAGAACTGAACAAAAAGGGTTGAATAGGTGATGGACCCTTACGAGGGTTACGGATAGGCATTGTGTCTAGTGACTTAAGTCTATTGACACTTACAAATGATCCCGATGTCATATGGCACACTTGTCCCATTCCGTAATCTACAAGATACAAGGAATGATCCGATATGGCGCGAACAAAAAACATCTCCTGGTGTCAGACGTCGAACACGCGAGTACACATGAATGACGTGTTATTTAATAATTGGTCGGAAGGATTTTGTGACAGAAAAGTGTGGTAGGGAACACTGTAAGGATGATGTGGATAATTGTAAGGAACGAGGGAGGCATGTGCATGGCTAGTGACGACACAACGGTGAATTCGCTTTTGAATCAGTACTGAAAAAGTGTAGCCGGTGAAAGTGGCTTGTGTGAATGTTCCAGGACAGTTTCCAGTAGCCGAAGTATTCGACACAAAACCATTACATTCTTTTTACTCGATGTTTTTGTCTGAAGAATATTAGGAGCCGCTATAGAAACTATAATAGAAACTAAACGGGTAGAATTACCGAACCCTAATGATCGTGAAGGGGTGATTGATCGTAAAGGGGATCCAAGGGCTAAGGATAGAGTTCGGGTAATCTAATAGCCACTAAACGGATACCTAAACCTAATGATCGAAAAGGGGTGATTGATCGTAAAGGGGATCCAAGGACTAAGGAAAGAGTTTGGTGTAACCTACCCAAACATTAGCGATATTTTGATGTGTTCAGCGCCAATATAACATCCCTAATAAACTACATTCTTGTGCATAATAATGAAAATTAATGCACCGAAAAAATATTATATGTATATTAGTTCCCATTTATAACCCTTTTAGCCACTTGAATTACGAGAAAAACGAAATAAAAAATATATAAAAAATAAAAGTGCTTTCGTAAACTAGCGCTTGCTATAAAATGCACCGCCGCAGGCTATATTCAGTACACAAATATTCAAAACTCTCCACAGCGCTTGGCATATTCATTGACATTTCGTGTAGAGATGATAGATCACTGGGAGGAGCTTATGCACACTCGATGACCCGTGACGTCAGAGGGCATTGTTTCGCCAGTGTGACTGGTAACAAAATACTACAAATTACGTCATAGGGTATTGTCATAGGGTATTGTCACGTGTTTGAAAAGTTTGTGGTACTGTATTCTTAAGGTAGGCCTAATATTTTATCAACATGGTGGACAGAGAACTCATGATGAGGAGCAGATGGTCATCTTCCGCAGGCCGAACGAATTATATAGCGTTGTCGTCTTGAGCATATTTAATTACATACAGATGGTCATCTTCCGCAGGCCGAATGCATCATATAGCATTGTCGTCTTGAGCATATTTAATTACATACAGATGGTCATCTTGCACAGGCTGAACGCATTATATAGCATTGTTGTCTTGAGCATATTTAATTACATACAGATGGTCATCTTGCACAGGCTGAACGCATCATATAGCATTGTCGTCTTGAGCATATTTAATTACATACAGATGGTCATCTTGCACAGGCTGAACGCATTATATAGCATTGTTGTCTTGAGCATATTTAATTACATACAGATGGTCATCTTGCACAGGCTGAACGCATCATATAGCATTGTCGTCTTGAGCATATTTAATTACATACAGATGGTCATCTTGCACAGGCTGAACGCATTATATAGCATTGTCGTCTTGAGCATATTTAATTACATACAGATGGTCATCTTGCACAGGCTGAACGCATTATGTAGCATTGTCATCTTGAGCATATTTAATTACATACAGATGGTCATCTTGCACAGGCTGAACGCATCATATAGCATTGTCGTCTTGAGCATATTTAATTACATACAGATGGTCATCTTGCACAGGCTGAACGCATTATATAGCATTGTCGTCTTGAGCATATTTAATTACATACAGATGGTCATCTTGCACAGGCTGAACGCATCATATAGCATTGTCGTCTTGAGCATATTTAATTACATACAGATGGTCATCTTGCACAGGCTGAACGCATTATGTAGCATTGTCATCTTGAGCATATTTAATTACATACAGATGGTCATCTTGCACAGGCTGAACGCATCATATAGCATTGTCGTCTTGAGCATATTTAATTACATACAGATGGTCATCTTGCACAGGCTGAACGCATTATATAGCATTGTCGTCTTGAGCATATTTAATTACATACAGATGGTCATCTTGCACAGGCTGAACGCATCATATAGCATTGTCGTCTTGAGCATATTTAATTACATACAGATGGTCATCTTGCACAGGCTGAACGCATCATATAGCATTGTCGTCTTGAGCATATTTAATTACATACAGATGGTCATCTCGCACAGGCTGAACGCATCATATAGCATTGTCGTCTTGAGCATATTTAATTACATACAGATGGTCATCTTGCACAGGCTGAACGCATTATATAGCATTGTCGTCTTGAGCATATTTAATTACATACAGATGGTCATCTTGCACAGGCTGAACACATCATATAGCATTGTCGTCTTGAGCATATTTAATTACATACAGATGGTCATCTTGCACAGGCTGAACGCATCATATAGCATTGTCGTCTTGAGCATATTTAATTACATACAGATGGTCATCTCGCACAGGCTGAACATATTGTCAAGTGTAGTTGTCCTGAGCATATTTAATTACTTACAGAAGTTACTTTGATCATCATAAAATCAAAATAGATTCAAATTAAAATGAGGAGATAATATTAAGGTGTCTGATACATTTCAGGCAATTTGTGTAAATCCAGTCTGTGTGTTGTTAATGTCATGAAAGTTGATACTTGCGTAGTTATTGGTTAGGATCAACACATTTGTTCCTCTTTTTGCAGTATTTTAAACTTTGACCTTTGCACTTTTACTATACTCCTAAATTCTTCCCACTGTAAACATCATCTCTTCAAACCACTGGACCAATGAAGCTGAAACATGTCCCCTCCAATGATGACACTCCAAAATGTCTTCGGATTTTGCAATGACCGCCACCATAACAGTAACTGTCTTGCTCTCAACTCCATTCACAGTTGGAGGTGCTGAATCTTGGCAACAATGAGTTTGAAGTACTACCGGAAGTTCTGCAGTCGGCAAGAAATCTGGACAAGCTTCACTTGTTTAATAACCAACTCACAACGCTTACCCCACAAGCCCTCAGTAAGTCTCAGAGAGGATTGACATTCTCTCTTGTGTAGTGTTTTTAGGAGAGAAGCTTCTCTCGTGTAGTGTTTGTTGGAGAGAATCTTGTATTGCGTTTGTAGGAGAGAAGCTTTTATCATCCAAAACTGGCTCACACAGGAGATATCGCTTGGGTGAGATCAAGCGATATCTACACTGTAGATATCGCTGCAATGACATTGCATCACAATGCTTTGCAGACCATTGTGATGTCATTGGTTACCATGACGTCACAATCAAATGACATCATTAATGGCTCTACTACTAAAGCTGTTAGCAGTACTTTTTACACTTTAGACACTGATTATTACTGTCTACAAACTGAAATAGTTGGAAGAATGATGTTGGATGATAAATAAAATCTCACCCTTGTGTCTATTGATATCAAATATATCAACACTCGTTGATAAAAGTGGAAAAAATCCTCGGCAAGCCTTGGATTTTACCCACTTTTATCAACACGTGTTGATATATTTGATATCAAAAGACATTCGGGTGAGATTCTCTATCTCTCGTGTATAGTGTTTTTAAGAGAATCTTCTCTCTTGTATAGTGTTTGTAGAAGAGAATCTTTTCTCTTGTGTGGGGTGTTTGTAGGATTGAAACTTCTCTCCTGTATCTACAAGTGAATTCATTCTTGTTCCAGGTGGCCTCGTGAACCTCACCCTCCTCAATCTAAATGGAAACAAATTAAAAACACTCCCTCCAGAGATTTGTAGGTAAGACCCTTCCTGTGTACTGTACGCATGGTTCAAATAATCATGGGCTTCACACATTGGCCTTTGGCTGGATGAGTGTATGCTTTAACCCCAAGGCTACCCCGCCAACCCAGGCTACCCCACCAACCCAGGCTACCCCACCAACCCAGGCTCCCCCACCAACCCAGGCTACCCCGCCAACCCAGGCTCCCCCACCAACCCAGGCTACCCCGCCAACCCAGGCTCCCCCGCCAACCCAGGCTACCCCGCCAACCCAGGCTACCCCGCCAACCCAGGCTACCCCGCCAACCCAGGCTCCCCCGCCAACCCAGGCTACCCCGCCAACCCAGGCTACCCCGCCAACCCAGGCTACCCCACCAACCCAGGCTACCCCACCAACCCCACCAACCCAGGCTACCCAACCAACCCCACCAACCCAGGCTACCCCACCAACCCCACCAACCCAGGCTACCCCACCAACCCAGGCTACCCCGCCAACCCAGGCTCCCCCACCAACCCAGGCTACCCCGCCAACCCAGGCTACCCTGCCAACCCAGGCTACCCCACCAACCCAGGCTACCCCGCCAACCCAGGCTACCCTGCCAACCCAGGCTACCCCACCAACCCAGGCTACCCCACCAACCCAGGCTACCCCACCAACCAAGGCTACCCCACCAACCCAGGCTACCCCACCAACCCAGGCTACCCCACCAACCAAGGCTACCCCACCAACCCAGGCTACCCCACCAAGCCAGGCTACCCCACCAACCAAGGCTATCCCACCAACCCAGGCTACCCCACCAACCCAGGCTCCCCCACCAACCCAGGCTACCCCGCCAACCCAGGCTACCCCACCAACCCAGGCTACCCCACCAAGCCAGGCTACCCCACCAACCAAGGCTACCCCCCCAACCCAGGCTACCCCACCAACCCAGGCTACCCCACCAACCCAGGCTACCCCCCCAACCCAGGCTACCCCACCAACCCAGGCTACCCCACCAACCCAGGCTACCCCGCCAACCCCACCAACCCAGGACTTGATGAACATCTATGATGGTATCATTGAGTAGTCTAATCTGAGCCACTGTCCAGGTTTAGAAAGATGCTGCTGTACTTGAGCATGTTGTGTGTGGACAACACTTTACTGACAGAGCTGCTCATCAATGTCAAAGTTGTGAACTGGTCTGTTGTGTTGTGTTTCTCCAGACTCTCCAGCCTTCAACACTTGAGCCTGGACAACAACTTACTGACAGAGCTGCCCATCGAGTTCTGTGCTCTCACCAAGTTGCAGGAGCTCCATGCTGCGGGGAATCGGCTGACGTCATTACCGCTGGAGTTCGGCTTCCTCAATGGGCTGGAAAAATTACATCTACAGAAAAACCAGATCCGAGAACTACCAGAGGTAGGGACAGTAACGTATACGACACAAAGTTATGATACAATCCATATATCATGGTGGTGCAATCATGACACGATCCATATATCATGGTGGTGCAATCATGACACGATCCATATATCACGGTGGTACAATCATGATACGATCCATATATTATGGTGGTGCGATCATGACACGATCCATATATCACAGTGGTGCAATCATGATACGATCCATATATCACAGTGGTGCGATCATGACACGATCCATATATTACGGTGGTGCAATCATGACACGATCCATATATCATGGTGGTGCAATCATGACACGATCCATATATCACAGTTGTGTGATCACATACAATACATATATCACAGTTGTGTGATCATGATACGATCCATATATCACGGTGGTGCGATCACATACAATACATATATCACAGTGGTGTGACCATGATATGATCCATATATCACAGTGGTGCGATCATGAGACAATCCATATATCATGGTGGTGAGATCACATACAATACATATATCACAGTGGTGTGACCATGATATGATCCATATATCACGGTGGTGCGATTACGTACAATACATATATCACAGTGGTGTGATCATGATACAATCCATATATCACGGTGGTGCGATCACGTACAATACATATATCACAGTGGTGCAATCATGACACGATCTATATATCACGGTGGTGCGATCACGTACAATACATATATCACAGTGGTGCAATCATAACACGATCTATATATCACGGTGGTGCGATCACGTACAATACATATATCACAGTGGTGCAATCATAACACGATCTATATATCACGGTGGTGCGATCACGTACAATACATATATCACAGTGGTGCAATCATAACACGATCTATATATCACGGTGGTGCGATCACGTACAATACATATATCACAGTGGTGCAATCATAACACGATCTATATATCACGGTGGTGGGATCACATACAATACATATATCACAGTGGTGCAATCATGATGCGATCCATATGTCACAATGTAACAATCATGATACAAACTATATATCATGGTAGTGCAATCATGACGTGATCCATATATCATGTGGTGAGATCACGTACAATACATATATAACAGTGATGCAATCATGACACAATCCATATATCACAGTGATCCAATCATGACACGATCCATGTATCACGGTGGTGCGATCATGATACAATCCATATATCACAGTGGTGCGATCATGAGACAATCCATATATCACGGTGGTGCGATCATGAGACAATCCATATATCACAGTGGTGCGATCATGATACGATCCATATATCACAGTGGTGCGATCATGATACGATCCATGTATCACGGTGGTGCGATCATGATACAATGCATATATCACGGTGGTGCGATCATGAGACAATCCATATATCACAGTGGTGCGATCATGATACGATCCATATATCACAGTGATGCGATCATGATACAATGCATATATCACGGTGGTGCGATCATGATACAATCCATATATCACAGTGGTGCGATCATGATACGATCCATGTATCACGGTGGTGCGATCATGATACAATGCATATATCACGGTGGTGCGATCATGAGACAATCCATATATCACAGTGGTGCGATCATGATACGATCCATGTATCACGGTGGTGCGATCATGATACAATGCATATATCACAGTGGTGCGATCATGATACAATCCATATATCACAGTGGTGCGATCATGATACGATCCATATATCACGGTGGTGCGATCATGATACAATCCATATATCACAGTGGTGCGATCATGATACGATCCATGTATCACGGTGGTGCGATCATGATAGGATTCATATATCACAGTGGTGCGATCATGATACAATGCATAAGTCAATAGAAGAATGACACAAGCTGGTGATGAAGATTTATTGAAACCAAAATATTTGATGATGGTGATGATTATGATAATGATGAGGTTGATGAAGAGGATGTCAATTAAATCGGATTCAAAACCTTTAACTTGATGAAGAAAAGGGTACTTTTTTTATGTTAACCAAAATGTTTGTTGATTGTCTTTGTTTGCAGAGTTTGAGTAAGTGCTACCGACTGAGAGTGATTGACATCGCAGCAAATGAACTTCGGATATTTCCTACAGAGGTGGGTTATAGAAGTCTTCTGTTATTCCCTAATCAGCAATGCTCCGGCAATTCATTGCTGTCTCCATGGGAGTGTTCAACTTGAACAGAATGCCAGTTACACAGTTATATCACTGGGTGACAGTTCCATGTGGCCGACAGCCCAGCCTCAAGCTGAACCCTGGGAACTCAAGGACTGACAAACTGATTCCTCAAGGCATGGAACTCAGACTTAGGGTTGGGGCAAGTGATTAGTATCTGGGCTTGGAGCCCGGAGTGGTGATTAGTATCTGGGGTTGAAGCATGGACTAGTGATTATTAGCTGGGCTTGGAGCATGGACTAGTGATTAGTATCTGGGCTTGGAGCATGGACTAGTGATTAGTATCTGGGCTTGGAGCATGGACTAGTGATTAGTATCTGGGCTTGGAGCATGGACTAGTGATTATTATCTGGGCTTGGAGCCCGGAGTGGTGATTAGTATCTGGGGTTGAAGCATGGACTAGTGATTAGTATCTGGGGTTGGAGCATGGACTAGTGATTAGTATCTGGGCTTGGAGCATGGACTAGTGATTAGTATCTGGGGTTGGAGCATGGACTAGTGATTAGTATCTGGATTTGGAGCCCGGACTAGTGATAAGTATCTGGGCTTGGAGCATGGACTAGTGATTAGTATCTGGGCTTGGAGTATGGACTAGTAATTAGTATCTGGGCTTGGAGCATGGACTAGTGATTAGTATCTGGGCTTGGAGCATGGACTAGTGATTAGTATCTGGGCTTGGAGCCCGTACTAGTGATTAGTATCTGGGCTTGGGGCCCAGACTAGTGATTAGTATCTGGGCTTGGAGCATGGACTATTGATTAGTATCTGGGCTTGGAGCATGGACTAGTGATTATTATCTGGGCTTGGAGCCTGGACTAGTGACTAGTATCTGGGCTTGGAGCATGGACTAGTGATTAGTATCTGGGCTTGGAACCCAGACTAGTGATTAGTATCTGGGCTTGGAGCCCGTACTAGTGATTAGTATCTGGGCTTGGGGCCCAGACTAGTGATTAGTATCTGGGCTTGGAGCATGGACTAGTGATTAGTATCTGGGCTTGGAGCATGGACTAGTGATTAGTATCTGGGCTTGGAGCATGGACTAGTGATTAGTATCTGGGCTTGGAGCATGGACTAGTTATTAGTACCTGGGCTTGGGACTAGTGATTATTATTTCAATTAGATACTGTTCATGTTGTGTGCTCAGATTGCTTTGTGCAGCAGATAGTTGTATTCAGAAAATAATAAGACTTGTACGTGTTGTCACATCTCTTGCTGATGTACAAAATCCTTTCGAACTAAAATAATCCCAGCAGTAAAGTCGATCTGTCTGTCCAGTTTGCAGCACTCCCCCTGAAGGAGATTCACTGCGAGGAAAACCCCCTCCTGCAACACATACCTGTACACTCAGTGCAGGAGGAAGAGGTGTTGTCGTTAAAGGTAGGTAGACAGTTAGAGCATCAGACTTACCTCCCCATGCTGCTGTTCTGTAGACGGTCCATGCTGCTGGTCTGTGTCCGGCATTTGTCATCTAGTCTTGTATTTCCTTGTCCAAGTTTTGCACTTGTGAACGACACTATGAAACACATGGTTTTGCTTATAAAGAACTGTAAACATATTCCCCATACACTTTATTGTGTATTGAGACTGTTGCTGGAGGGGATTCCCCTACAAGGGAGATAACCTGTGTACTGACACTGTTTGACTGTATTGTCCTTCTTCAGGAGATCTGTGCACGCTACATCATGAGGGAGCTAAAAGATCGGTGAGTAGCTGCCACCTTTTTCCTGTCCGCAGACAAGGATCTCCTCTATAGCCTTCTGGGTATGTTTTGAGACATTGATGTCAAGGGTCAAGGTTATCATCAAGGTCATTGCCTGAAAAAAGGTTTGTTTCCTGCACAAGAAACATTTGCTACAGATCAATGATACGTAGTATATCCTTAAGACAGAGTTGCCCACGTTTGTGTATTATCTAAGGTCAAGGTCACATTGAAGGTGACTCATAAAGTATGTCACCATTTTTACTTAAATGTCTTTTTCTGCAGATGTGTATTTATGTATTGGTTATGTGATTTGAAAGCTTATGTATGACGAGTGATCACGTTGTTTTCAAGATAGTAGTAGGTCATGGTGACCCTTGGGAATTTTCTTGAAATACTTGTAGCTAATCTTAAAAGTCTCATTCACTGTTTTGGCCATACACATATACATATATCATAGTTGGGCACTGATTCCGGTTTTGAGTGACCTTTATTGGAGGTCAAGGTTACTGTAATGAAGGTCATTGTTTCCCTTGTGTACTGAACCTGGTGGGCATGTCATATCTTTGTTATTATATTGTTATACATATATCGCAGGCATCCAGGTACTGGTATCTGCTCAAATGCGGTTTTATTTGTTCCTCGACCAGTGGATCCGTTTGCATTGCGGTTATCATTCTCAACTCCCTGGGGAGTATACAACCCAAACCTGCTAGGGGCGCAAGAAGTTACCCATTCCCTACTGGGTGAACAGAGGCACTTTTGAACTAAGTCACTTGCCCAGGGTGACACCACAAGTTTTGACACTTGTTTCGGGTGTATGTACGTATTCGTGTTTCCACCATCTGGTCATCTACCATCGGACGAGTGGGTTCTATTTGAGTGCACAGGGTGAATGTACTGTACACTAGGGGTAGTGACAACACTGTAGAGACCTGTAAACATTGTTGTCCCAAGGCTGAATAACAACCCAGTCACTCGCGGGATACGATCCCAGCACCTGGCGCTTGCTACCCTGGCGCTTTTGACCGCTTGCCCACTCTGCCCTCTAAATATTTTGTAACAGCTAACACACATGTCTGCGAGTAGAAATAATCAAGCATGTCAGTGGCCCAAAGTAGCAAGAGGAATGGCATGGCACATTCAGGTTTTAGGTCATGTGTTTTCCTCGACCACAAGTATTATATAATGGCATCAGACCCGCAGTTAGGTTGCTCATGATGTTGGCTGGAGGAATGGTACTGTTATCTAGTTGATGCTGTGGAGGGTTTCCTCGTAGTTACGTGGCATCCCACTGGCAATGACGATGGTGTGTAATTATATCAAGGGTCTCTCCAAATGGGCTGTTTCTGCTTCAGTTACTTTTCTTATCATTACGTTAACTATTTATTAATTGTTGAATAACAAATGTTGGAACTCTTTCTAATGAATGTTGTGCTGCTGGTCTGAAGTCTGGAGCTGGGACACCCTGGTAGTGTGAAGGTCGTGTACGGCAGCTCCAGTGTACACAAATAAGTTGACAGAACACAACTTGTTGTTTGTCCAGGTAGAAGATAGGGATGTTTATTTTTAACATATGTACAGACACTATCACACAGTTTATCATATACTAATTTCCTATTTCAATCTGGGCTGATATTTCAGGGTGAGTCCACAAGTGTAAGTATTTAGTCAGACAAAACAGATCTCACAGTTTCTACTGAGTAACTAGTTAGTCTTAGATGTAGGGTTAAATATAATTACTGACCCGTTAGTACAGTGTTATTTCAAACAGTTTCTGCTGAATTGCTAGTTAGTGTAGTTAGACTCAGTGTCATGTGTCACGACACACCAGTTAGTACAGCATTACAACACAGTTTCTGCTGGATTGCTAGTTCGTGTAGTTAGACTCAGTGTCATGTGTCACGACACACCAGTTAGTACAGCATTACAACACAGTTTCTGCTGAATTGCTAGTTAGTGTAGTTAGACTCAGTGTCATGTGTCACGACACACCAGTTAGTACAGCATTACATCACAGTTTCTGCTGGATTGCTAGTTAGTGTAGTTAGACTCAGTGTCATGTGTCACTTGTTGCCGGAGCTGTGACTGTAGACTGTATTTCCCCGACTAGGTATGCGTACCTGCGGCGAGCTATCCGCCACTACCCCGAGATCCGGGACATGCTCAGTCAGGCCAGTAAGTGTGCCGTGTGCGGCGAGTCCTTCCTCAACACATGGCTGGAGTGTGTCAAGTTCATCAGTGCAAAACAGGTGGGTTCGGACATACGTTGTTCAATACTTGAGGAAATATCAGAAATAATAATGTAATGTCTTAGTGTAGTGTTGATATTGGATATTTATGTATCTTTGATATTTGATTATGGATATAAAAGAGTCAAAGATAGATTCATGTGAACTGAAGTGACCTGATGTTTCAGCACACAGTCTGTACGTATGTGAGCAGTGATTAGTATGTGAGCAGTGATTAGTATGTGAGCAGTGATTAGTATGTAGCTAACATGACTCCCACCAACCATTCTGCCACCGTCATAAAGCTGGAATATTGTTGAGCGTGGCGTTAAGCAACAAACAAACAAAACTAACCATCCTGCCACATGACTGATGATTGTAAGGTTGTGTCGTGCACAGGTTACTGACAGATCATTGATGGTCAGGCTGTTTTGTGTTTCCCAGGATTTGAAAGTGGGGAACCTCCATGGCCTGATGCCGATCAGAGCTCTTCTCTGCTCCTACAAATGTTTCAACGCTAAAGGACATGAATTCTACGGAGTAGCCTTTCCCTGATTGGATTTGTGTTACGACTCGATTGGTGATGCTTTTGTCCCCCAGCGAGAATAATCTCCCCATGTTCAGACTGTGTATGATTGTCAGATGTGGGGTTACTTCCACTGTTACTTCCACTGAACAGTTGGCAAATATGAGCATCAGAAACAGAAAAAATTATTTTCTGAATAAAATAGGCCGGTACGAGAAATACATATATTTTAGGGCTGTACGAGCAATACATACATTTTAGGCCGGTACGAGAAATACATATATTTTAGGGCTGTACGAGAAATACATACATTTTAGGGCTGTAAGAGAAATACATACATTTTAGGCCTGTACGAGAAATACATACATTTTAGGGCTGTACGAGAAATACATACATCTTAGGCCTGTACGAGAAATACATACATTTTAGGGCTGTACGAGAAATACATACATTTTAGGGCTGTAAGAGAAATATATACATTTTAGGCCTGTACGAGAAATACATACATTTTAGGGCTGTACGAGAAATACATACATCTTAGGCCTGTACGAGAAATACATACATTTTAGGCCTGTACGAGAAATACATACATCTTAGGCCTGTACGAGAAATACATACGTTTTAGGAATGCGTAGAAGTAGGGGTGGGTTGATTATTGGTAGATTTCAGTGACTGAAACTTGTCATAAACTTACTTGATGGTATTACTGCTGAACAGCTTGTAACACTTTGTCATTGATGTGGGTGACATTGGACTTTGGATGACATTGACGTGGGTGACATTGGACTTGGATGACATTGATGTGGGTGACATTGGACTTGGATGACATTGATGTGGGTGACATTGGACTTGGATGACATTGATGTGGGTGACATTGGACTTGGATGACATTGATGTGGGTGACATTGGACTTGGATGACATTGATGTGGGTGACATTGATGTGGGTGACATTGGACTTGGATGATATTGATGTGGGTGACATTGGACTTGGATGACATTGATGTGTGTGACATTGGACTTAGATGACATTGATGTGTGTGACATTGGACTTGGATGACATTGATGTGGGTGACACTGGACTTGGATGACATTGATGTGGGTGACATTGGACTTGGACGACATTGATGTGGGTGACATTGGACTTGGATGACATTGATGTGGGTGACATTGGACTTGGATGACATTGATGTGGGTGACACTGGACTTGGATGACATTGATGTGGGTGACATTGGACTTGGATGACATTGATGTGGGTGACATTGGACTTGGATGACATTGATGTGGGTGACATTGATGTGGGTGACATTGGACTTGGATGATATTGATGTGGGTGACATTGGACTTGGATGACATTGATGTGGGTGACATTGGACTTGGATGACATTGATGTGGGTGACATTGATGTGGGTGACATTGGACTTGGATGATATTGATGTGGGTGACATTGGACTTGGATGACATTGATGTGGGTGACACTGGACTTGGATGACATTGATGTGGGTGACATTGGACTTGGATGACATTGATGTGGGTGACATTGATGTGGGTGACACTGGACTTGGATGACATTGATGTGGGTGACATTGGACTTGGATGATATTGATGTGGGTGGCATTGGACTTGGATGACATTGATGTGGGTGACATTGGACTTGGATGATATTGATGTGGGTGACATTGGACTTGGATGACATTGATGTGGGTGACATTGGACTTGGATGACATTGATGTGGGTGACATTGATGTGGGTGACATTGGACTTGGATGATATTGATGTGGGTGACATTGGACTTGGATGACATTGATGTGGGTGACATTGATGTGGGTGACATTGGACTTAGATGACATTGATGTGTGTGACATTGGACTTGGATGACATTGATGTGGGTGACATTGGACTTGGACGACATTGATGTGGGTGACATTGATGTGGGTGACATTGATGTGGGTGACATTGGACTTGGATGACATTGATAGTGGGTGACACTGGACTTGGATGACATTGATGTGGGTGACATTGGACTTGGATGACATTGATGTGGGTGACATTGGACTTGGATGACATTGATGTGGGTGACATTGGACTTGGATGACATTGATGTGGGTGACACTGGACTTGGATGACATTGATGTGGGTGACATTGATGTGGGTGACATTGGACTTGGATGACATTGATGTGGGTGACATTGGACTTGGATGACATTGATGTGGGTGACATTGGACTTGGACGACATTGATGTGGGTGACATTGATGTGGGTGACATTGATGTGGGTGACATTGGACTTGGATGACATTGATGTGGGTGACACTGGACTTGGATGACATTGATGTGGGTGACATTGGACTTGGATGACATTGATGTGGGTGACATTGGACTTGGATGACATTGATGTGGGTGACATTGGACTTGGACGACATTGATGTGGGTGACATTGGACTTGGATGACATTGATGTGGGTGACATTGGACTTGGATGACATTGATGTGGGTGACATTGGACTTGGATGACATTGATGTGGGTGACACTGGACTTGGATGACATTGATGTGGGTGACATTGGACTTGGATGACATTGATGTGGGTGACATTGGACTTGGATGACATTGATGTGGGTGACATTGGACTTGGATGACATTGATGTGGGTGACATTGGACTTGGATGACATTGATGTGGGTGACATTGGACTTGGATGACATTGATGTGGGTGACATTGGACTTGGATGACATTGATGTGGGTGACATTGGACTTGGACGACATTGATGTGGGTGACATTGATGTGGGTGACATTGATGTGGGTGACATTGGACTTGGATGACATTGATGTGGGTGACACTGGACTTGGATGACATTGATGTGGGTGACATTGGACTTGGATGACATTGATGTGGGTGACATTGGACTTGGATGATATTGATGTGGGTGACATTGGACTTGGATGACATTGATGTGGGTGACATTGATGTGGGTGACATTGGACTTAGATGACATTGATGTGTGTGACATTGGACTTGGATGACATTGATGTGTGTGACATTGGACTTAGATGACATTGATGTGGGTGACATTGGACTTGGATGACATTGATGTGGGTGACATTGGACTTGGATGACATTGATGTGGGTGACATTGGACTTGGATGACATTGATGTGGGTGACATTGGACTTGGACGACATTGATGTGGGTGACATTGGACTTGGATGACATTGATGTGGGTGACACTGGACTTGGATGACATTGATGTGGGTGACATTGGACTTCGATGACATTGATGTGGGTGACATTAGACTTGGATGACATTGATGTGGGTGACAAAGATATGTCCACATTACTGTGATATTGTGTATTCTTGGATGTATGTTAAGGATGTGTCCACATGACTGTGATATGGTTTATTGAAGGATTGCTGTGATGCCAAATCATTTTTACCCCGTTATTTGTACTATTGCTGGAATAACTATTGAACCTCAACTAGTGTCAGTATTCTGAATAAAGCTGAATATATCATACATCACTTCTTGACTTTGTGTGCTGGTGACGAGGTGTCTCACTCTGAGGTTAAGGGCTGAATGAGACTCAACCCAAACAAGAACTGGAATTTGTACTTTACTACTTCGTGGTGGGGGCAATAAAACATTTGTTATACATCACTTTTTGTTGTTCACCATAAGTGATGTAGCACCAGTACCAGAGACCATGAGACCATCACACAGAAGTCCACAAGTTATACCATACAGACACTTCAAATGAGAGTCCACAAGTTATAACATACAGACCCATCACACAGAAGTCCACAAGTTATAACATACAGACACTTCACACAGAAGTCCACGAGTTATAACATACAGACCCATCACACAGAAGTCCACAAGTTATAACATACAGACCCATCACACAGAAGTCCACAAGTTATAACATACAGACACTTCACACAGAAGTCCACAAGTTATAACATACAGACACTTCACACAAGAGTCCACAAGTTATAACATACAGACACTTTAAATAAGAGTCCACAAGATATAACATACAGACCCATCACACAGAAGTCCACAAGTTATAACATACAGACATTTCACATGAAAGTCCACGTGTTATAATGTAAAGACACTTCACACAAGAGTCCAGGAGTTATAATGTAAAGACACTTCACACAATAGTCCAGGAGTAATAATGTAAAGACACTTCACACAATAGTCCAGGAGTTATAATGTAAAGACACTTCACACAAGAGTCCAGGAGTTATAATGTAAAGACACTTCACACAAGAGTCCAGGAGTTATAATGTAAAGACACTTCACACAAGAGTCCAGGAGTTATAATGTAAAGACACTTCACACAAGAGTCCAGGAGTAATAATGTAAAGACACTTCACACAATAGTCCAGGAGTTATAATGTAAAGACACTTCACACAATAGTCCAGGAGTTATAATGTAAAGACACTTCTAACAAGAGTCCAGGAGTAATAATGTAAAGACACTTCACACAATAGTCCAGGAGTTATAATGTAAAGACACTTCACACAAGAGTCCAGTATTTATAATGTAAAGACACTTCACACAAGAGTCCAGGAGTTATAATGTAAAGACACTTCACACACGAGTCCACAAGTTATAACATACAGACACTTCACACAGAAGTCCACAAGTTATAACATACAGACACTTTAAATGAGAGTCCACAAGATATAACATACAGACCCATCACACAGAAGTCCACAAGTTATAACATACAGACCCATCACACAGAAGTCCACAAGTTATAACATACAGACCCATCACACAGAAGTCCACAAGTTATAACATACAGACACTTCACACAGAAGTCCACAAGTTATAACATACAGACACTTCACACAGCAGTCCACATGTTATAATGTAAAGACACTTCACACAAGAGTCCAGGAGTAATAATGTAAAGACACTTCACACAATAGTCCAGGAGTTATAATGTAAAGACACTTCACACAAGAGTCCAGGGGTTATAATGTAAAGACACTTCACACAAGAGTCCAGGAGTTATAATGGAAAGACACTTCACACAAGAGTCCAGGAGTTATAATGTAAAGACACTTCACACAAGAGTCCAGGAGTTATAATGTAAAGACACTTCACACACGAGTCCAGGAGTTATAATGTAAAGACACTTCACACAAGAGTCCAGGAGTTATAATGTAAAGACACTTCACACACGAGTCCAGGGGTTATAATGTAAAGACACTTCACACACGAGTCCAGGAGTTATAATGTAAAGACACTTCACACAAGAGTCCAGGAGTTATAATGTAAAGACACTTCACACACGAGTCCACAAGTTATAACATACAGACACTTCACACAGAAGTCCACAAGTTATAACATACAGACCCATCACACAGCAGTCCACGTGTTATAATGTAAAGACACTTCACACAGCAGTCCACGTGTTATAATGTAAAGACACTTCACACAAGAGTCCAGGAGTTATAATGTAAAGACACTTCACACAATAGTCCAGGAGTTATAATGTAAAGACACTTCACACAATAGTCCAGGAGTTATAATGTAAAGACACTTCACACATAAGTCCACATGTTATAACGTAAAGACACTTCACACATAAGTCCACATGTTATAACGTAAAGACACTTCACACAAGAGTCCAGGAGTTATAATGTAAAGACACTTCACACAAGAGTCCAGGAGTTATAATGTAAAGACACTTCACACACGAGTCCAGGGGTTATAATGTAAAGACACTTCACACACGCGTCCAGGAGTTATAATGTAAAGACACTTCACACAAGAGTCCAGGAGTTATAATGTAAAGACACTTCACACACGAGTCCACAAGTTATAACATACAGACACTTCACACAGAAGTCCACAAGTTATAACATACAGACCCATCACACAGAAGTCCACAAGTTATAACATACAGACCCATCACACAGAAGTCCACAAGTTATAACATACAGACACTTCACACAGCAGTCCACGTGTTATAATGTAAAGACACTTCACACAGCAGTCCACGTGTTATAATGTAAAGACACTTCACACAAGAGTCCAGGAGTTATAATGTAAAGACACTTCACACAAGAGTCCAGGAGTTATAATGTAAAGACACTTCACACAAGAGTCCAGGAGTAATAATGTAAAGACACTTCACACAATAGTCCAGGAGTTATAATGTAAAGACACTTCACACAATAGTCCAGGAGTTATAATGTAAAGACACTTCACACAATAGTCCAGGAGTTATAATGTAAAGACACTTCACACAGAAGTCCACATGTTATAACGTAAAGACCCTTCACACAAGAGTCCAGGAGTTATAATGTAAAGACACTTCACACAAGAGTCCAGGAGTTATAATGTAAAGACACTTCACACAAGAGTCCAGGAGTTATAATGTAAAGACACTTCACACAAGAGTCCAGGAGTTATAATGTAAAGACACTTCACACAAGAGTCCAGGAGTTATAATGTAAAGACACTTCACACACGAGTCCAGGAGTTATAATGTAAAGACACTTCACACAAGAGTCCAGGAGTGATAATGTAAAGACACTTCACACACGAGTCCAGGGGTTATAATGTAAAGACACTTCACACACGAGTCCAGGAGTTATAATGTAAAGACACTTCACACACGAGTCCAGGGGTTATAATGTAAAGACACTTCACACAAGAGTCCAGGAGTTACAATGTAAAGACACTTCACACAAGAGTCCAGGAGTTATAATGTAAAGACACTTCAAACAAGAGTCCAGGAGTTATAATGTAAAGACACTTCACACAAGAGTCCAGGAGTTATAATGTAAAGACACTTCACACAAGAGTCCAGGAGTTATAATGTAAAGACACTTCACACACGAGTCCAGGAGTTATAATGTAAAGACACTTCACACAAAGAGTCCAGGAGTTATAATATAAAGACACTTCACACACGAGTCCAGGAGCTGCTGTAATTAAGTGACAGTGCAGTGTTTACCAGATCCAATGTTTACTTGGTTGAGACAAGAGCAAAGAAACACTGATATTTCAAATACTTTATTCTTGCTTTTCCTTGAAAAAGTATACACATCAAAAAGAGACCTTAAATATGAGGGAAACATCTGAGTTGTATGATCACAAAATAATTGTATTCTTTGAAACATAATTCTTGTTAGTCTTATAAATGATACATGTATCTCCAACAAAAAAAAGTTGTTCACCTTCGAAAAAAAGGCAGATATTTAGTCATGTTAGTATTCAGTAATATTCATGAAAAAAGTTTGACTTAAATGGATTGACAAATTACATTACTTTACAACACACACAAAATACGGAAATACTCGGAGGTAAGTTTGAACAGTGGAGGGCAAAGATCTTTAGCTCTCAACTCCCACCCAGACCAGGGATTGGCTACCATAAGTTAATTGTATCTGTACATGGTTAGTAAAACATCAATAAAACCCTTATGGCTATAAAAAGTTGGGGGTTACCCTGCAAAGTAAAACAGATGATTTGTGTACCTGTGTCCCAACTACTGGGTGCACGGAGGTGTCATCATGGTCCCTGGCACCAGAAACAGAGGCAGGTACATGTTGACTTTAAAAGAACCCTAACCCTGACCCAACCCTAACCCTAACCATGAGTTAAAAAGAAAAGAAACAATCAAAATATCTCCCAAAACATAACACCTTGCACAATAGATGACACGGAGTGATGCTTTGTTGAGTGTGATCTTATGCCTTCTGAGATCAGAACTCATGTTAGCACCTGTCTCAGAGTGAGTGAGCGAGTGAGTTGGGTTTAACGCCGCTTTTAACAGTATTCCAGTTATATCACGGGGTGTCAACTTAATGTGGGAGGAAAGCCCGAAGTGATGCAGGTCTCAGACGTTTACCACTTCAGTGAAACCCACGAGCACGGTAATGGTCCTGACAAACCAAGAAACATAATCGGGGCGAACCGGGATTGGAACCCACAATCATAGGTTTCTGGCGTGCCCAAGGGATGCAACTCTGCACAATGAATCGCGGTGCCTGGGACAACTGGGGCACCCGTGCCCCCGCGACTGTCTCCGAAGTAAATGAGATACAAATAGATCGTCTAGAGGTTGACTGTAAACTTTTTTATGATCCTGTGGTACATGTCCACCGTGACATATGACCAGATACCTGTTGTCTGTACAAAATTTAGTTTACAAATCTAAAAGGTCCTACCAGCATGCATCATCCAGGAAACGAGCAGGACACGTGGGACAGACAGACAGACAGACCGGCCACTATGTGGTTTCTGTTGGAGTAGAGACAGACAACATACAACAATCACCTTTCAGGCTGAGTTCACATTGATTGGCTATGATCCACGAGCACCTATAAGTATGTCCTACAAGCAGCGAGACATGATACAACCCAGGGTGTTGGACATAGGGAGCCTTGTCGTGTGATATCAGTTACAATGACCACATGGTCTCCGTGAATAAATGTCTGTGAAACACACTTCTTATCATGATCATGGCCAACATCATGCAATAAATACAGGCTGTCAGCTCGACATGGACACGAACTATTCATCACAGTTTAGATGTACATGAACAATTACATCACAGTTTAGATGTACATGAACAATTACATCACAGTTTAGATGTACATGAACAATTACATCACAGTTTAGATGTACATGAACAATTACATCACAGTTTAGATATGAACAAATACAGATTAGATGTACATGAAGAGTTTTAGTTTGCCTTGGTCCATCTTGAGGGCAATATTGTCGATACGTAGAAGCTTCACATTCTGTGAATCGCCAGCATTAAACACCCGGTAAATCTGATACAGCTCTTTCTGAGCATGTGCGAAGTTGACCTCCCGGGAAGAAATGTCGAAGTGTTTCTTCTCATCCTTCAGCGTGCTCTTCACCTCAATGTACACTGTTCGCGATTCAGAAGTATCTTCATCCAGGCAAGTTAGCTCAAAGTCATACGGCAATCCTGATTCTTCTGTTTCATTCACCCAGTGGACATCCACAATGTCCTTGTTCAGCGCCATCTGTTGGAGAAGGTAGTGTCTGACCAGAGTCTCCCCCCAACGGCCGATGGCAGACATGTCCGGCCGGTCCTCCTCCATGACGAGGGCGTCCGGCATCTCGAGGTCATCGCCCGGCACCAGCTCTTCGTACACCAACTCACTGGCGGACTCGCTCCACATCGGGTCACCGGCTGGTAACAGGAAACAACAGGATCAAACAATGGGGACTGAGCAGTGGGGACAGATTAGTGGAGACAGATTAGTGGCGACAGATTAGTGGGGACAGATTAGTGGAGACTGGGCAGTGGAGACAGATTAGTGGAGACAGATTAGTGGGGACAGATTAGTGGAGACAGATTAGTGGAGACTGGGCAGTGGAGACAGATTAGTGGAGACAGATTAGTGGGGACAGATTAGTGGAGACTGGGCAGTGGGGACAGATTAGTGGAGACTGGGCATTTGAGACAGATTAGTGGAGACAGATTAGTGAGGACAGATTAGTGGGGACAGATTAGTGGAGACAGATTAATGGGGACAGATTAGTGGAGACAGATTAGTGGCGACAGATTAGTGGAGACAGATAAGGGGGGACAGATTAGTGGGGACAGATTAGTGGGGACTGGGCAGTGGGGACAGATAAGTAGGGACAGATTAGTGGGGACAGATTAGTGGGGACTGGGCAGTGAAGACAGATAAGTAGGGACAGATTAGTGGAGGCAAATTAGTGGAAACAGAAAAGTGGAGGCAGATTAGTGGCGACAGGGCAGTGGAGAGAGATTAGTGGGGACAAGGCAGTGGAGACAGATTAGTGGGGACAGATTAGTGGGGACTGGGCAGTGAAGACAGATTAGTGGAGACAGATTAGTGGGACTGGGCAGTGGTGACAGATTAGTGGAGACAGATTAGTGGGGACAGATTAGTGGAAATAGATTAGTGGGGACTGGGCAGTGAAGACAGATTAGTGGGGACTGGGCAGTGGAGAGAGATTAGTGGGGACTGGGCAGTGAAGACAGATTAGTGGAGACAGATTAGTGGGGACAGATTAGTGGGGACAGATTAGTGGAGACAGATTAGTGGGGACTGGGCAGTGAAGACAGATAAGTAGGGACAGATTAGTGGAGGCAAATAAGTGGAGACAGTGAGTGAGTGAGTGAGTTGGGTTTAACGCCGCTTTTAACACTATTACAGTTATATCAGGGCGTGTCAGCTTAATGTGGGAGGAAAGCCCGAAGTGATTCAGGTCTCAGACATTTACCACTTCGGTGAAACCCACGAGCACGGGTATGGTGCTGACCAACCTAGAAACATAATCGGGGCGAACCGGGATTCGAACCCACAATCATAGGTTTCTGGCGTGCCCAAGGGACGCAACTCTGCACAACGAATCACGGCGCCTTAGACGACTGGGCCACCCGTGCCCCCTAGTGGAAACAGAAAAGTGGAGGCAGATTAGTGGCGACAGGGCAGTGGAGAGAGATTAGTGGGGACAGGGCAGTGGAGACAGATTAGTGGAGACAGATTAGTGGGGACAGATTAGTGGGGACAGATTAGTGGAGACTGGGCAGTGAAGACAGATTAGTGGAGACAGATTAGTGGGACTGGGCAGTGGTGACAGATTAGTGGAGACAGATTAGTGGGGACAGATTAGTGGAAATAGATTAGTGGGGACTGGGCAGTGAAGACAGATTAGTGGGGACTGGGCAGTGGAGAGAGATTAGTGGGGACTGGGCAGTGGGGACAGATTAGTGGAGACAGAATAGTGGGGACAGATTAGTGGGGACAGGGCAGTGGAGACAGATTAGTGGGGACAGGGCAGTGGAGACAGAATAGTGGGGACAGATTAGTGGGGACAGATCAGTGGGGACAGGGCAGTGGAGACAGATTAGTGGGGACAGGGCAGTGGAGAAAGATTAGTGGGGACAGGGCAGTGGAGATAGAATAGTGGGGACAGATTAGTGGAGACAGATCAGTGGGGACAGGGCAGTGGAGACAGATTAGTGGGGACAGGGCAGTGGAGACAGATTAGTGGGGACAGGGCAGTGGAGACAGAATAGTGGGGACAGATTAGTGGGGACAGATCAGTGGGGACAGGGCAGTGGAGACAGATTAGTGGGGACAGGGCAGTGGAGACAGATTAGTGGGGACAGGGCAGTGGAGACAGAATAGTGGGGACAGATTAGTGGAGACAGATCAGTGGGGACAGGGCAGTTGAGACAGATTAGTGGGGACAGGGCAGTGGAGACAGGGCATTGGGGACAGATTAGTGGGGACAGGGCAGTGAAGACAGATTAGTGGGGACTGGGCAGTGGAGAGATTAGTGGGCACAGGGCAGTTGAGACAGATTAGTGGAGGCAGATTAGTGGGGACAGATTAGTGGGGACAGGGCAGTGGAGACAGATTAGTGGAGACAGAAAAGTGGGGACAGATTAGTGGAGACAGATTAGTGGAGACAGAATAGTGAGGACAGATTAGTGGAGACAGATTAGGGGGCACAGGGCAGTTGAGACAGATTAGTGGGGACAGATTAGTGGAGGCAGATTAGTGGGGACAGATTAGTGGAGGCAGATTAGTGGAGACAGATTAGTGGGGACAGGGCAGTGGAGACAGATTAGTGGAGACAGATTAGTGGAGACAGATTAGTGGGGACAGATTAGTGGAGACAGATTAGTGGGGACAGATTAATGGAGACAGATTAGTGGGGACAGGGCAGTGGAGACAGATTAGTGGAGACAGATTAGTGGAGACAGATTAGTGGAGACAGATTAGTGGGGACAGATTAGGGGGCACAGGGCAGTTGAGACAGATTAGTGGGGACAGATTAGTGGAGGCAGATTAGTGGGGACAGATTAGTGGAGGCAGATTAGTGGAGACAGATTAGTGGGGACAGGGCAGTGGAGACAGATTAGTGGAGACAGATTAGTGGAGACAGATTAGTGGAGACAGATTAGTGGGGACAGATTAGTGGAGACAGATTAGTGGGGACTGGGCAGTGGAGACAGATTAGTGAGGACAGATTAGTGGGGACAGGGCAGTGGAGACAGATTAGTGGAGACAGTTTAGTGGAGCCAGATTAGTGGAGCCAGATTAGTGGGGACAGATTAGTGGGGACAGGGCAGTGGAGACAGATTAGTGGAGACAGATTAGTGGGGACAGGGCAGTGGAGACAGATTAGTGAGGACAGATTATTGGAGACAGATTAGTGGAGACAGGGCAGTGGAGACAGATTAGTGGGGACAGATTAGTGGGGACAGGGCAGTGGAGACAGATTAGTGGAGCCAGATTAGTGGGGACAGGGCAGTGGAGACAGATTAGTGGAGACAGATTAATGGAGACAGATTAGTGGAGCCAGATTAGTTGGGACAGGGCAGTGGAGACAGATTAGTGGAGACAGATTAGTGGAGACAGGGCAGCGGAGCCAGATTAGTGGAGACAGATTAGTGGAGACAGACTAGTGGAGGCAGAATAGTGGAGACAGATTAGTGGGGACAGGGCAGTGAGGACAGATTAATGGAGACAGATTAGTGGGGACAGGGCAGTGGAGACAGATTAGTGGAGACAGATTAGTGGAGGCAGAATAGTGAAGACAGGGTAGTGGAGGCAGAATAATGGAGACAGATTAGTGGGGACAGGGCAGTGAGGACAGATTAATGGAGACAGATTAGTGGGGACAGGGCAGTGGAGACAGATTAGTGGAGACAGATTAGTGGAGACAGATTAGTGGAGGCAGAATAGTGAGGACAGGGTAGTGGAGGCAGAATAGTTGAGACAGATTAGTGGGGACAGGGCAGTGAGGACAGATGAGTGGAGACAGAATAGTTGGCTGCAAGAGTGGGGCGAGTACAGAGAGAACAGAACAGTGGAGACATGGAAACTATCCAACCTTCAGTGATCTATCACCTCTCAGACATTGACACACCAGTCAAAGCACTGAGGCCTTCCTTGAGGTTGACCAGGCTGGCCACACCCAGGAATCTGTTTCTGCCATTGTGCTGCTGAGGCCATAATACCCTCACAGATAGGTCACGTTCAGCAAGCTACCATCCAGGATGCCAAACAACCAAAGAAAAAAGCCAGTAAATTCCAACCTAAGGACCAATCTTACGTTTAAAGAAAACCGGTTTCTTTGGACTTGAAGCCACCTCACTCTCGCTGTGCTGATGTCGACGTTTGCTGCCTGGGGTTGTGTGCCCTTGGTCTGCACTGGGGGACTCGGAGGGTCTGCCTTGTGAGTCTGTAGCGGCCTCGCTGAGGCTGGTGTTGTGGGGACTGGGGACAGAGGAGACACATTGAAGCAATGATTCTACAACACCTGGTCAAAGAATAGAGACTTACAAACAGAACCATAACCCGATTACATTTCAGATATTAAATCAGAGATCTCATTACCATGGCAACCCCAAAATGACCCTCACCTTGTAGCCCCGACTGGAGATGGTCTCTTGGCCTCCATCGAGATCTCATGGTCCGACAGTTTGCGTTTCACTGACCCTGCTACAAGACAAATGATCTCATGTTAACCCTCATGTCACACACAGTTAACCCTCATGTCATACACTGTTAACCCTCATGTCATACACTGATTATCCTCATGTCATACACTGTTAACCCTCATGTAAAATACTGTTAACCCATATGTAATACACTGTTAACCTTCATGTCATACACTGTTAACCCTCATGTAATACAGTGTTAACCTTCATGTCATACACTGTTAACCCTCATGTCATACACTGTTAACCCTCATGTCATACATTGTTAACCCTCATTTCATACACTGTTAACCCTCATGTAATAGTGTTAACCTTCATGTCATACACTGTTAACCCTCACTGTTAACCCTCACTGTTAACCGTTACCCATACACTGTTAACCCTCATGTAATATACTGTTAACCCATATGTAATACACTGTTAACCCTCATGTCATATACTGTTAACCCTCATGTCATATACTGTTAACCCTCATGTCATACACTGTTAACCCTCCTGTCATATACTGTTAACCCTTATTTCATACACTGTTAACCCTCATGTAATACAGTGTTAACCTTAATGTCATACACTGTTAAACCTCATGTAATATACTGTTAACCCTCATGTCATACACTGTTAACCCTCATGTCATACACTGTTAACCCTCATGTCATACACTGTTAACCGTCATGTCATACACTGTTAACCCTCATGTAATACACTGTTAACCCTCATATAATATACTGTTAACCCATATGTCACACAGTTAACCCTCATGTAATACAGTGTTAACCTTCATGTCATACACTGTTAACCCTCATGTCATACCATGATTATCCTCATGTCATACACTGTTACCCATATGTAATACACTGTTAACCCTCATGTCATACACTGTTAACCCTCATTTCATACATTGTTAACCCTCATGTAATACAGTGTTAACCTTCATGTCATACACTGTTAACCCTCATGTCATACACTGATTATCCTCATGTCATACACTGTTAACCCATATGTAATACGCTGTTAACCCTCATGTCATACCCTGTTAACCCTCATGTCATACACTGTTAACCCTCATGTCATACACTGTTAACCCTCAACTAATATACTGTTAACCCATATGTAATACACAGTTAACCCTCATGTCATACACTGTTAACCCTCATGTCATACACTGATTATCCTCATGTCATACACTGTTAACCCATATGTAATACACTGTTAACCCATATGTAATACACTGTTAACCCTCATTTCATACACTGTTAACCCTCATGTAATACACTGTTAACCCTCATGTAATACAGTGTTAACCTTCATGTAATACAGTATTAACCTTCATGTCATACACTGTTAACCCTCATGTAATATACTGTTAACCCATATGTAATACACTGTTAACCCTCATGTCATACACTGTTAACCCTCATGTCATACACTGTTAACCCTCATGTAATACACTGTTAACCCTCATGTAATAGTGTTAACCTTCATGTAATATACTGTTAACCCATATGTAATACACTGTTAACCTTCATGTCATATACTGTTAACCCATATGTAATACACTGTTAACCTTCATGTCATACACTGTTAACCCTCATGTCATACACTGTTAACCCTCATGTCATACAGTTAACCCTCATGTCATACACTGTTAACCCTCATGTCATACAGTTAACCCTCATGTCATACACTGTTAACCTTTATGTAATACACTGTTAACCCTCATGTTATACAGTTAACTCATGTCAAACACTGTTAACAAACAACTTATTCAGTTGCCTGGTATGAAGAGCAGTAGCGACATGTCATGTTAGTAGTGCAGCTGGTCAGAGATGTGCCAGGAGAAGTACAAGTGATTAAATAATCAAGTGATCAGTGCTGAAGACAGGAAAACTGATATAAAGATGTGTAATTTCTGAGGGGCCTGTTCTGTCTGTAAGGAAAAAGAAAATGATTTCTTCCAAGCTTGGTTCATTGGCTTCACAATACATGGTGACAACCAAGGATCCCGACCAGTGGTTACAGCACAGGTACATACTTTACTTAATCCAATCGGTGGTCACTACAGTGGTCAGGTGGAGGACATGTAGATTCTGATAAAGTACAGTAAGTATTCAGTTTTAGAGGAGTGAAACTCTCTCGCTTCCTGAAACATGTACATTTCAGCATGACAGGCATTGAAAAGCAGTGGAACAATGTAGCACCTACATAATCTTACAGGTAGAACACTGGAACAGCCACATAAACATTCAGGGAGAACATTGAAACACCCACATAAACATTCAGGGAGAACATTGGAACAGCAGCATAAGCATTCAGGGAGAACACTGGAACAGCCACATAAACATTCAGGGAGAACATTTGTCTAAGTGCAGTGTTTGAGATGAACAGATTGTAAGCTTGTCAAGTTTGAGGGAGGATCACAAGCAACACATGCGGCAGCCAGTGTACACCTGCCAACTGACATCTTCATTAGTTCACAGCATAGACTCTATTTTAGCAGATTCCATTCCTTTTCCTAGTTGTTGCTGACACTACTACTGATTAAGGTACAGCCGGGCTCTATGTTCTTGAAGGACATTGTTGACATGGAACTATCGTCTGGAATCTGTGAGTTGGCAGGTGGACATCATGGGAACAAATCAACATTGTGGAGAAAGCAGAAGCTACACCTACATGAAGTAACTACGTGAATACCTCCTTCCTCGCGACTGATCTCTCTTTTAACACCCTCTCCAGCTGGCTGCCCTTCTCGGACTTCTCGTCTAACACCAGTTCCCTCCCCTTGTTCACGTTTGATTATGATTGTCTCCCCTGTCTTGAGGTTAGTGGTCTCCACGTCTTCACCTCCAACGCTGGATGTCTCTGACTGTTTGACCTCAGACTGACGAATGACCTTGATGTTGGAAGGAAGGTCACGGACCTGTTGATGATATTCTGGAGGTTTGGGGGGCGGCCACATTTTGCCATCGCTGAGTCGCTCAGTAGCTTCTGAAATATAGGTGACACAAATGTGTGACTTGTTCTAATTAAACACGAATGTGTGACTAGTTCTAATTAAACACAAATGTTTGACTTGTTCTAATTAAACAAGAATGTGTGACTAGTTCTAATTAAACACAAATGTTTGACTTGTTCTAATTAAACAAGAATGTGTGACTTGATCTAATTAAACACAAATGTGTGACTTGTTCTAATTAAACACAAATGTTTGACTTGTTCTAATTAAACAAGAATGTGTGACTTGATCTAATTAAACACGAATGTATGACTTGTTCTAATTAAACACAAATGTTTGACTTGTTCTAATTAAACAAGAACGTGTGACTTGATCTAATTAAACACGAATGTATGACTTGTTCTAATTAAACACAAATGTGTGACTTGTTCTAATTAAACACAAATGTGTGATTTGTTCTAACACATGAGGAGTATGTGTCTTACTTTTCTTTTGAGTGTTGCTGGTGTCAGGATCGAAGCCTGTGGCGGAGGCTTGTGGAGGCCATGACCGGATAGCCCCTCCATCTTCACTGGCTTCACGCGGATCATTGGTGGACACTGCAGTTATATACACATTCTTAAAACATCCATTCAAGATACTGCTAATATATATCGTACAGATACACAATATCACATCTCCCCCACACCAGCTGCCATATCCCAGTATATTACATCCACAAGGTTGTTACCTACCCTGTCCACTGGCTGGTAGAGTGAATCAGAGTTACCCACCCTGTCCACTGGCTGGTAGAGTGAATCACAGTTACCTACCCTGTCCACTGGCTGGTAGAGTGAATCAGAGTTATCTGCCCTGTCTACTGGCTGGTAGAGTGAATCAGAGTTATCTGCCCTGTCCACTGGCTGGTAGAGTGAATCACAGTTACCTACCCTGTCCACTGGCTGGTAGAGTGAATCACAGTTACCTACCCTGTCCACTGGCTGGTAGAGTGAATCAGAGTTATCTGCCCTGTCTACTGGCTGGTAGAGTGAATCAGAGTTATCTGCCCTGTCTACTGGCTGGTAGAGTGAATCAGAGTTATCTGCCCTGTCCACTGGCTGGTAGAGTGAATCACAGTTACCCACCCTGTCCACTGGCTGGTAGAGTGAATCACAGTTACCTACCCTGTCCACTGGCTGGTAGAGTGAATCAGAGTTATCTGCCCTGTCTACTGGCTGGTAGAGTGAATCAGAGTTATCTGCCCTGTCTACTGGCTGGTAGAGTGAATCACAGTTACCCACCCTGTCCACTGGCTGGTAGAGTGAATCACAGTTACCTACCCTGTCCACTGGCTGGTAGAGTGAATCAGAGTTATCTGCCCTGTCTACTGGCTGGTAGAGTGAATCACAGTTACCCACCCTGTCCACTGGCTGGTAGAGTGAATCAGAGTTATCTGCCCTGTCTACTGGCTGGTAGAGTGAATCACAGTTACCCACCCTGTCCACTGGCTGGTAGAGTGAATCACAGTTACCCACCCTGTCTACTGGCTGGTAGAGTGAATCACAGTTACCTATCCTGTCCACTCGCTGGTAGAGTGAATCACAGTTACCTACCCTGTCCACTGGCTGGTAGAGTGAATCACAGTTACCTACCCTGTCTGCTGGCTGGTAGAGTGAATCACAGTTACCTACCCTGTCCACTGGCTGGTAGAGTGAATCAGAGTTACCTACCCTGTCTACTGGCTGGTAGAGTGAATCAGAGTTACCTACCCTGTCCACTGGCTGGTAGAGTGAATCAGAGTTATCTGCCCTGTCTACTGGCTGGTAGAGTGAATCACAGTTACCTACCCTGTCTACTGGCTGGTAGAGTCAATCACAGTTACCTACCCTGTCTACTTGGTGGTAGAGTGAATCACAGTTACCTACCCTGTCTACTGGCTGGTAGAGTCAATCACAGTTACCTACCCTGTCTACTTGGTGGTAGAGTGAATCAGAGTTATCTGCCCTGTCTACTGGCTGGTAGTGTGAATCAGAGTTATCTGCCCTGTCTACTGGAAGGTAGAGTGAATCACAGTTATCTACCCTGTCCACTGGCTGGTAGAGTGAATCACAGTTACCTACCCTGTCTGCTGGGTGGTAGAGTGAATCACAGTTACCTACCCTGTCCACTGGCTGGTAGGGTGAATCAGAGTTATCTGCCCTGTCCACTGGCTGGTAGGGTGAATCAGAGTTATCTGCCCTGTCTACTGGCTGGTAGAGTGAATCAGAGTTATCTGCCCTGTCTACTGGCTGGTAGAGTGAATCAGAGTTATCTGCCCTGTCTACTGGAAGGTAGAGTGAATCACAGTTATCTACCCTGTCCACTGGCTGGTAGAGTGAATCACAGTTACCTACCCTGTCTGCTGGGTGGTAGAGTGAATCACAGTTATCTACCCTCTCTACTGGGTGGTAGAGTGAATCACAGTTACCTACCCTGTCTACTGGGTGGTAGAGTGAATCACAGTTACCTATCCTGTCCACTGGCTGGTAGAGTGAATCACAGTTACCTACCCTGTCTACTGGCTGGTAGAGTGAATCACAGTTACCTACCCTGTCTACTGGGTGGTAGAGTGAATCACAGTTACCTACCCTGTCCACTGGCTGGTAGAGTGAATCACAGTTACCTATCCTGTCCACTGGCTGGTAGAGTGAATCACAGTTACCTACCCTGTCTACTGGGTGGTAGAGTGAATCACAGTTACCTACCCTGTCTACTGGGTGGTAGAGTGAATCACAGTTACCTACCCTGTCTACTGGCTGGTAGAGTGAATCACAGTTACCTACCCTGTCTGCTGGGTGGTAGAGTGAATCACAGTTACCTACCCTGTCTGCTGGGTGGTAGAGTGAATCACAGTTACCTACCCTGTCTACTGGCTGGTAGAGTGAATCACAGTTACCCACCCTGTCTGCTGGGTGGTAGAGTGAATCACAGTTACCTACCCTGTCTGCTGGGTGGTAGAGTGAATCACAGTTACCTACCCTGTCTGCTGGGTGGTAGAGTGAATCACAGTTACCTACCCTGTCTACTGGCTGGTAGAGTGAATCAGAGTTACCTACCATGTCTGCTGGGTGGTAGAGTGAATCACAGTTACCTACCCTGTCTGCTGGGTGGTAGAGTGAATCACAGTTACCTACCCTGTCTGCTGGCTGGTAGAGTGAATCACAGTTACCTACCCTGTCTACTGGGTGGTAGAGTGAATCACAGTTACCTACCCTGTCTACTGGGTGGCAGAGTCAATCACCGTTACCTACCCTGTCTACTGGCTGGTAGAGAGAATCACAGTTACCTACCCTGTCTGCTGGGTGGCAGAGTCAATCACAGTTACCTAACCTGTCTGCTGGGTGGCAGAGTCAATCACAGTTACCTACCCTGTCTGCTGGGTGGTAGAGTGAATCACAGTTACCTACCCTGTCTACTGGGTGGTAGAGTGAATCACAGTTACCTACCCTGTCTGCTGGGTGGTCGGACTGGCTCAGGAATGATAGGTGGCGGCACCTCCCACACCACCTCATCTTCTGGCAGAGGCTCGACTTCATGTCGGTCAAGCACGTCCTTGATGCCTTCAGGGTCGTCCAGGACTTGCACCAGATCTCGGAGAAAATCCCTGCAAATGTTTAATACCACAATAGTGTATTTCATTGTGGTAGAAAGAGGGGAATTGTATCTAGCCTCTCGTGTCAACACAGAGTGATAAACAGAGCGACCTGTCTATCCCCCTCTGAGTGAGTGAGTGAGCTGGGTTTTACCCCACTTTTTGAAATATGACGGTGGTGGACACCAGAAATGCGCTTCACACATTGTACCCATGTGGGCAACCGAGCCTCTGCCTAGGGCGTGGCAAGTGATCACAAGGCTACCCACTGCCATTCCATCTCTAAATATGTGTTAATGCACCTGACACAAATCAGAGCTTCCCATGCTGCACAATCTCAATAAAATCAGATCTTAGTTCCTTCTATCGCTAAACAAATATCTGAGGACATCCCATAACGGGTCACGTCAGAACAACCTTTCATCCGACAAATCAAAGCAACGCTTACCAGATCATGTAAGTGACAGCCAGAATGTGTTTTCTAATCATGCAATCTCGAAAATGTTAACGCTATGTTTTTCGCAACATAGTTACGGCCCGTACGACTGATTCCGTCAAAATTATCGTCTATCTCTCGCTTCCATGGGATAAACATTTCAACGGGGGAGGTGTTGCACAGTGCTTGGGAAGCACTACCATACAATCTCAACCATATATTAGACATTCCGGAATGTTTCTTTGTTCAGTTTTCAAAATTTTAATTGGGAACTGTGTCAACATATTTTTCAAGCGTAGTCTGAAATGGAGGTCACCAGGTTGAAACGAGTGCCATAAAGCTCGAGGAAACTGCTTTCTCATTGGCTGATGTCGAGTTCTTGTTGGTCATTTCAGTGGTCGGTCAAAGTTTGCGAAAGGTCTGACGTGACCCGTAATGGGATGTCCTCAGATCTTTGCTTAGCAGCAGTGAGAACTTAGATCTGATTTAATGAGATTGCACGGAGCTCTGGGTGTCAACATTGGTCCTACCTCAAAAACTTGAGACACTCTTCATCTCCACAGGCGAAGTATTGGGCGATCTCACGATTGACGTCTGTGTGTGAGTCGACCAGACTGGTCTGGAAGTAGAACTGGTTTCCGGTCCTGATACATTTCTCCGGGCGGATCACACGTGGCTCGGGGTTGTTGGTCAGTGTGTAGATGACCTGCAACTTGCTCACCTGTTGCCATGGTTACATGCTTTTATTCAACAACACAAACACACGGTCACATGCTTCCCTTTGGTTACGCAAGAGTGAAAATATACTATTCAAAGTTTGCTAAGATCACATCTTTAATGCAACATGAAATTATGATACAAAGGCACCAGTTCAGTATGTGCTTTATATATAGACATGCAAAGAAATATTTAACAGTTTATTTGTTATACTCCAAAAGTGGATTTTGATTGTTTTTAAAAGTACCGAAATTTTACTTTAAAGATCATATCTTGTTAGTTTGTTGACAGAAACTATTGCAAGTTTACATGAAGTTAGTGTGTCATATGCATCTTATTTTCTGTTCTTCGGTGCATGGAAAAAGTAACAACACTTGGTGGTAATATTTGATTAATATTTTGGACACCCCTGGAACACGCCAATTTCGTCGCGGCAATGTCCTGCAAACGGTGACTATCTTTTGACAGAGTTGGTACAAACAAACCCTTTGAGGATTCGAACATGTTCGATGTCGTAAATGGGTTTAGATCAGATTTAGCACACGCCAGTCTCGTAGCGGCGACACCCTGCAAGTTGTGCCTACATGTGACGGATTTGGTACAAGGAAACCCTTTGAGGATTCGAACATGGACGTTTGTGCACAGTGTAACTTGGAGCCTGCCATTGCTGCTTTGCAGCTATATTTTGTATTTGTTATTGGGAAGAGTAGTACAGCTTTGTGCCCCAGTCAGCAATCTACCCACTGCACCACAGAAGTCAGTGATTGGGGGCAAGACAAACTAGTGACTGACAGGGCAATCCACAAAGTTGTCTCTAATGAGAAGTACAGGTTGCTGGGGACAAGGTCCTCTGACCAGCCAATCCACAAAGTTGTCTCTAATGAGAAGTATGGGTTGCTGGGGACAAGGTCCTCTGACCAGCCAATCCACAAAGTTGTCTCTAATGAGAAGTACAGGTTGCTGGGGACAAAGTCCTCTGACCACTCAATCCACAAAGTTGTCTCTAATGAAAAGGACAGGTTGCTGGGGACAAAGTCCTCTGACCACCCAATCCACAAAGTTGTCTCTAATGAGAAGTACAGGTTGCTGGGGACAAAGTCTTCTGACCACTCAATCCACAAAGTTGTCTCTAATGAGAAGTACAGGTTGCTGGGGACAAAGTCCTGTGACCACTCAATCCACAAAGTGGCCTCTAATGAAAAGGACAGGTTGCTGGGGACAAAATCCTCTGACCACTCAATCCACAAAGTTGTCTCTAATGAGAAGTACAGGTTGCTGGGGACAAAGTCCTCTGACCACTCAATCCACAAAGTTGTCTCTAATGAGAAGTACAGGTTGCTGGGGACAAAGTCCTCTGACCACTCAATCCACAAAGTGGCCTCTAATGAAAAGGACAGGTTGCTGGGGACAAAATCCTCTGACCACTCAATCCACAAAGTTGTCCCTAATGAAAAGGACAGGTTGCTGGGGACAAAGTCCTCTGACCACTCAATCCACAAAGTTGTCCCTAATGCGAAGCACAGGTTGCTGGGGTCCTCTGACCACTCAATCCACAAAGTGGCCTCTAATGAAAAGGACAGGTTGCTGGGGACAAAGTCCTCTGACCACTCAATCCACAAAGTTGTCTCTAATGAAAAGGACAGGTTGCTGGGGACAAAGTCCTCTAAACCACTCAATCCACAAAGTTGTCTCTAATGAGAAGTACAGGTTGCTGGGGACAAAGTCCTCTGACCACTCAATCCACAAAGTTGTCTCTAATGAGAAGTACAGGTTGCTGGGGACAAAGTCCTCTGACCACTCAATCCACAAAGTGGCCTCTAATGAAAAGGACAGGTTGCTGGGGACAAAATCCTCTGACCACTCAATCCACAAAGTTGTCTCTAATGAGAAGTACAGGTTGCTGGGGACAAAGTCCTCTGACCACTCAATCCACAAAGTTGTCTCTAATGAGAAGTACAGGTTGCTGGGGACAAAGTCCTCTGACCACTCAATCCACAAAGTGGCCTCTAATGAAAAGGACAGGTTGCTGGGGACAAAATCCTCTGACCACTCAATCCACAAAGTTGTCCCTAATGAAAAGGACAGGTTGCTGGGGACAAAGTCCTCTGACCACTCAATCCACAAAGTTGTCCCTAATGCGAAGTACAGGTTGCTGGGGTCCTCTGACCACTCAATCCACAAAGTGGCCTCTAATGAAAAGGACAGGTTGCTGGGGACAAAGTCCTCTGACCACTCAATCCACAAAGTTGTCCCTAATGCGAAGTACAGGTTGCTGGGGTCCTCTGACCACTCAATCCACAAAGTTGTCTCTAATGAAAAGGACAGGTTGCTGGGGACAAAGTCCTCTAAACCACTCAATCCACAAAGTTGTCTCTAATGAGAAGTACAGGTTGCTGGGGACAAAGTCCTCTGACCACTCAATCCACAAAGTTGTCTCTAATGAAAAGGACAGGTTGCTGGGGACAAAGTCCTCTGACCACTCAATCCACAAAGTTGTCTCTAATGAAAAGGACAGGTTGCTGGAGACAAAGTCCTCTGACCACTCAATCCACAAAGTTGTCTCTAATGAAAAGGACAGGTTGCTGGGGACAAAGTCCTCTGACCACTCAATCCACAAAGTTGTCTCTAATGAAAAGGACAGGTTGCTGGGGACAAAGTCCTCTGACCACTCAATCCACAAAGTTGTCTCTAATGAGAAGTACAGGTTGCTGGGGACAAAGTCCTCTGACCACTCAATCCACAAAGTTGTCTCTAATGAAAAGGACAGGTTGCTGGGGACAAAGTCCTCTGACCACTCAATCCACAAAGTTGTCTCCAATAAAAAGGACAGGTTGCTGGGGACAAAGTCCTCTGGCCACTCAATCCACAAAGTTGTCTCTTATGAAAAGGACAGGTTGCTGGGGACAAAGTCCTCTGACCACCCAATCCACAAAGTTGTCCCTAATGCGAAGTACAGGTTGCTGGGGACAAAGTCCTCTGACCACTCAATCCACAAAGTTGTCTCTAATGAAAAGGACAGGTTGCTGGGGACAAAGTCCTCTGACCACTCAATCCACAAAGTGGCCTCTAATGAAAAGGACAGGTTGCTGGGGACAAAGTCCTCTGACCACTCAATCCACAAAGTTGTCTCCAATAAAAAGGACAGGTTGCTGGGGACAAAGTCCTCTGGCCACTCAATCCACAAAGTTGTCTCTTATGAAAAGGACAGGTTGCTGGGGACAAGGCCTCTGACCACCCAATCCACAAAGTTGTCCCTAATGCGAAGTACAGGTTGCTGGGGTCCTCTGACCACTCAATCCACAAAGTGGCCTCTAATGAAAAGGACAGGTTGCTGGGGACAAAGTCCTCTGACCACTCAATCCACAAAGTTGTCTCTAATGAGAAGTACAGGTTGCTGGGGACAAAGTCCTCTGACCACTCAATCCACAAAGTTGTCTCTAATGAAAAGGACAGGTTGCTGGGGACAAAGTCCTCTGACCACTCAATCCACAAAGTTGTCTCTAATGAAAAGGACAGGTTGCTGGGGACAAAGTCCTCTGACCACTCAATCCACAAAGTTGTCTCTAATGAAAAGGACAGGTTGCTGGGGACAAAGTCCTCTGACCACTCAATCCACAAAGTTGTCTCTAATGAGAAGTACAGGTTGCTGGGGACAAAGTCCTCTGACCACTCAATCCACAAAGTTGTCTCTAATGAAAAGGACAGGTTGCTGGGGACAAAGTCCTCTGACCACCCAATCCACAAAGTTGTCTCTAATGAAAAGGACAGGTTGCTGGGGACAAAGTCCTCTGACCACTCAATCCACAAAGTTGTCTCTAATGAAAAGGACAGGTTGCTGGGGACAAAGTCCTCTGACCACCCAATCCACAAAGTTGTCTCTAATGAAAAGGACAGGTTGCTGGGGACAAAGTCCTCTGACCACTCAATCCACAAAGTTGTCTCTAATGAGAAGTACAGGTTGCTGGGGACAAAGTCTTCTGACCACTCAATCCACAAAGTTGTCTCTAATGAGAAGTACAGGTTGCTGGGGACAAAGTCCTCTGACCACTCAATCCACAAAGTGGCCTCTAATGAAAAGGACAGGTTGCTGGGGACAAAATCCTCTGACCACTCAATCCACAAAGTTGTCCCTAATGAAAAGGACAGGTTGCTGGGGACAAAGTCCTCTGACCACTCAATCCACAAAGTTGTCCCTAATGCGAAGTACAGGTTGCTGGGGTCCTCTGACCACTCAATCCACAAAGTGGCCTCTAATGAAAAGGACAGGTTGCTGGGGACAAAGTCCTCTGACCACTCAATCCACAAAGTTGTCTCTAATGAAAAGGACAGGTTGCTGGGGACAAAGTCCTCTAAACCACTCAATCCACAAAGTTGTCTCTAATGAGAAGTACAGGTTGCTGGGGACAAAGTCCTCTGACCACTCAATCCACAAAGTTGTCTCTAATGAGAAGTACAGGTTGCTGGGGACAAAGTCCTCTGACCACTCAATCCACAAAGTGGCCTCTAATGAAAAGGACAGGTTGCTGGGGACAAAATCCTCTGACCACTCAATCCACAAAGTTGTCTCTAATGAGAAGTACAGGTTGCTGGGGACAAAGTCCTCTGACCACTCAATCCACAAAGTTGTCTCTAATGAAAAGGACAGGTTGCTGGGGACAAAGTCCTCTGACCACTCAATCCACAAAGTTGTCTCCAATAAAAAGGACAGGTTGCTGGGGACAAAGTCCTCTGGCCACTCAATCCACAAAGTTGTCTCTTATGAAAAGGACAGGTTGCTGGGGACAAAGTCCTCTGACCACTCAATCCACAAAGTTGTCTCTAATGAAAAGGACAGGTTGCTGGGGACAAAGTCCTCTGACCACCCAATCCACAAAGTTGTCTCTAATGAAAAGGACAGGTTGCTGGGGACAAAGTCCTCTGACCACTCAATCCACAAAGTTGTCTCTAATGAAAAGGACAGGTTGCTGGGGACAAAGTCCTCTGACCACTCAATCCACAAAGTTGTCTCTAATGAGAAGTACAGGTTGCTGGGGACAAAGTCCTCTGACCACTCAATCCACAAAGTTGTCTCTAATGAAAAGGACAGGTTGCTGGGGACAAAGTCTTCTGACCACTCAATCCACAAAGTTGTCTCTAATGAAAAGGACAGGTTGCTGGAGACAAAGTCCTCTGACCACTCAATCCACAAAGTTGTCTCTAATGAAAAGGACAGGTTGCTGGGGACAAAGTCCTCTGACCACTCAATCCACAAAGTTGTCTCTAATGAAAAGGACAGGTTGCTGGGGACAAAGTCCTCTGACCACTCAATCCACAAAGTTGTCTCTAATGAAAAGGACAGGTTGCTGGGGACAAAGTCCTCTGACCACCCAATCCACAAAGTTGTCTCTAATGAAAAGGACAGGTTGCTGGGGACAAAGTCCTCTGACCACTCAATCCACAAAGTTGTCTCTAATGAGAAGTACAGGTTGCTGGGGACAAAGTCTTCTGACCACTCAATCCACAAAGTTGTCTCTAATGAGAAGTACAGGTTGCTGGGGACAAAGTCCTGTGACCACTCAATCCACAAAGTGGCCTCTAATGAAAAGGACAGGTTGCTGGGGACAAAATCCTCTGACCACTCAATCCACAAAGTTGTCTCTAATGAGAAGTACAGGTTGCTGGGGACAAAGTCCTCTGACCACTCAATCCACAAAGTTGTCTCTAATAAGAAGTACAGGTTGCTGGGGACAAAGTCCTCTGACCACTCAATCCACAAAGTGGCCTCTAATGAAAAGGACAGGTTGCTGGGGACAAAGTCCTCTAAACCACTCAATCCACAAAGTTGTCTCTAATGAGAAGTACAGGTTGCTGGGGACAAAGTCCTCTGACCACTCAATCCACAAAGTTGTCTCTAATGAGAAGTACAGGTTGCTGGGGACAAAGTCCTCTGACCACTCAATCCACAAAGTGGCCTCTAATGAAAAGGACAGGTTGCTGGGGACAAAATCCTCTGACCACTCAATCCACAAAGTTGTCTCTAATGAGAAGTACAGGTTGCTGGGGACAAAGTCCTCTGACCACTCAATCCACAAAGTTGTCCCTAATGAAAAGGACAGGTTGCTGGGGACAAAGTCCTCTGACCACCCAATCCACAAAGTTGTCTCTAATGAAAAGGACAGGTTGCTGGGGACAAAGTCCTCTGACCACTCAATCCACAAAGTTGTCTCTAATGAGAAGTACAGGTTGCTGGGGACAAAGTCTTCTGACCACTCAATCCACAAAGTTGTCTCTAATGAGAAGTACAGGTTGCTGGGGACAAAGTCCTGTGACCACTCAATCCACAAAGTGGCCTCTAATGAAAAGGACAGGTTGCTGGGGACAAAATCCTCTGACCACTCAATCCACAAAGTTGTCTCTAATGAGAAGTACAGGTTGCTGGGGACAAAGTCCTCTGACCACTCAATCCACAAAGTTGTCTCTAATGAGAAGTACAGGTTGCTGGGGACAAAGTCCTCTGACCACTCAATCCACAAAGTGGCCTCTAATGAAAAGGACAGGTTGCTGGGGACAAAATCCTCTGACCACTCAATCCACAAAGTTGTCCCTAATGAAAAGGACAGGTTGCTGGGGACAAAGTCCTCTGACCACTCAATCCACAAAGTTGTCCCTAATGCGAAGTACAGGTTGCTGGGGTCCTCTGACCACTCAATCCACAAAGTGGCCTCTAATGAAAAGGACAGGTTGCTGGGGACAAAGTCCTCTGCCCACTCAATCCACAGAAGTTGTCTCTAATGAGAATTACAGGTTGCTGGGGACAAAGTCCTCTGACCACCCAATCCACAAAATTGTCTCTAATACGAAGCACAAAGTTACCTGGTTGAAGCTGATGATCTTGAGGTTGGTGACGATGTCCCTCTGGTCCACCAACTCCCTGTAGATGTCGTCGTAGTTGTAGAGGTAGGCCTGTATGTGGGGCACCGTGAGGTGGCAGTGCCGCTGCAGGCGTGGACACTGTGCCATCATCTCTGTGATCTCTTCTGTGTGCACACACGAACTCAGTGTCGCTATCTTAAACAGTCCCACAAACGATGTGATTTCTTCGGGGTCATGTTTTGGCTGATCTGAAGAAGATGGAAACATAATTGATGGAGGAGTGTGAAAGCCTCACTTCATCCATGAACACAGTGATATACCCAGATCCAACTACTCGACACTACTCTGCACTAAGTGAGAGAGTATTGTTTTACACCACTCTTAGCAATATTCCAGCCAAATCACGGCAGATACACCAGAAATGGGTTTCACATAATGTACCCATGTAGGGAATCGAAACCCGGGCCCTCGGCACGACAAGCGAACTCTTTAATCACTGGGCTACCCCACTGCACTAAGTACTGGTCTGTAGAGACATCACTGTATTCTGGAGTAGGATGTGGTAACACTGTCACAACCAACTGTAGACCACACACTAAGGGTCTACTCGTGGAACACTGTCACAACCGACTGCAGACCACACACTGAGGGTCTACTCGTGGAACACTGTCACAACCAACTGTAGACCACACACTGAGGGTCCACACTTGGGACACTGTCACAACCGACTGTAGACCACACACTAGGGGTCCACTCCTGGGACACTGTCACAACTGACTGTAGACCACACACTGAGGGTCCACACTTGGGACACTGTAACAACTGACTGTAGACCACACACTCAGGGTCTACTCATGGGACACTGTCACAACCGACTGTAGACCACACACTCAGGGTCCACTGGTGGGACACTGTCACAACAGACTGTAGACCACACACTCAGGGTCCACTCGTGGGACACTGTCACAACAGACTGTAGACCACACACTGAGGGTCCACTCATGGGACACTGTCACAACCGACAGTAGACCACACACTTGGGGTCCACTCGTGGGACACTGTCAAAACCGACTGTAGACCACACACTTGGGGTCCACTCATGGGACACCGTCACAACCGACTGTAGACCACACACTTGGGGTCCACTCATGGGACACCGTCACAACCGACAGTAGACCACACACTGAGTGTCTAGTCATGGGACACTGTCACAACCGACTGTAGACCACACACTCAGGGTCCACTCGTGGGACACTGTCAAAACCGACTGTAGACCACACACTTGGCGTCGACTCGTGGGACACTGTCACAACTGACTGTAGACCACACACTAAGGGTCCACTCGTGGGACACTGTCACAACAGACTGTAGACCACACACTGAGGGTCCACTCGTTGGACACTGTCACAACCGACTGTAGACCACACACTCAGGGTCTACTCGTGGGACACTGTCACAACCAACTGTAGACCACACACTGAGGGTCCACTCGTGGGACACTGTCACAACCGACTGTAGACCACACACTGGGGGTCCACTGATGGGACACTGTCACAACTGATTGTAGACCACACACTGAGGGTCTACTCGTGGGACACAGTCACAACCGACTGTAGACCACACACTGAGGGTCCACTCGTGGGACACAGTCACAACTGACTGTAGACCACACACTCAGGGTCCACTCGTGGGACACTGTCAAAACAGACTGTAGACCACACACTGAGGGTCCACTCGTGGGACACTGTCACAACCGACTGTAGACCATACACTGAGGGTCCACTCGTGGGACACTGTCACAACTGATTGTAGACCACACACTGAGGGTCTACTCGTGGGACACTGTCACAACTGATTGTTGATCACACACTCAGGGTCTACTCGTGGGACACAGTCACAACCGACTGTAGACCACACACTGAGGGTCCACTCGTGGGACACTGTCACAACTGACTGTAGACCACACACTGGGGGTCTACTCGTGGGACACTGTCACAACTGACAGTAGACCACACACTAGGGGTCCACTCGTGGGACACTGTCACAACAGACTATAGACCACACACTCAGGGTCCACTCGTGGGACACTGTCACAACAGACTGTAGACCACACACTGAGGGTCCACTCGTTGGACACTGTCACAACCGACTGTAGACCACACACTCAGGGTCTACTCGTGGGACACTGTCACAACCGACTGTAGACCACACAATGAGGGTCCACTCGTGGGACACTGTCACAACCGACTGTAGACCACACACTGGGGGTCCACTGATGGGACACTGTCACAACTGATTGTAGACCACACACTGAGGGTCTACTCGTGGGACACAGTCACAACCGACTGTAGACCACACACTGAGGGTCCACTCGTGGGACACAGTCACAACTGACTGTAGACCACACACTCAGGGTCCACTCGTGGGACACTGTCAAAACAGACTGTAGACCACACACTGAGGGTCCACTCGTGGGACACTGTCACAACCGACTGTAGACCATACACTGAGGGTCCACTCGTGGGACACTGTCACAACTGATTGTAGACCACACACTGAGGGTCTACTCGTGGGACACTGTCACAACTGATTGTTGATCACACACTCAGGGTCTACTCGTGGGACACAGTCACAACCGACTGTAGACCACACACTGAGGGTCCACTCGTGGGACACTGTCACAACTGACTGTAGACCACACACTGGGGGTCTACTCGTGGGACACTGTCACAACTGACAGTAGACCACACACTAGGGGTCCACCCGTGGGACACTGTCACAACAGACTATAGACCACACACTCAGGGTCCACTCGTGGGACACTGTCACAACAGACTGTAGGCCACACACTAAGGGTCCACTGATGGGACACTGTCACAACAGACTGTAGACCACACACTAGGGGTCCACTCGTGGGACACTGTCACAACAGACTGTAGACCACACACTGGGGGGCCACTCGTGGGACACTGTCACAACCGACTGTAGACCACACAATGAGGGTCCACTCGTGGGACACTGTCACAACCGACTGTAGACCACACACTAGGGGTCCACTCATGGGACACTGTCACAACCGACTGTAGACCACACACTGAGGGTCCACTCATGGGACACTGTCACAACAGACTGTAGACCACACACTCAGGGTCTACTCGTGGGACACTGTCACAACCGACTGTAGACCACACACTCAGGGTCCACTCGTGGAACACTGTCACAACCGATTGTAGATCACACACTGAGGGTCCACTCGTGGGACACTGTCACAACTGACTGTAGACTACACACTGAGGGTCCACTCGTGGGACACAGTCACAACAGACTGTAGACCACACACTCAGGGTCCACTCGTGGGACACTGTCACAACCGACTGTAGACCACACACTGAAGGTCCACTCATGGGACACTGTCACAACTGATTGTAGACCACACACTGAGGGTCTACTCGTGGGACACAGTCACAACCGACTGTAGACCACACACTAAGGGTCCACTCGTGGGACACTGTCACAACCGACTGTAGACCACACACTCAGGGTCCACTCATGGGACACTGTCACAACCGACTGTAGACCACACACTGAGGGTCCACTCGTGGGACACTGTCACAACCGACTGTAGACCACACACTGAGGGTCCACTCGTGGGACACTGTCACAAATGATTGTAGACCACACACTAGGGGTCCACTCGTGGGACACTGTCACAACTGATTGTAGACCACACACTCAGGGTCCACTCATGGGACACTGTCACAACCGACTGTAGACCACACACTCAGGGTCCACTTGTGGGACACTGTCACAACAGACTGCAGACCACACACTCAGGGTCCACTCGTGGGACACTGTCACAACAGACTGTAGACCACACACTCAGGGTCCACTCATGGGACACTGTCACAACTGACCGTAGACCACACACTCAGGGTCCACTCGTGGGACACTGTCACAAACGACTGTAGACCACACACTAAGGGTCCACTGATGGGACACTGTCACAACAGACTGTAGACCACACACTCAGGGTCCACTCGTGGGACACAGTCACAACTGATTGTAGACCACACACTCAGGGTCTACTCGTAGAACACTGTCACAACTGACTGTAGACCACACACTAAGGGTCAACTCGTGGAACACTGTCACAACAGACTGTAGACCACACACTCAGGGTCCACTCCTGGGACACTGTCACAACTGACTGTAGTCCACACACTGAGGGTCCACTCGTGGGACACAGTCACAACAGACTGTAGACCACACACTGAGGGTCCACTCGTGGGACACAGTCACAACCGACTGTAGACCACACACTCAGGGTCCACTCCCGGGACACTGTCACAACTGATTGTAGACCACACACTCAGGGTCCACTCATGGGACACTGTCACAACTGATTGTAGACCACACACTCAGGGTCCACTCGCCGGACACTGTCACAACTGATTGTAGACCACACACTAGGGGTCCACTCATGGGACACTGTCACAACTGACTGTAGACCACACACTAGGGGTCCACTCGTGGGACACTGTCACAACTGACCATAGACCACACACTGAGGGTCCACTCGTGGGACACTGTCACAACCGACTGTAGACCACACACTGAGGGTCCACTCGTGGGACACTGTCACAACTGATTGTAGACCACACACTGAGGGTCCACTCGTGGGACACTGTCACAACAGACTGTAGACCACACACTGAGGGTCTACTCATGGGACACTGTCACAACCGACTGTAGACCACACACTCAGGGTCCACTCGTGGGACACTGTCACAACAGACTGTAGACCACACACTAAGGGTCCACTGATGGGACACTGTCACAACAGACTGTAGACCACACACTCAGGGTCCACTCGTGGGACACTGTCACAACTGACTGTAGACCACACACTAAGGGTCCACTCGTGGAACACTGTCACAACAGACTGTAGACCACACACTCAGGGTCCACTCCTGGGACACTGTCACAACAGACTGTAGTCCACACACTGAGGGTCCACTCGTGGGACACAGTCACAACAGACTGTAGACCACACACTGAGGGTCCACTCGTGGGACACAGTCACAACCGACTGTAGACCACACACTCAGGGTCCACTCGTGGGACACTGTCACAACTGATTGTAGACCACACACTCAGGGTCCACTCATGGGACACTGTCACAACTGATTGTAGACCACACACTCAGGGTCCACTCGCCGGACACTGTCACAACTGATTGTAGACCACACACTAGGGGTCCACTCATGGGACACTGTCACAACTGACTGTAGACCACACACTAGGGGTCCACTCGTGGGACACTGTCACAACTGACCATAGACCACACACTCAGGGTCCACTCATGGGACACTGTCACAACTGATTGTAGACCACACACTAGGGGTCCACTCATGGGACACTGTCACAACAGACTGTAGATCACACACTGAGGGGCCACTCGTGGGACACTGTCACAACTGATTGTAGACCACACACTCAGGGTCCACTCGTGGGACACTGTCACAACCGACTGTAGACCACACACTGAGGGTCCACTCGTGGGACACTGTCACAACTGATTGTAGACCACACACTGAGGGTCCACTCGTGGGACACTGTCACAACCGACTGTAGACCACACACTGAGGGTCTACTCATGGGACACTGTCACAACCGACTGTAGATCACACACTAGGGGTCCACTCGGCGGACACTGTCACAACAGACTGTAGACCACACACTCAGGGTCTACTCGTGGGACACTGTCACAACAGACTGTAGACCACACACTAAGGGTCCACTGATGGGACACTGTCACAACAGACTGTAGACCACACACTCAGGGTCCACTCGTGGGACACTGTCACAACAGACTGTAGACCACACACTAAGGGTCCACTGATGGGACACTGTCACAACAGACTGTAGACCACACACTAGGGGTCCACTCGTGGGACACTGTCACAACCGACTGTAGACCACACACTCAGGATCCACTTGTGGGACACTGTCACAACCGACTGTAGACCACACACTGAGGGTCCACTCGTGGGACACTGTCACAACTGATTGTAGACCACACACTGAGTGTCCACTCGTGGGACACTGTCACAACCGACAGTAGACCACACACTAGGGGTCCACTCGTGGGACACTGTCACAACTGATTGTAGACCACACACTCAGGGTCCACTCATGGGACACTGTCACAACCGACTGTAGACCACACACTCAGGGTCCACTCCTGGGACACTGTCACAACAGACTGTAGACCACACACTCAGGGTCCACTCGTGGGACACTGTCACAACCGACTGTAGACCACACACTCAGGGTCCACTCATGGGACACTGTCACAACCGACTGTAGACCACACACTCAGGGTCCACTCGTGGTACACTGTCACAATTGATTGTAGACCACACACTAGGGGTCCACTCGTGGGACACTTTCACAACCGACTGTAGACCACAGACTGAGGGTCCACTCATGGGACACTGTCACAACTGATTGTAGACCACACACTAGAGGTCCACTCGTGGGACACTGTCACAACTGATTGTAGACCACACACTCAGGGTCCACTCATGGGACACTGTCACAACCGACTGTAGACCACACACTCAGGGTCCACTCCTGGGACACTGTCACAACAGACTGTAGACCACACACTAAGGGTCCACTGATGGGACACTGTCACAACAGACTGTAGACCACACACTCAGGGTCCACTCGTGGGACACTGTCACAACAGACTGTAGACCACACACTAAGGGTCCACTGATGGGACACTGTCACAACAGACTGTAGACCACACACTAGGGGTCCACTCGTGGGACACTGTCACAACCGACTGTAGACCACACACTCAGGATCCACTTGTGGGACACTGTCACAACCGACTGTAGACCACACACTGAGGGTCCACTCGTGGGACACTGTCACAACTGATTGTAGACCACACACTGAGTGTCCACTCGTGGGACACTGTCACAACCGACAGTAGACCACACACTAGGGGTCCACTCGTGGGACACTGTCACAACTGATTGTAGACCACACACTCAGGGTCCACTCATGGGACACTGTCACAACCGACTGTAGACCACACACTCAGGGTCCACTCCTGGGACACTGTCACAACAGACTGTAGACCACACACTCAGGGTCCACTCGTGGGACACTGTCACAACCGACTGTAGACCACACACTCAGGGTCCACTCATGGGACACTGTCACAACCGACTGTAGACCACACACTCAGGGTCCACTCGTGGTACACTGTCACAATTGATTGTAGACCACACACTAGGGGTCCACTCGTGGGACACTTTCACAACCGACTGTAGACCACAGACTGAGGGTCCACTCATGGGACACTGTCACAACTGATTGTAGACCACACACTAGAGGTCCACTCGTGGGACACTGTCACAACCAACTGTAGACCACAGACTGAGGGTCCACTTATGGGACCCTGTCACAACTGACTGTAGACCAAACACTGAGGGTCCACTCGTGTGAATAACACAGTTCTCTATATTTCACACAAACATACTCGTCCTAACAGGTACTTGCCCCTTGTCACCCTTTAATATAAAACTTGTGTCAATAGCAAGATAGACTGTATTCTAAAAGCTGAATGTTCCTCATTGAATATTGTTGCTTCCCGCCGCACTCAGCAATATTCCAGCTATAAGACAGTGGTCTCAAAATAATCGAGTCTGGACCACACAATTCAGGGATTGATATCATGAGCATCGATCTACACAATTGGGATACGATGACATGCATCAACCAAGTCAGTGAGCCTGACCAACTGATCTTACGACAAGCATAGTCACCTGTGACGGCAAGCATGGGTTGCTGAAGACCTATTCTAACCCAGATCTTCACGGGTCCCTTTAATGTACAAATCAAGAAACCGAGAAAGCACCTGCCATTATGCTGCATCCTCCAACTCACCCCTGCCACGCTTCATCTTCCTCTTACTGCCAGGATTCCGTTGTTCATCCAGCTGCAGAAAATGGACATTCTTCTCCTCCGCAAACATCTTCTCCAGTTCAGGATTGTCAGCTATCATGGGGTTGTCGTCCACACTCACCCAAATGTCCTTCTTCGTTGGAAAGATCTTCTGTTTCTTCAGCTTCTTCATTGCGGATTCAACCTGTTGTTTCAGCAAAGGTAGTTCTCCCATTGAGGCTTGCTCCTGCTTAACTTGCGATGCTTTTCGTCCTATCATAGCAAATATAGTCAGAGCATCGGAGAAGACAATCTTGTTACTTGGTGAATTCACTGTTGCCATCAGCAGGAGAAGGTCTGCAAAGTCCTTCAGACATGGCCCCATTTCAATTCTTGCACCTCTCGTAAATAGATCTGCCAAATCTTGATATAGATGGCAAATAAAGTACCTCTTGGCCAGATCTGAGTGATAGTCCACCAATAGGTCATGGTATTTGTCGAAAAGGCCTGACCGATCCGTCCACCAGACTTCATCACGGGCCAGCATCACTCCCTCGATGAAGTTCTGATCATTGCCATCCTTATCCCTGACCTGGGGCACAAAGATGACAGGGTTGTTGTGATAGAGGTCCTGATGATCCTTGCCACCCAGGTTGTCACCAAGATAGCGGTAAACAGCTTTCAGGTGGGCCAGACACGACCGAAATCTCCGTGGACTGTCGGAACCTTCGTCTCGCTTGCCCCACTCTATCAGCATGTCCTTGACCGTGGAGGTCTCCATGGTGGTCTTGATGCGCAGATACTTGGTGAAGGAGCTCTGGGGGCTGGACGTGACGGCGAGGTAGTACACGGTGTGGCCCAGGACCTGCTGCAGCTTGGGAGCCTGCACATAGAGCAGGGACGGCTGCATCGTCACCACCTGCTCCTGCATCCGTAGCCCCATCCCCGGGATCTCCTCCAACGACAGCTGCAATCCGGGGATCCACTTCAGACTCGTCAAGTTTATGCAGAACGAAGACTCCGCCTCTCGCAGAACTTGCCCGTTGCCATCTTTCACTTGTACATTCTGGTACTTGGAGTACTTGGCATCCCAGTCTCGGTCAAGGACTTCAAACAATGTCTTCATCTGTTCCTTGTGACGATCAGGGTACTTGTTTTTGGTGACCAAGTCAGTGAATTCTTTACATGAGAAGTCGGCGATGTTGTAGCCAGTGCTGGAGTCAGGCCACATGTCTTGGAGAGGAGCCCAAGGTGTGTCCATCTGAAATACAACCAACACAATTATACAAACATCTTCACCCAAACACCCAAACACGAAACACAAACCATCTTACGATCATCCTTGAAAAAACCATTATCACCCGAACCACCAATCACAGTTGAGACATTCAATCCACACAGACTTTAAAAGCAGCTCACCAGGTAGTCCATGATAGGCCGGCCACAGACTCCCAGGTGAGCTGCTGTATGTGGATTGAATGGACATACCAAGGACATCCAGGGGAGCTTCTGTATGTGGATTGAATGGACATACCAAAGACACCCAGGTGAGCTGTTGCATGTGGATTGGATGGACATACCAAGGACATCCGGGTGAGCTGCTGTATGTGGTTTGAATGGAAATACCAAGGACATCCGGGTGAGCTGCTGTATGAGGATTGGATGGACATACCAAGGACACCCGGGTGAGCTGCTGTATGTGGATTGGATGGACCTACCAAGGACATCCGGGTGAACTGCTGTATGAGGATTGGATGGACAAACCAAGGACACCCGGGTTAACTGCTGTTTGTGGATTGGATGGACCTACCATGGACATCCGGGTGAGCTGCTGTATGAGGATTGGATGGACATACCAAGGACATCCGCATGAGCTGCTGTATGTGGATTGGATGGACATACCAAGGACATCCGGGTGAACTGCTGTATGAGGATTAGATGGACATACCAAGGACACCCAGGTGAGCTGCTGTATGTGGATTGGATGGACATACCATGGACATCCGGGTGAACTGCTGTTTGTGGATTGTATGGACCTACCATGGACATCCCGGTGAGCTGCTGTATGAGGATTGGATGGACATACCAAGGACACCCGGGTGAACTGCTGTATGTGGATTGGATGGACATACCATGGACTCCCTATTGAACTGCTGTATGTGGATTGGATGGACATACCAAGGACATCCAGGTGAGCTGCTGTATGTGGACTGGATGGACCTACCATGGACTCTCGTGTGAGATGCTGTATGTGGATTGGATGGACCTACCATAGACTCTCGGGTGAGCTGCTGTATGCGGATTGGATGGACCTACCAAGGACACCCGGGTGAGCTGCTGTATTTGGACTGGATTGACCTACCAAGGACACCCCGGCGAGCTGCTGTATGTGGATTGGATGGACATACCAAGAACACCCGGGTGAGCTGCTGTATGTGGATTGGATGGACCTACCAAGGACACCCGGGTGAGCTGCTGTATGTGGACTGGATGGACCTACCATAGACTCTCGTGTGAGCTGCTGTATGTGGACTGGATGGACCTACCAAGGACACCCGGATGAGCTGCTGTATGTGGATTGGATGGACATACCAAGGACATCCGGGTGAACTGCTGTATGAGGATTAGATGGACATACCAAGGACACCCAGGTGAGCTGCTGTATGTGGATTGGATGGACATACCATGGACATCCGGGTGAACTGCTGTTTGTGGATTGGATGGACCTACCATGGACATCCCGGTGAGCTGCTGTATGAGGATTGGATGGACATACCAAGGACACCCGGGTGAACTGCTGTATGTGGATTGGATGGACATACCATGGACTCCCTATTGAACTGCTGTATGTGGATTGGATGGACATACCAAGGACATCCAGGTGAGCTGCTGTATGTGGACTGGATGGACCTACCATGGACTCTCGTGTGAGATGCTGTATGTGGATTGGATGGACCTACCATAGACTCTCGGGTGAGCTGCTGTATGCGGATTGGATGGACCTACCAAGGACACCCGGGTGAGCTGCTGTATGTGGACTGGATGGACCTACCAAGGACACCCGGGCGAGCTGCTGTATGTGGATTGGATGGACATACCAAGAACACCCGGGTGAGCTGCTGTATGTGGATTGGATGGACCTACCAAGGACACCCGGGTGAGCTGCTGTATGTGGACTGGATGGACCTACCAAGGACACCCGGGTGAGCTGCTATATGTGGATTGGATGGACATACCAAGGACACCCGGGTGAGCTGCTGTATGTGGATTGGATGGACCTACCATAGACTCTCGTGTGAGCTGCTGTATGTGGACTGGATGGACCTACCAAGGACACCCGGGTGAGCTGCTGTATGTGAATTGGATGGACCTACCAAGGACACCCGGGTGAGCTGCTGTATGTGGATTGGATGGACATACCAAGGACACCCGGGTGAGCTGCTGTATGTGGACCGGATGGACCTACCAAGGACACCCGGGTGAGCTGCTGTATGTGGACTGGATGGACAAACCAAGGACACCCGGGTGAGCTGCTGTATGTGGATTGGATGGACCTACCAAGGACACCCGGGTGAGCTGCTGTATGTGGATTGGATGGACATACCATGGACTCTCGTGTGAGATGCTGTATGTGGATTGGATGGACCTACCAAGGACACACGGGTGAGCTGCTGTATGTGGATTGGATGGACCTACCAAGGACACCCGGGTGAGCCGCTGTATGTGGATTGGATGGACCTACCAAGGACACCTGGGTGAGCTGCTGTATGTGGATTGGATGGACCTACCATAGACTCTCGGGTGAGCTGCTGTATGTGGATTGGATGGACCTACCAAGAACACCCGGGTGAGCTGCTGTATGTGGATTGGATGGACCTACCAAGAACACCCGGGTGAGCTGCTGTATGTGGATTGGATGGACATACCATAGACTCTCGTGTGAGCTGCTGTATGTGGACTGGATGGACCTACCAAGGACACCCGGGTGAGCTGCTGTATGTGGATTGGATGGACATACCATAGACTCTCGTGTGAGCTGCTGTATGTGGACTGGATGGACCTACCAAGGACACCCGGGTGAGCTGCTGTATGTGGATTGGATGGACCTACCAAGGACACCTGGGTGAGCTGCTGTATGTGGATTGGATGGACCTACCATGGACTCTCGTGTGAGATGCTGTATGTGGATTGGATGGACCTACCAAGGACACCCGGGTGAGCTGCTGTATGTGGACTGGATGGACCTACCAAGGACACCCGGGTGAGCTGCTGTATGTGGATTGGATGGACCTACCAAGGACACCCGGGTGAGCTGCTGTATGTGGACTGGATGGACCTACCAAGGACACCCGGGTGAGCTGCTGTATGTGGATTGGATGGACCTACCATAGACTCTCGTGTGAGCTGCTGTATGTGGATTGGATGGACCTACCATGGACTCTCGTGTGAGCTGTTGTATGTGGATTGGATGGACCTACCATAGACTCTCGTGTGAGCTGCACATCTGTGGCTGTGATGTTGAGGAAGTCGGTGACTCCAAGCTGCAGGAAGAAGTCATGCCATCGGTGGACATCGAGTGGACTCACAGCCTGGTTCAGGTACACCGCATCCAGCAGGACCCAGTCATAGCCTGGCAGACAAACAGTTCATCTTAGACCAAGCTCAGCCCAACAACAGTAGCCACATGCATCATTTCTAAATGCTACATTCACCTATCGAAACCAGAAAGCTAATGATTGCTTGTGTGTTGTTTAATGTCACACTCAGCCATATTACTGCTATGTGATGTGATCTACCATCCATTAAGTCACTTCGCCAACCAACCTTGGTTGTCATCTTCCCGAGGCAAGAGAGTTTCCACATTTGCCGAACTATGCAGAAAATTTCTGGGCTTGATTGTAATGCCACCAGTGGCTATTAAGAGTTGTGTCCCTTCTATGCCCCTCCTATTGACCAATCAGATTCCACCTCTCATATAACTTGCAGTTGCTTCAAAAAAAATGGCGGAGACCAGTCAAGACAATCTGATCGATGATCAAGATCTAAATTGTAATATAACAGGTTGTACCTCACGAAGTGCATCAAATCATGTGACCACCTGGATTAAAAAGATGAAAAGATTTGGGAACATATTTGTCTACACCCAGTTGACGGTACACATCCTTTGCAAATCCTGCAGTCAACAGAAATCTGCACTTTAAAATCCATATTGTTTACGAACTGGATTTTGATTGATAGACTCATTAGACCAGCCAAATGTAACTCGGCAAGGGTGGAAACTGGACTTTTTCCACCCTTGCCTTGGGAAGATTTCTTGGTTTCTTTGGATCACACACACTTGATTGATGAAGCCTTACAGCCATTATGACCACAGGTCCCCATCACTGGAATACGCTAGGGACACAACACTTGGCTTAGTAGGTTGTAAAAAACAACTAAATGTTATCGAGTGACTTGGCAGATTGCATTTCATTGTAACCAGATAATAACATAATATCAACCACTGCTTGGTCTCATTTGGGTATTTACCAACACACACACAGACACCAGCATAACCTCACCTGGCAACTGTCGCTGCAGATCAATCTTGTTCCCGTAAGCCGGGGTGAAGTGCACAGCCTCGTCTGCTGGCCTCCTCAGTCCACTGTTGGTGACGACACGAGCCACAGACTTGAGTTCCGCCATGTTGATCAACGATGGCTGCTGCTCACTCTGGGACTTGATGAACAGTAAGTAGCTGATGAGAATGTCCCGGGACTTGGTCTGCAACGATACGATGGAGTGAGACACACTGACTTACAGGAGGTAGCTGGAGGGATATCAAGAGGAGACAACCCACCCACCATGCTGCAGACTTGAGTGTTGGTAAGATTACGATTACGTGATATAAGAGGAGACAACTCACCTGCCATACTTCAGACTTGAGTGTTGGCAAGATATGATGATGAATGATGTCAAGGGGAGACAACTGCTTCACTCCCACACGCTGGAGAAGTTTCTGGACCTGAGAGTTGACCTCGCTGTCAGAGGTCGTCATGAGTCCAGAGTGCACCATGCAGAGGTCGCGGTGCAGCTCCGATATGGGATCTGGTGTAAGAAACAAACATCAGATGTAGCCATCAACATAAGGAGGACTCTCTCCACTGCAGCCTGTTATCCTCACTCAACAAGGAGTGTTTACCAGACAGGACGATGATGTAAACACTCTTACCTCTCCTGCCAAACTGCAGAGTTTGGGAAGTTTGTGTGGAGTCAACGGGCGGCAAGAAAACGGTCATCTCGGCCAGACACACAAGCTGACCAGTGGAGAGGGGGATGATGCGGGTTGTCTTGAGTCTGTCGAACACCTGCTCATTCTCCTGGAACTCATCCAGACTGCGATACAAGCAGGCCAGCCACTTGGCGACAGTCACCACCTTCTCTGTAGCTGCAGGAGATACACGCAATAGTGTCACACATTATATGTTCAGTGAGTGAGTTAGTGAGAGAGTGTGAGAGCCAGCCACTTGGCGACAGTCACCACCTTCTCTGTAGCTGCAGGAGATACACGCAATAGTGTCACACATTATATGTTCAGTGAGTGAGTGAGTGAGTGAGTGAGTGAGTGAGTGAGTGAGTGTGAGAGCCAGCCACTTGGCGACAGTCACCACCTTCTCTGTAGCTGCAGGAGATACACGCAATAGTGTCACACATTATATGTTCAGTGAGTGAGTGAGTGAGTGAGTGTGAGAGCCAGCCACTTGGCGACAGTCACCACCTTCTCTGTAGCTGCAGGAGATACACGCAATAGTGTCACACATCATATGTTCAGTGAGTGAGTGAGTGAGTGAGTGAGTGAGTGAGTGTGAGAGCCAGCCACTTGGCGACAGTCACCACCTTCTCTGAAGCTGCAGGAGATACACGCAATAGTGTCACACATCATATGTTCAGTGAGTGAGTGAGTGAGTGAGTGAGTGAGTGAGTGAGTGAGTGACTGATTGTGAGAGTGTGAGAGCCAGCCACTTGGCGAGAGTCACCACCTTCTCTGTAGCTGCAGGAGATACACGCAATAGTGTCACACATCATATGTTCAGTGAGTGAGTGAGTGAGTGAGTGAGTGACTGATTGTGAGAGTGTGAGAGCCAGCCCATTGGCAACAGTCACTACCTTCCCTGTAGCTGCAGGAGATACACGCAATAGTGTCACGCATCATATGTTCAGTGAGTGAGTGAGTGAGTGTGAATATGAATGTGAATGTGAGTGTGTGAAAGAGAGTGAGAGTGTGAAAGTAAGTGAGTGTGAGTGTGAGAGTGTGAATGTGAGTGAGTGTGAGTGTGAAAGTGAGTGAGTGAGTGAGTGAGTGTGAAAGTGTGAATGTGAGTGAGTGTGAGTGTGAATGTGAGTGAGTGTGAGTGTGAAAGTGAGTGAGTGTGATAGTGTGAATGTGAGTGAGTGTGAGAGTGAGTGAGTGAGTGAGTGTGAAAGTGAGTGAGTGTGAAAGTGAGTGAGTGAGTGAGTGTGAGAGTGTGAATGTGAGTGAGTTTGAAAATGAGTGAGTGAGTGAGTGTGATAGTGTGAATGTGAGTGAGTGTGAAAGTGAGTGAGTGTGAGTGTGAGAGTGTGAATGTGATTGAGTGAGTGTGAGAGTGTGAAAGTGAGTGAGTGAGTGAGTGTGAAAGTGTGAATGTGAGTGAGTGAGTGTGAATGTGAGTGAGTGTGAGTGTGAAAGTGAGTGAGTGAGTGTGATAGTGAGAATGTGAGTGAGTGTGAGAGTGAGTGAGTGAGTGAGTGAGTGTGAAAGTGAGTGAGTGTGAAAGTGAGTGAGTGAGTGAGTGTGAGAGTGTGAATGTGAGTGAGCGTGAACGTGAGTGAGTGAGTGAGTGTGATAGTGTGAATGTGAGTGAGTGTGAAAGTGAGTGAGTGAGTGAGTGTGAGAGTGTGAATGTGAGTGAGTGTGAGTGTGAAAGTGAGTGTGAGAGTGTGAATGTGAGTGAGTGTGACTGTGAAAGTGAGTGAGTGAGTGAGTGAGTGTGAGAGTGTGAATGTGAGTGAGTGTGATAGTGTGAATGTGAGTGAGTGTGAGAGTGTGAAAGTTAGTGAGTGTGAGTGTGAAAGTGAGTGTGAGGGTGAAAGTGAGTGTGAAAGTGTGAATGTGAGTGAGTGAGTGTGAGTGTGAATGTGAGTGAGTGTTAGTGTGAAAGTGAGTGAGTGAGTGTGATAGTGTGAATGTGAGTGAGTGTGAGAGTGAGTGAGTGAGTGAGTGTGAAAGTGAGTGAGTGAGTGTAAGAGCCAGCCACTTGGCGACAGTCACCACCTTCTCTGAAGCTGCAGGAGATACACCCAATAGTGTCACACATCATATGTTCAGTGAGTGAGTGAGTGAGTGAGTGAGTGTGAGAGCCAGCCACTTGGCGACAGTCACCACCTTCTCTGTAGCTGCAGGAGATACACGCAATAGTGTCACACATTATATGTTCAGTGAGTGAGTGAGTGAGTGAGTGAGTGAGTGTGAGAGCCAGCCACTTGGCGACAGTCACCACCTTCTCTGAAGCTGCAGGAGATACACGCAATAGTGTCACACATCATATGTTCAGTGAGTGAGTGAGTGAGTGAGTGAGTGACTGATTGTGAGAGTGTGAGAGCCAGCCACTTGGCGACAGTCACAACCTTCCCTGTAGCTGCAGGAGATACACGCAATAGTGTCACACATTATATGTTCAGTGAGTGAGTGAGTGAGTGAGTGAGTGAGTGTGAGAGCCAGCCACTTGGCGACAGTCACCACCTTCTCTGTAGCTGCAGGAGATACACGCAATAGTGTCACACATTATATGTTCAGTGAGTGAGTGAGTGAGTGAGTGAGTGTGAGAGCCAGCCACTTGGCGACAGTCACCACCTTCTCTGTAGCTGCAGGAGATACACGCAATAGTGTCACACATCATATGTTCAGTGAGTGAGTGAGTGAGTGAGTGAGTGAGTGAGTGAGTGTGAGAGCCAGCCACTTGGCGACAGTCACCACCTTCTCTGAAGCTGCAGGAGATACACCCAATAGTGTCACACATCATATGTTCAGTGAGTGAGTGAGTGAGTGAGTGAGTGAGTGAGTGAGTGAGTGAGTGAGTGACTGATTGTGAGAGTGTGAGAGCCAGCCACTTGGCGACAGTCACCACCTTCTCTGTAGCTGCAGGAGATACACGCAATAGTGTCACACATCATATGTTCAGTGAGTGAGTGAGTGAGTGAGTGAGTGACTGATTGTGAGAGTGTGAGAGCCAGCCCATTGGCAACAGTCACTACCTTCCCTGTAGCTGCAGGAGATACACGCAATAGTGTCACGCATCATATGTTCAGTGAGTGAGTGAGTGAGTGTGAATATGAATGTGAATGTGAGTGTGTGAAAGAGAGTGAGAGTGTGAAAGTAAGTGAGTGTGAGTGTGAGAGTGTGAATGTGAGTGAGTGTGAGTGTGAAAGTGAGTGAGTGAGTGAGTGAGTGTGAAAGTGTGAATGTGAGTGAGTGAGTGTGAGTGTGAATGTGAGTGAGTGTGAGTGTGAAAGTGAGTGAGTGTGATAGTGTGAATGTGAGTGAGTGTGAGAGTGAGTGAGTGAGTGAGTGTGAAAGTGAGTGTGAAAGTGAGTGAGTGTGAAAGTGAGTGAGTGAGTGAGTGTGAGAGTGTGAATGTGAGTGAGTGTGAAAATGAGTGAGTGAGTGTGATAGTGTGAATGTGAGTGAGTGTGAAAGTGAGTGAGTGTGAGTGTGAGAGTGTGAATGTGATTGAGTGAGTGTGAGAGTGTGAAAGTGAGTGAGTGAGTGAGTGTGAAAGTGTGAATGTGAGTGAGTGTGAGTGTGAATGTGAGTGAGTGTGAGTGTGAAAGTGAGTGAGTGAGTGTGATAGTGAGAATGTGAGTGAGTGTGAGAGTGAGTGAGTGAGTGAGTGAGTGTGAAAGTGAGTGAGTGTGAAAGTGAGTGAGTGAGTGAGTGTGAGAGTGTGAATGTGAGTGAGCGTGAACGTGAACGTGAGTGAGTGAGTGAGTGTGATAGTGTGAATGTGAGTGAGTGTGAAAGTGAGTGAGTGAGTGAGTGTGAGAGTGTGAATGTGAGTGAGTGTGAGTGTGAAAGTGAGTGTGAGAGTGTGAATGTGAGTGAGTGTGACTGTGAAAGTGAGTGAGTGAGTGAGTGAGTGTGAGAGTGTGAATGTGAGTGAGTGTGAGAGTGTGAAAGTGAGTGAGTGTGATAGTGTGAATGTGAGTGAGTGTGAGAGTGTGAAAGTTAGTGAGTGTGAGTGTGAAAGTGAGTGTGAGGGTGAAAGTGAGTGTGAAAGTGTGAATGTGAGTGAGTGAGTGTGAGTGTGAATGTGAGTGAGTGTTAGTGTGAAAGTGAGTGAGTGAGTGTGATAGTGTGAATGTGAGTGAGTGTGAGAGTGAGTGAGTGAGTGAGTGTGAAAGTGAGTGAGTGAGTGTAAGAGCCAGCCACTTGGCGACAGTCACCACCTTCTCTGAAGCTGCAGGAGATACACCCAATAGTGTCACACATCATATGTTCAGTGAGTGAGTGAGTGAGTGAGTGAGTGTGAGAGCCAGCCACTTGGCGACAGTCACCACCTTCTCTGTAGCTGCAGGAGATACACGCAATAGTGTCACACATTATATGTTCAGTGAGTGAGTGAGTGAGTGAGTGAGTGAGTGTGAGAGCCAGCCACTTGGCGACAGTCACCACCTTCTCTGAAGCTGCAGGAGATACACGCAATAGTGTCACACATCATATGTTCAGTGAGTGAGTGAGTGAGTGAGTGAGTGACTGATTGTGAGAGTGTGAGAGCCAGCCACTTGGCGACAGTCACAACCTTCCCTGTAGCTGCAGGAGATACACGCAATAGTGTCACACATCATATGTTCAGTGAGTGAGTGAGTGAGTGAGTGAGTGAGTGAGTGAGTGACTGATTGTGAGAGTGTGAGAGCCAGCCCATTGGCGACAGTCACTACCTTCCCTGTAGCTGCAGGAGATACACGCAATAGTGTCACGCATCATATGTTCAGTGAGTGAGTGAGTGAGTGTGAATATGAATGTGAATGTGAGTGTGTGAAAGAGAGTGAGAGTGTGAAAGTAAGTGAGTGTGAGTGTGAGAGTGTGAGTGTGAGAGTGTGAATGTGAGTGAGTGAGTGTGAGAGTGTGAAAGTGAGTGAGTGTGAAAGTGTGAATGTGAGTGAGTGAGTGTGAGTGTGAATGTGAGTGAGTGTGAAAGTGAGTGAGTGAGTGTGATAGTGTGAATGTGAGTGAGTGTGAGAGTGAGTGAGTGAGTGAGTGTGAAAGTGAGTGAGTGTGAAAGTGAGTGAGTGAGTGAGTGAGTGAGTGTGAGAGTGTGAATGTGACTGAGTGTGAAAGTGAGTGAGTGAGTGTGATAGTGTGAATGTGAGTGAGTGTGAAAGTGAGTGAGTGAGTGTGAAAGTGAGTGT